CAAGAAGAATGATTCGCAAAAGGCCAAATTAGACCCTCATTTTGCGAATCTGTCATTGAAGACATTGACAGATTGGGAGGGTGTGTCTAGAGAAAATCTAGTTACTTCCTCTCACACTGAATGGTTCATTGGTTCTGTTAAACCACTGTTTGAGGATCTATTAAAAGAAGAAGGAATGGATCCTTCTTTATGTCAGAAAATAGAACAGGCTTTGACATTAATTAAAGCAGCTGGTCACTGCATTGAGGATGGGTATCGTCTTAATGCTTTTTTGCTCAATCAAATAGTAGCATGCAGGAGACATTCTTACCTTTCCATGAAGGCGGATAAAGATATCCCCTTTGCAGATCTCAAAGAACTTATGACTCTTGAGCCCCAAACTGGGAAGTTGTTTCAAGACAACTTGGCCAAAGTGAAAGAAAATTTGAGGAAAGCTAAAAATGATATAGCGCAGAATCAAATTCTAGACTACACCTCTAAAAAGGAGGACAAAAACAAACCCAAAACTTCCAATAAGTTCCAGAACAAAGACAGTTCTTTTCGTGGAAAAGGACGGGGTTCAAAGAGTTTTTCTCGAGGAAGAGGCAGAGGTAAATCTGTCGGTAGAGGAAAGTCCACTGATAAACAGTGACTTATTCCAGGTCGAAAATTACCTCCATACATCGTCAAACGACAAAGTGGGTGGGAGGTTGATGGAATTCTGGCAGGAATGGAGTCAAATAAATGCTTCGGCAAAAGTGATAAACCTTTTAAAAGAAGGCTATTATCTTCCATTCAAAGAAAAGCCAAAGTTACAAAAGACTCCCCTTTGGTCAGAATTCCACAATCCTCTAAAAAGAGAGGCAGTTTTCGACCTAATCAACACTCTCCTAGAGGAGAATGCTATAGAACAAGTAGAAGACATTTCTTCCCCAGGGTTTTACAGTCGAATATTTCTGGTTCCAAAAAAGTCATCCGACAAATGGAGACCCGTGACAGACCTGTCAACTCTAAATCTATTTCTGAATGTCCCATCATTCAAGATGGACACTCCAGAAATCATCAAAAGAAATCTGGAGAAGGGAATGTACATGACTTCTATAGACCTTCGACAGGCCTATTTGCATGTCCCTATCGCCAGGTCTCACCAGAAATATCTGAGATTTGCCGTGAAAAATCGGGGAGTCTTCCAATGGAAATGTCTTCCATTTGGTCTAGCAACAGCTCCTTTAATTTTCACAGAGATAGTTTCTCAGATCAAAAAATTCCTTCATTCAATAAATATAAAGATGTTCCAGTATCTCGACGATTGGATGATAATAGCATCATCACACCAAGTAAGTTCAGAGAACACAAAGACTGTGTGCAACTTAACGAAAAAGTTAGGCTTTCTCCTAAATCTGGAGAAGTCAGAGTTAAATCCAACTCAGCAACATACTTACCTGGGCTCACTTTACGACCTAAAGAAAGGTCTAATTTTACCCACTCAATACAGAGTAGAGTTACTCGAAACAGAGATACAGCGTTTCCTAGCGAAACCTTTACAAACAGCAAAATTCTGGAAAAGAATTTTGGGTCTCCTAGCGGCAACAGAGAAAATTGTGCCACTAGGGAGATTGTTCATGAGGGAGATGCAATACGATCTCCAGAGAAATTGGAATGCCTCAAAGGACATGAACATTTTGATTCCATGGTCCAAAATGACAAGACAAGACTTAGTCTGGTGGCTAAACAAGGACAATCTTGTGAAAGGTGTTTCAATTCAAATGCAGAATTCAATAGATCTAAAACTGTTCACAGACAGTTCAATGACAGCTTGGGGAGCATATTTAGAAAATCTAGAAGTTTCAAAGATGTGGTCCAAACAAGATCTGAACCTGCACATCAACATGAAGGAGTTGATGGCAGTAGAGTTAAGTCTCAAACATTTTCAACCTCAAGTACAGGGGAAAAGGATACAAGTATCCTCAGACAATGCATCCACTGTGGCCTATTTGAAAAATCAAGGCGGCACACATTCTTACCAGTTATTCAAGGTAACAAAAAGAATTCTGCTATGGAATCAAGTCAACAATATAGAAATGACAATACGTCATATTCCAGGGAGATTGAACATTCTGGCAGATGCTCTGTCCAGAAAGTCTCAGATTCTGTCAACAGAGTGGAGTCTGAAAGATCAAATTTTCCATGCAATTTGCAGGAAATGGGGAAAACCTCTAGTAGACCTTTTTGCGACACGACACAACACGAAATTACCTCTATTTGTGTCACCAGTCCCGGATATGCTAGCATGGGAGGTAGATGCTCTAAGTATGGATTGGAAAGGTCTGTGGGCTTATGCCTTTCCCCCGACACCATTAATCTCTCTAGTTCTGAACAAGATGTTGCAAACGGCAAATGTAGAAATGATTCTCATTGCCCCATTATGGGAGAAACAAGCATGGTATCCCAGACTGTTAGAGTCTCTTGTAGAGAAACCTCTACACATTCCAGTAGTTCCAAAAATGTTGAAACAGACAAGACAATGGGTATTTCATCAAAATCCCCAAATATTCAAGCTTCACGCTTGGAGGCTGTCAAACAATCCTTTAAAAACAAAGGCTTTTCAAACAAGGTTGCAGAAAGAATTGCAAAACCTCAAAGAAACTCCTCGATCAAGGTATATGACTCGAAATGGAGAGTCTGGGCTAGTTGGTGTTCTGAACGGAATAGAGATCCATTCAGAACTTCTGTTACTGTAGTAGCCGATTTTCTGAATTGGTTATTTGAAGATAGAAAACTTCAACCAGTTACTATAGCAGGATACAGAACAGCCTTAGGTAATACTCTGAAAGAAACTTCGAATTTAGATATTGGTTCAGATCCTTTGATTTCTTGTTTGTTATCTAATTTCAAACAAGAAAGACCGAGGAATATCTCTAATAAAATTCCAAACTGGGATTTAAATGTGGTCCTACAAGGTCTTATGAGACCTCCTTTTGAACCTATCGAGATAGTTGATTTAAAATTTGTCACGTGGAAAACAGTTTTTCTCACTCTGTTAGCATCTGCAGCAAGACGCAGTGAGATACATGCCTTGGTGCTTAAGAAGGTGTCACATAGTATTGACTGGCAATCCATTTTTCTAGGATTCAAATCTGACTTTGTACCCAAGACCTTACTAAAGGCTGGAGGTACTGTCCTGAAGGACATTGAGATAAAAGCCTTAACAGGTTTTTTGACACCAGATCTTCAAGATGATAAGCTTCTATGCCCTGTTAGAGCATTAAAAGTTTATATGAGAAGATCAAAGCCCATGAGAGATAAACAACAAAGATTGTTTATATCATACAAGAAAGGCTATAAAGAAGAGATACATGCTAACACAATAACTTCATGGGTGAAGAATTGTGTAGCAAAGGCATTACAGTCTTTTCCCAAGCATGCTGAGCAGGTTTATAAGGTTAAAACTCACCAACTCAGAGCCTTATCAACTTCCATTGCTTTTGCGAAGAATTGCACTCTAGACGAGATTATTCAAGCTGGAAGATGGACTAACTTTAACACGTTCGCTTCATTTTACTTAAAGGAAGTGTCCTTGAAAGACTTCGAAGGCAACCACTTCATTGCTGCGAACAAAACTGTTTAAGTAAGTTTAAAAGTCTTATAGTTCATTATCCTACCAATAAAAGGTGGAAAGTTTTTTGTTATTCATATCCATTTATTTGTTATCAATAATTAAGATATGAATAACAAAGGAGTGTGCTTGGATAAATTATTTTCACTTGTTACTTTTAGTTTTGCGTTGCAAAATTATTTAACTTAATATCCTATGGTAAGGATAGTGATTCAAGTACGAATTCTAATCAGTTAATGCTGTTTTTGGAGTATTTTATTTTCTAAGCTAATATCCCTCCACCTGCTCTGGTGGGATTCAGCATATTGTAATGACATAATTGGTAAGTGATATTAATTTACGTAGTAAAATCCCAAAATTTTATGTAATTTTGGTTTTTATAAGTTAATTATACTTACCTATTATGTCATTACATCAAAAGCCCTCCCTTGCCACCCCGCTAATCAGCTTTAAAATAAGCGTTTCACCTAGTGAAAAATGAATGGTGCGCATGCGCAACTATGACGTAAAGTGGGCGGGGCTTCCGGGAAACCGAAAGTGAAAGTGAAAGTAGAAAATAATTGTTCCAATAAAAGGTGACTATGGTAGCTTTTAGCATATTGTAATGACATAATAGGTAAGTATAATTAACTTATAAAAACCAAAATTACATAAAATTTTGGGAGTTTTTAACTTAGATATGTACAGAAAAGAAAGTTTATGTCATTCTCCCTTAATTATGAACAGTGCATTTTCTGTTTAAACATGTGTATTATATGCAGTATTGATACATTCATACAATATGAAAGCTGTACATTGATAAGTGGTTGCAATACATGTATATGAGTCAAAAGGGGTCCTCATTTGTATCATCAACAGGCATCTCAGAAACAGTTTGCATTATGCCCCTAAGATCAACCCATCATCATGATTTCAAAATGTATCCTGTATTGTAGATGCAGTTCAAATATGATACATTTAAAAATATAGAACATGATTGTACTTTGCAGCTTTATATAAACTGAAAATCATTTTAATGTTTGTTAAATGTTGCCTTGTTGTGATGAATTTTTCATCACTACCTGAATTTCTTGTTATGTTTTGTGAATTAACACACAAAAGTGTTTGGATTTTGGGTACAAGGTTTTTCTGTCAAAATGTATATCCTCTAGCAGCTGAATGTCCGAGGAATAATTCTGGAATGATGAAGTTTACATACAAAACATGCCAAATTGCTGCCATGTTCTTTCCCAATAAAAAATATCTTATCACAAGGATTTATTTGCTTTGCTTTACAAATAATTGCAAATAAATTATCACAGGAGAAAGTAATAAACCCTGAGAGAGGAACATGCAGCATGAAAATGTTGTCCACATTATTATCAACCATTTGAGTCTTAGGTATTTCCATAAAACTCTCAGCTTCATTTCTATTAATCTGTAATTCTTCTGCATGGCAGACAACAGTTCATCATATCTTGATCCAAGATATGCAACTTCATGAAAAAGAGTCAAAAGTTTAAACTTGTTCCACACATCCTCAAGTCCACTATCAAAGTGTCACAATTATATACCAACACTATTGTGGTGTAACAATTTTCTCAAATATGTCATAAATCGGCTTTGGAAATTCTCCGCAGTCAACTAATGATTTCACATATTCAACTCCATGTGCTTCCCTTGTACTCATTGCTGCTATGTGCTCAAGTCTCAAATCTTTAGGGTATTGTTCAAGCAGCTTTTTGAAGGCAGTTGAATAGGCAAAGTCCATTGTGTTTAGACCTTTGTCAATTCGATTTCTATTGACATTCTCATTATCACTGTCATGATCACTGTCACTGTCTTCATCAGTTTCATCATCACTTTCACTGTCACTATCTCCATCTGCAGCATTCTGGAGAATAGAGGCTATTTCTGTTGCCTTTATCTTTGTAATTATGCTGAATTCATGTATGCTTGTAATGTTGTTGTTAACCATTGCTCTGATTTCTCCTATCAGCCTAAATCTACATGGCTTACAACTATATTGCAATAGCATCCTGTATAGAAAGATGATAGTGTCGTACATTCTGTAATAACATTTGATGTCACTGACTATCTCTTTTGTGAACTTACATAAATCCAAAGTTGCTCCTTTCAGGAGGAGTAACTTGACCAAGTGTTCTGTAATACTGAATGATGCAAAACATGATCTAATTATACAGCTTGTTAAAGCGTATGTCATAGCAGTTTGACCCTGCCTTGTACAAGCATTGACTTCTGCTCTTCCAGCAAGAATCATTTTTGCACAATTGTAGCATCCACTTTTGCAGGTAAACATGAGTGCATTGCGGCCATTTTGGTCATTTATATTCACATTAGCTCCAGCGTCCAGTAGTTCTTCCACACTGTCACACTGGTGTCTTGGCATACATGCATACATCAAGGCTGTCTTCTCAGTAAGGTCAACCTCATCTAGGGAAGCTCCAAGATCTATTGTTCTTTCCAAAAAGCTGATATCTCCATCCCTTGCAAATAACATCAATGGCGTTTGTCCAGTTGTTAAATCTTTGGAATTCACATCTATATGTTCCCTGCTTAATAGGATCCTTATGGAGTCAGTGTAGCCTTTCTCTTTCAATGTTGACAGTAAACATTTTGTTTGTTTCTCTGAATATCTTTCTGAAGCACCATGACTTAGTAGATCACTGATACAGGGCTCCTGATTATCGTTCCATTCCAGAACTTGTCTCAAAGGAGTATGTCCATTTGAATCAGCATTGTTGACATTAGCTCCATACTCAACCAGGACTTTCACACGCCTATGGTTCTCTGACTCTAAGGCCTCCCATAATGCTGTTTGTCCATTTAGACCATATGTTCCAGTCTTTGCTCCTTTTTGTAACAAATACTTCAGGGTATCGATGTCCTTGCATTCCATTAGTGGTGTCACACTAAATGTGCCTGAATGATTCACATCAGCTCCATGATTTACCAGTACCCTCACACGTTCATAATGCTGTAAGTCTAAAGCATTCAATAATGCAGTTTGTCCAATGCTATCACTTGCTTCAGTGTCAGCTCCATTCTGTAGCAATAAGTTTGTAACTTTAACATCCTTACACATCATTAGTGGTGTTGTACCATTATTGTCAGAATGATTGACAGTAGCACCTTGCTTTACTAATTCTTCTACACATTCATAGTCCTCATTCTCCAACTTCTTCAATAAAACTGTTCTTCCATCAGGATCACATGTTTCAGTGCTGGCCTTGTATTGTAACAACATCTTAATGATATTCAAATCATTGCATAACATCAATGGTGTTCTACCCTTATTGTCAGCATGATTCACATTAGCACCATTCTTTATTAATGCTTTCACACTCTCATAGTCCTCATCCTCCAACTTCCTTAATAAAACTGTTTGTCCATCAAGGTTACATGCTTCTGTATCAGCCTTCTGTTGTAACAGCAACTTCATAATATTCAAATCCTTGCATAACATCAGTGGTGTTCTACCATCATTGTCAGCATGATTCACATTAGCACCATTCTCAATTAATATTTCCACATACTCATACATGTCACAGTCCTCATTCTCCAACTTCTTCAATAATACTGTTCTTCCATCAGGATCACATTCTTCAGTGTTAGCCTTGCCTTGTAACAATAACTTCATGATATCAATATCATCACATAGCATCAGTGGTGTCATTCCATCATTAGCTGGATGATTTACTTGAGTTCCATATTCTACCAGTGCTTTCAGACATTCTACTTTATTTGACTTTACAGCCCTTAACAGTATTGTTTCTCTATTTGGACCAACTGCATAAGCGTCAGCACCATGTTGTATCAGGAAGTGAATGATATCAATATCCATGGATAGAATCAAGGGTGTTGAATTAACAAAAATAGGCTGATTCACTTGAGGGAAATGCTGAACCAAATCATTCACAAAACAATCTGTCTCTGATTTTGAAGCATTCCACCATGCTATAAGTGGTGAGGTACCATCATTGTCACAATGATTGACATCAGCACCATACTGAACCAGTGCTTTCACACACTCATAGTTGTCAGATTCTGATGCTTTCCACAATGCTGTTTGTCCATCAAGATCACATGCTTCTGTGTCAGCCTTGTGTTGTAATAATAGCTTTATGATATTCAAATCCTTGCATAACATCAGTGGTGTACTACCATTTCTGTCAGGATGATTCACATTAGCACCATTCTCTATTAATGCTTTCACACACTCATAGTCCTCATTCTCTACCATCTCCAATAATACAGTTCTTCCATTAGAATCACATGCTTCTGTGTTAGCCTTGTATTGTAACAACAACTTCATGATATCAATATCATTGCATATCATCAGTGGTGTTCTACCCTTATTATCAGAATGATTCACATTAGCACCTTTCTCTATTAATGCTTTCACACACTCAAAGTCCTCATTCTCTACCATCTTCAACAATACAGTTTTTCCATCAGAAACACATGCTTCAGTGTTAGCCTTGTGTTGTAATAATAACTTCATGATATTAACATCCTTGCATAACATCAGTGGTGTTCTACCATTATTGTCAGAATGATTCACATTAGCACCTTTCTCAACCAATTCTTTTACACATTCATAGTTGTTCCCCTGTGAAGCCATTGACAAAGCTGTTTCACCATAACAATCAACTGGTTGAATGTCAGCTCCATGTTGTAACAACAACTTCATGATATTAACATCATTGCATAACATTAGTGGTGTTCTACCATTATTATCAGAATGATTCACATTAGCACCTTTCTCAACCAATTCTTTTACACATTCATAGTTGTTCCGCTGTGAAGCCCTCCACAAAGCTGTTTCACCATTAAAATCAACTGGTTGAATGTCAGCTCCATGTTGTAACAACAACTTCATGATATCAACATGATTGCATAACATCAGTGGTGTTCTACCATAATTGTCAAAATGATTCACATTAGTACCATTCTCAACCAATTCTTTTACACATTCATAGTTGTTCCGCTGTGAAGCCCTCCACAAAGCTGTTTCACCATAACAATCAACTGGTTGAATGTCAGCTCCATGTCGTAACAACAACTTCATGATATTAACATCATTGCATAACATCAGTGGTGTTCTACCATAATTGTCAAAATGATTCACATTAGTACCATTCTCAACCAATTCTTTTACACATTCATAGTTGTTCCGCTGTGAAGCCCTCCACAAAGCTGTTTCACCATAACAATCAACTGGTTGAATGTCAGCTCCATGTTGTAACAACAACTTCATGATATTAACATCATCACATAGCATCAGTGGTGTACTACCATTTCTGTCAGAATGATTCACATTAGCACCTTTCTCAACCAATTCTTTTACACCTTTATAGTTGTTCCACCGTGAAGCCCTCCACAAAGCTGTTTCACCATTAAAATCAACTGGTTGAATGTCAGCTCCATGTTGTAACAACAACTTCATGATATTAACATCATCACATAGCATCAGTGGTGTTCTACCATTTCTGTCAGAATGATTCACATTAGCACCTTTCTCAACCAATTCTTTTACACCTTTATAGTTGTTCCACCGTGAAGCCCTCCACAAAGCTGTTTCACCATTATAATCAACTGGTTGAATGTCAGCTCCATGTTGTAACAACAACTTCATGATATTAACATCATCACATAGCATCAGTGGTGTTCTACCATTATTGTCAGAATGATTCACATTAGCACCTTTCTCAACCAATTCTTTTACACCTTTATAGTTGTTCCACCATGAAGCCCTCCACAAAGCTGTTTCACCATTACAGTTAACTGGTGAAATGTCAGCTCCATGTTGTAACAACAACTTCATAATATTAACATCCTTGCATAACATCAGTGGTGTACTACCTTCTTTGTCAGAATGGTTCACATAAGCACCTTTTTCAACCAATAATTTGACACATTCATAGTCGTTCCGCTGTGAAGCCCTCACCAAAGCTGTTTCACCATAACAATCAACTGGTTGAATGTCAGCTCCATGTTGTAACAACAACTTCATGATATTAACATCATCACATAGCATCAGTGGTGTTCTACCATTTCTGTCAGAATGATTCACATTAGCACCTTTCTCAACCAATTCTTTTACACCTTTATAGTTGCTCCACCGTGAAGCCCTCCACAAAGCTGTTTCACCATTATAATCAACTGGTTGAATGTCAGCTCCATGTTGTAACAACAACTTCATGATATTAACATCATCACATAGCATCAGTGGTGTTCTACCATTATTGTCAGAATGATTCACATTAGCACCTTTCTCAACCAATTCTTTAACACATTCATAGTTGTTCCGCTGTGAAGCCCTCCACAAAGCTGTTTCACCATTACACTCAATTGCTTTAGTGTCAGCTTCATGTTGTAACAATAATTTGACAATATTTACATCCTCACATAATATCAGTGGTGTTGTTCCATTATTGTCAGAATGATTCACATTAGCACCATGTTCAACCAATGCTTTCACACAGTCATAGTTGTTATTTTGTGAAGCCCAGCATAATGCTGTTTCTCCATTTGAACCACATGCTTCAATGTTAGCTCTATGCTTCATTAAAATGTTTGTCCCGGCAACATTGTTCTTCATAGCACAAGCAATTAATCCTGTTGTTTTAAATACACCACTTGATCTATTTACATCTGCTCCTTTCTGGATCAGGACTTCCATACACTCTTTTGCACATTTTAGTGAAGCATATATCAATGGGGTAACTTTAGCACCTTCATTTATATCCATGTTAAAATCATAAAGGGGTAATTTTACAGTATTGATTAACACTGTATGATCTAGTTCAGGATTTTTTTGATTAATCATGTCCAGGATATCATCACGGTTGCTGTCGATAACATTATGTATGATTTCTATCCCCTCAGTGGATGAGAAATCAAGGTCTTTGTTGTTCATCTTCTCTTGTATGAAGAGTTTTAGATCATCTGTGCTAATGCTGTTCTTGTTTTCAATATACCCCTTAAGTGTAGTATATGCTGAAGCCATTGTAATCTATGAGTGATATCTGGAAATGAATGCACCTGGCTCAAAATAAAGAACTAAAGCTGTGAAAAACTCAAGTTTTAGCAGTTATTCACAATATTTACACCATGTGCCTCCAGGAGTTTAGTAATATTGTACAAATTTTTGAAAATGTTATGACTGATAAAGGACCATGCACCTTTTTTTCTTGACAGAGGGTATGTAAATGTAGTACAGGGTGTTCAAAAAACCGCAACCCAAAGAAATCGCTATATCTTGAAAACTACTCTTTCATTTATGTTCATTTTTTCAGGAAAGAAGAGACTGTGTAAAGCTCCAGTAGATGGTTACTTGTAAAACATGGTGCCTTGGACACCTGCTCAAAAGACAGTTGTACTAGGAAAATATGAAAAACGCAGTCATGGGTGACTGCGACCGCAAAAAAACTAAATAGCTTCCTAACCATAGTGTTTTGGCTCTTCAATTTTGCCACAAATCATCTTCATTCACTGTATGGTAAATCTGTAGAGTGAAATCAAAATTACTGCAGGGACTTTACAGTCATGGTCAAAATGCTATCAAATCGCAGCCAAACGCCCTGGTTCAGGCAGACTTAAGAAGGCATTTTGACCATGACTGAAAAGTCCATGGAGTGATTTTGATGAAACTACAAATTCACCACACATTGAATACACAGTCTCTTCTTTCTTTTCCTGAAAAAATGATCATAATTGAATAAGTATTTTCTAAGATATAGTGATTTTCTATTCACGTTTTCATATTTTTCCTAGTGCGACTGTCTTTTGAGCAGGTGTCCAAGATATCATGTTTTACAACTAATTAACAACAGGAGCTATACATACACACGCAGTCTCTTCTTTCTTTTCTGAAAATATGAACACAATTGGATTAGTATTTTCCAAGATATAGCGATTTCTTTGGGTTGCGTTTTTTGGACACCCTGTAGGTACACTTCTAGGGCCTCCTTATAACTATGATATCTACAAAAAAAAACTGAATCAAACTTGTTTAGAAAATAACACATCAAGTAGATAGTAGATGGTGATATACAAGCCTGTTAGGCACTTTTTGCAAGGAGTGCAGTTTTTACTGAAGTCAATAAACTAGTTGATTCTTTGCCACATATAAAATGAACTGCAGATTTGGGTGGAGGAGGATTTTACCATTTTAAGATGCTATTTGGTGATTTCTGGGCAAATTAAATGGCATAGTTATGTCTACAGGATGACCCAAAAACAGAACCCTCTAAAAGTGTAGTAATTTCTTAAATACATGTACCTATCTTGTCAACCCAATTTTTCATGAATGAAAAATATTCAATGATAAATCAACTAGTAAAACATCAGATAACTGAAATGCCTGGCCTCTCAAATATTTAATAATGAGCTGGAAGAGGAAGAAAGGACAACTGTTAAACACCTCATTCCTCTATACTCACAAAATGCAGCTTAACAAGAAGCTAAAAGAATAAATAAAGTGTAACTTTTTGGTTGACACAAAAATCTTAGTTTTTCTATTCTTTCAAAAGTTGGCAAATTTTTTAGCAAGAAAAGCAGAAATCATAGATTTCTTTTCTTGCTTCTATTTTTCAAGTTTTGCTCATCTGAACAAAGCTCGGATGACAAAACAAAGCCGGGATGTTAAATGACGTCATAATTTGGAAGTTTGTTTTTGCTTATTGATTCTAGGAATATTATTATGTGAATATTATGCGATCATGCGTGACGTCAAACATGTATCGCCTCAGTAACAACTATGACACAAATATTCTACACCTCGTTGATTGGTTTGAATTTGAACAGTTAATGATGTCATTAGCATGTTTCCTTACCCCACAGCAGAGCAAACAAATGTGTCATTTTGTTCAGTGCTTTTGTACTATTCTCTTCGGTGATTTGATTTAAAGTGGATCTTTCTGCATAAAACAACTGTCAAATCAACTGATGTCCCTGAGTCATGAAATAAACCATCAGAAAACATCATAACTATTTACTCAATAATTGTACCCACACTTACTCCCAGTATACAGCATATATAAGTGTCATTGTTCAGTCAAAATATTCAGAGAAAAAGCTTCAGATAGTTTCCAATGATTTTTGCTGGTTCCTGGACTTGAGGATTTGTGGGGGTCTTAATACCTGTGGGTGTCTCCTCTCCTTTTTGTGATTTTTTGTAACAGAATGAATTTCTTGTTAATTGATCATAACAAGAATAATATTGAATGTTATGTGATAAATTTGGTCTCAAATTGTCATCCATGTATGTTTCTGTACATGAAAGATGAAGCTGATTACATATGTATTAAAGAAATTACTTCATTTATGGAGGGTTCTGTTTTTTGGGTCACCCTGTATTGTAGTTGAATGAATAAGGTGAATGCAAACTCCCAGTTTCAAGGCAAAGTGTGCAAACTGCAACCAGGCTCTGAGTAACTCTGGCTCTTATTGGTTAAAATTTGTTATTATATAGCCAGTTAAATATATCAACTATAGGAGTCTGGCTGCAGTTTACACGGACCTGTTTCAAGGTAATATTTGACAAATAATTTTACAATGATATTAGCCATGCCCTCTATATTGGAACCACGTAGAATCTGAAGCAGTCTGTCAGAAAAATAATTATTTATGTGCTTACATGATTTTAATTTTAAGTTATGTTTCTGTTAAACATGTAAATCATGTAAGCATTTTGAGTATATTTGGAGAAATAAGGAAGATGAGATGAGACTTTGGCCAGAAAGATTAGCAAATAGTTAATCCCCAAGAACCAAATAAAAACATGAAGGGTTTGACAAAATCTACATTAGGTTTTGGACCTGTTAGCTCAGTCATGTCAGCCATTTTTAATGACTTAAGAAAAGTTAGCGCACGTTAATACTTTGTTTCATATTGAACAGTGTTTTTGAGTTTCCATACTTTAAGTATTTAGTAGCTTTATAAATAATTTCAGGTGTACTTTGTTGTAAAAAGCCTATTTTATTGTTAACAGTGGTTATATGTGACAATTTTGTAAAAGGAAATCCGCAAAAGTCAAAATCACTTTTTTATTTTAGGCCATTTTGGATTTTTCCATCCTAAAATCTTGTATGTCAAGTCTTGTCTACGCGTTTTCAGGTGAATGGTTTGGTAGATCAATTTCAAATTTTCAGGGATGATTCTTAGTATATATATAACTTTTATTGACATATTGTATCATAACATGATTACATTAGTCATAAACTACTCACTAAAAATACTATCTACTACTAAACTACTTACTAAAACTACATCTTTATAAAAATATACATGATTTGATATATTTTTTACAGAAAGCATACAAGAAAGGCAAAATATTTTAAAGTGTGATGCACAAATTTTGCTGATTATTCTAAATTGTTAAATGATTGGTATATAAATTTACCAAGATGTCGTTGGAAGATGATATTATCATTAGAAATTATATTTATAAATAAATCGTTACTATTCAAGTCAAATGTTGGTAATATTTCAGGAATTTTACTGAAAAATATTTGCCTGTGTTGAGAATGCTTTGTACAATTTATGATAAAATGAAATTCATCCTCCACACATTTACATATATTACACAACCTTTCATTAACTGGTTTAGGTTTGGGTTTTATGTGTCTTCCAGATTCTATTTTTAACCGATGTGAACTTAACCTAAATCTACCTATTGCTAATCTATATTTTTTATTATCTAGTTTCAAATATGGTTCTAATTCAAAATCTTTCTTAAATAGCTTATATGTTCTTAATATAGGATATTGTAAAATATCATTTCTCCAATTATTTATAAATGCATTCTTTAGTTTCTTGTCAACCAACTTTACTAAGTTGTCTGTATTTTGACTTTGGTCATCCCAATACTCTGTTAGTTCACATTTGTGAAGAATATCATAAACTTTTTCAGACCATGATTTAAACCCTAATTCATGTTTTTCTTGACCATATAAATAAGCTTGATTTAAAATATTAGATTCTGGTAGTTTTATAAGTCTTAACCAGTATTTTATCAAAGATAATTCAATTTTGATAGATAAGGGAAATCTACCAAGGTCACCATATACTGCAGGATTAGCTGTTTGAGTTTTGACTCCTAGAATAGATTTTAAAAAGGACAAATGCAATGTTTCAATAGATTTCATCTGTTTCTTATCATACCAAATCTCACACCCATAACAAAGTATTGGACTGACTAATGAATCAAAAAGGTGAAGAGCAACATCGGGTGGTACATCATTGAATTTCTTATACTGTTGTTTGATTTTGAATATTGCCTTTCGTGATTGTTCTTTAAGATAAGCAGTGTTAATATCAAATTTATTGTTATCAGTAAGAATAACACCGAGATATTTATATTTATTTACACGTTCAATTTCTTGATTATTAAAAGTGAAAGGATCTGAATATTTAGAGTTAAAAATCAGTACCTTTGTCTTAAGGGTGTTGACTATAAGTCTATTAATTTTACAGAAAGCAAAAAGTGAATCTAATAACAACTGAAGTCCATTGTGTGATTCTGAAACAAGTACAAGATCATCTGCCCATAGTAGATGATTAAAATTGGCATCATTCAAAGTAACACCACATCTGGGTGGTAATATTTCATTTAAGTCATCTATGAAATGATTGAATAAAAATGTACTTAAAACACTTCCTTGTAAAACTCCTATTTCAGTGTCAAAAGTTTCTGTGACTCCATTTTCTAACTTGAGACATGATTTAGATTTAGAGTACATGCTCTCTATAATCTTGTACATTTTAGTCTGTGGATGAATTCCAGATTTACATAGTTTATATAACAGTACCGAGCGATCTATATAATCAAACGCCTTCCTAAAGTCAATCATACATGTATACAATGGTTTCTTATGCTGCTTGAATTTGTTAATTAGTGTTTGCAAAATAAAAATATTATCAGTTGTACGTCTATTTTCTTTATAAGCACCCTGAAGTGGGTCTGGCGAATTTTGCACTTCAGCATTAAAGACTAGACGATTTTGTATAACTGAGTCAAATAAATTTCCTATACAGGCCAGTACATTAATGCCTCGATAATTATCAGCTTGAAAACGGCTGCCTTGTTTATAAAGTGCACTGAGCATACCAATGCTCCAGTCACTTGGATATTCTCCTTTTTCAAAAATAGCATTAAATAGTGATGTAAAATCAGAAATGAGAGATTTACAATTTTTAATAATATTAGATGGAATACCATCAATACCAGCTGATTTGTTTGTATTCACTCTTTTCAAAGCACGCTGGACTTCGGCTTGAGTAATTTTCATGTTGACAGTATCATGGCAAAGTTGTAAATTTTTATCTTCAGGGCAAACTTGATAATTTATAACATACTGATTCATTTCCTTGAGTGCGTTGTCATCAAAATATTCTATATTTGGGGGTTTAGATAGACTTTTAAAAAAGTTGAATAAATCTTTAGGTGGAACTGGCATCTGTTTAATTTTATTTCCTGGCATTGCGTTTATCAGTTTCCAGAAATCTGTAGAGTATTTGCTTTTATTCTGAATTAAACTATCAAGCATTCCTGCTTTAAACTTTCTCTTTTCTCGTTGTTTAGTTTGATTATACTGTTTGGTTAAACTTTTTATAAAATCATCACTAAATTTGTGTTTTATTGCCTCATGTACTTGTTTCTTTAAGGACTTACACTCATCATTGAACCATGAATTGATGGGAAAGGTGTGCATTTTCTTAGCTTTTAATTGTTTAAATTGAAATGTGTTATTAGATGCATAATGAATTACGTTAAGGAGCTTATTTACAAGTTCATCAGATCCAGTATCATTACATCCAAGTTCACTGTAAAAAGATGTTAAGAGATCAATGCTAGTATTATCAGTTAATTTTTGTTTAAATTCATTTTTCTTCTTATGATCCCATTTGTATGATTTATATGTTTTAATGTTCAGGGGTTCTGATTGAATGTTTGATGATTTACTTTGATTTTCAATATCCCTTTTTAATGATAGAGAAAAATGCAATGGTGCATGGTCAGATTCAACACGTCTATCATGCACTTTAAAATCAGAAAATAAGGGAATAATGTTTGATTGAGCTGCAACATAATCAATAACTGATTTTCCTAAGTTTAGGTCTGTATTAGATTTATGGGTAACATTACGATAACATGTGAATTTCCCTAAATTTTTGTCCTGATAAAGACGACCATTAAGTATTTTCATATTAGCAGTTTTGCATAGTGATAAAAATTCTCTGCCATGAGTTTGAGAGACTGCCTTTACATTTTTATCCATAGAAATGCGATTGCTAACTAAAACCTCATTTACATCTTGCAAATTATATAAAGTGTCATCTAGCAGTATGGGAATATCACCATTACTGCCAGGTATATTAATGTTAGAATCAGACAACTGAGCAGTTCTAGCATTCATGTCTCCACATATTATAGTTCTTCCTAATGTTTGATAATAAGCTAAAGATTTTTCTAATATGTCAATATTACTACATCCAGTTACAAATTCATAAGAAGAACCTTTAAATGGTAAATAAACAAAGCATAAATATAAATCTTCTGTAATATTGAACTGATTGGAATTGAATTTTATCCATACAAAAAAGTCATGTGATTGTGATAGAATTTCAATACCATTTTTACCATAAACATCACTTATTAGCACAGCCAGCCCTCCAGAGTAGTGCCCCTTAAGTACATTTTTGGGGTTTCTGGCTAGATTATAGCAAGTGTAGTTTTCGAATGCAATTTCAGATTCTGGTGATAACCATGTCTCACACAATAATATAATTTGAAAATTATTGAACCATTTTTGGATATCTTCACCATCATGTAGTTTATCAGAAATCTTATTTATGTTCCAAAGTAAAATTGACACATGTTCATTTGAAGATTGAATATTCTCATTATAAACACTACCTTTTCCATTTGACGAAGTAGCCTGTGTCCCAGATATATCATGTATTGCAAGATTACCTTGTGTTTTTAAAGTATTTAAGTTAGTATCAATATTTACATTATATACATCTTTTGAATTGTCATTAACCTTATATACATCTTTTGAACTGTCAAAAGTACTAATTGCACTATTAAGTGGGAGACTGTCAGCAAGTAAATGTACATCACACTGAGTATTTAAAACTTGGCACTGTGCCAGGTTTTGGTAGGGTTTACAGCCTGTGCATATGTTGTGGGACGTTTTCCATTCATGATGGAGAGCATAGCATCTACAAGTCGGCTACGGCCAGTAGGGTTGAAGTGGAGTCTGTCGTTAAAAAAGGACACTCATACAGGGATTGTCAACAGTAGAATTATTTACTGCATTGATGTCCACAAACCCATGTCCTTTTCTTGTACAAAAGGAACGCATTTCCTTGTTAACATAGTCTATCTTGGTATTCCATTCTGCTACTATTTTAGGGTTGTCACTATCACCACGATGATGTATTCCACATAGGATAAGTTTAGTTTGTGGATGCTTATTGCTAGCTGTCAGTAACAGATTTTTTAGTTCATAAACCATGTCTTGTGGGTCATCTGTTTTGACATTGTTTGTGCCAAATCCAAGAAACTTGAAATCTGTTGACTGCTTAAGGTCTCCTTGTTGCATACTCTTTGTCGCAAAATCTATTGTACAACCACTGTAGATTGAGCCAGTGACAGATATGTTCTGGGGCGATTTCCGCTTCATTGATTCAGTTAGCTTCTTTCCATTACTGTCATACATTATATGTACTGAGGGCATTGGAGGGGCCTCTGTTAGTATGTTGCTTGTACGTGTAAACTGGCCAGGGCTAGGTTTAGTAGAAGGGGCTCGATTCTGCTCATCTGGATATGTGTTTCTGGGACTGGTGCGGTTCACTTTAGTAGGAGTGGCTCGGTTCTGTTTAGGCAAATGAGTATTTTTAGGACTGGTGCGGTTCAAGGATGAGTTTGATGATGTAGACTCAGTAGATGAATGAGGCCTAGGGCTGCGGTGTTGGTCTTTATTATGGTTAATGATGCTCTGAGGGGCACTGCAACTAACTGTTTCACTTTCTACTTGCTTCAGCAGAGAATTCACTTTACGATATAGGGTCTCATTGTCTGTCTTTGATCCATGTAGTTCCTTAGTTAGAATTGACAATTTATTTTCATAGTTCAGTATTTCTTTCTCCAGATCCTGTACTTTCATCGCACTGGTTGCACTTGTAATCTTGATCTCATCCAGGCGTTGCTTATCAGATATTTTAAGCCTGTTTTGAAGATCCAATATAGTAGCATTTTTCCTATCTATTTCCTGTGCATATTTCCTATCCATTGCTTCAAGCTTTTTCTCTGATTGTGTTATTTTATGTCTGAGTTTTGAGTTTTGTCTCAAGAGGTCGGTCTCTTTAATACTTTTTATTCCAGATTGAGAAATGGTCTCAGTAGGCTTAGAGGAAGTGTTATGTACAGCGGTAGATGGAGTGGAGATTGGCGTTGATGATGTATATTGAGATATATGTAGGTCTCCAGTAGCAGGCTGGGATGGGATTATCTCCACAGTTTTCCCATTGATTTGTGAGTCATTTTGTAAGTCCTGTTGGGTTTCTGGCACAATCAATGTTACGGGCTGCTTCAGAATGGATTGTGACACTTCCGAGGAAGAACAATCAATGTCCGAGAAGTAGGCCAGGCTATCCTCGCAGGCATCTATCTTAAGAGATGGAATCGTAGGTGTTATTTCCGATGGTAGAAAACCATCGAAACTCTCCTCGTCAGAAGTGCCGATTTGTGAGGTAACAGTTCCACTGAGAGGGATTGATGATTGTGAACTCTCTAGGTCTTCAATAGATTGTCTTATTAACTGGTAATCATTGTCCTTCCAGTCTTCCAGATTGTCTCCCTGTACTGAGACTATTCCTGAATCACAGATTCTGATGTTGATATGATCCCTTACTGTTATTAGTAGACCATATCTTATTCTTTTTGATGTAGCCTTCATTGACTTGTGCTTGTAAAAAGACTCGAATGCAGATATCCATGTTAATACCCTTTCAGTATAAAATACCAGACTTTTGCAATCTTCACCTAACTCTAAGATGCCTGAATTGTCTATATCTGTATATTTGAAGTCCTCATGGATTAGTTCTGGGATTCTTTTTAGAGTTTTCATAGTTTGCTTTCTATCATTTCTTCTTCTCTTACCTTTTAGATCAGGTGAAGAAAATGTCACTGGTGTGCCTGGGGATAACAGTGTACAGGCTCTGCGGGGCCTGTCAGGATTCATGGTCAAATTTATATATATGCACTATTTAGATGACTAGATCTGATTAGTTTTTTGGCATTCTGGGTAAATGTCAAGGCAGCCATTTTGGATTTTCCGTCCTAAAATCTTGTCTTTAAAGTCTTGTCTACGCGTTTTCAGGTAAACCATTTGGTAGATCAATTTTAAATTTTTAGGATGATTCTTAGTATGAAAATCTAGACCTGATTAGTTTTTTGGCATTCTGGGTAAATGTCAAGGCAGCCATTTTGGATTTTCCGTCCTAAAATCTTGCCTGTAAAGTCCTGTCTATGTGTTTTCAGGTGAACCGTTTGGTAGATCAATTTCAAATTTTCAGGGATGATTCCTTGTATTAAAATCTAGAACTGATTAGTTTTTTGGCATTCTGGATAAATGTCAGGGCAGCCATTTTGGATTTTTCCGTCCTAAAATCTTGTCTGTAAAGTCTTGTCTACGCGTTTTCAGGTGAACCGTTTGGTAGATCAATTTCAAATTTTCAGGGATGATTCTTAGTATGAAAATCTAGAACTGATTAGTTTTTTAGGCATTCTGGGCAAATGTCAAGGCATTTTTCCGTTCTTAAATCTTGTCTGTAAAGTCTTGTTTACGTGTTTTCTGTTTGACGGATCAATTTCAAATTTTTAGGGATGGTTCTTAGTATGAAAATCTAGAGCTGACTAATTTTTTGGCATTCTGGGTAAATTTTAAGGTGGCCATTTGCATTTTCCATCCCAAAATTGTAACGGTAAAGTCTTGTCTACTCATTTTCAGGATAACCATTTGACGGGATCACCCATTGGTGGGGACATATTGTACACATTTGTGTTATTGTTACAAAATGCAATTGCTTCTGTTACTCAAAATTAACTCCAAATACTAAACATGACCTCTGAAAATCAAAGATATTTTACAATATTAATATTATGCTGATCATGTTAAGAAGTGAGAAATGGTTATCTTACCTCAAATATAAGTTGACATGGCTGTCTATGTATACTGTAATAGTTTTAAACAATATCCTTTTAAATCCAAAGTTCAATCATCATGGGTTGGTTTTAACATGGACACATCCACTTGTCAACAATTTGATTTAATTTGAATCTACCATTGTTAGTTTCTTCTAATTGTTTCATACACGCGATATGTTCCTGATGGTGTTATAATGCTATAGTACCAATATTTTGCTGTGACGTTCTAATGTTATTTTTATCGATTGAAAGAATGAATACACTTAGACTTTGTTCTTTTTGAACAGTTGGTCCTAAACACACAAAAGTTTGTTAACGATTAATGATAAATATACATACATGTATATATTTTACAAGATGCCATAAAAAATGACATTTCAGTGTACAACATACAAAACGAAACTAAAACAAGAATAAACTATTTTCTACAGAATACAAAAATAAGTTTGTTGTAAAATGTATCATGCCAGAATGTAAAATATCTGTGCGATTTATCATATTTATCTCATTTTTTGAATGAATGGTAAATGAACTTTGTTGTTATGAGACACTAGACCTCAATATTGCAAGTAATCTTATAGAGGCCCTTGTGGCATTTTGGAAGGTAATACAAAGGTCAAATCTAAAATAAGATGTCAAATGAAGGTCAAATATGGTGACTTGTAGAAGTTTTTTAAAGATTTTTTGAATTTGAAGCAAATTTCAAAACTTAGATTTGACGTTTCATTAGTTTTTGACGCTAGTATCTCAAACAGTGCAAAATTTCAAGAGGTAATAAAAATACAATGTATATAAATCATGATTTCCTATCAAAAATATGCATTTGTATTCTTGAGAAACTTAGATAAAATCATTTGTGACCTAGTTTGATGACAAAACTGTCTATCTTGAAAATTAACTTTTCAGACCTCATGAGAACTACATGTATTAGCAATTCAAAGATGATATTTGGAAAAGATTTCTCCAGTTTGAAGTATATATATATATGTAGAACCTTTCAATGAATGTAAATTCTAACTTTCAATCAAAGATATTTATTTATTTAATCTATAAAAAGTATTTATTACAAAAATACATCATGATAAATACAAGGATAGCAAAGGGCATATATTGGTATTATTCATGAGTATTGATTTGCAGTTTAATATCAATTAATGAAAATGGTAACAAAGGTTAACAATTAATTCATGGAACATTATGCCTATGCCTTGTAGAGCAAATAACAAGGGCTTTAAACCTACAAATATGTGCACAACTTAGCAGGAGCATTATGGCTATTAACTGTTTAATTCTTTGATATTCTGTTTACTAGGCGTACTGGTAGAGCAGGCAACAAGGGCTGGGCCTACACATTTGTCACCCCTGAGCAGGAACGTTATGTCTATTTAATGTTTAATTCTTTGATCTTCTGTTTAATAGGCGTACTGGTAGAGCAGGTAACAAGGGCTGGGCCTACACATTTGTCACCCCTGAGCAGGAACGTTATGTCTATTTAATGTTTAATTCTTTGATCTTCTGTTTACTAGGCGTACTGGTAGAGCAGGCAACAAGGGCTGGGCCTACACATTTGTCACCCCTGAGCAGGAACGTTATGTCTATTTAATGTTTAATTCTTTGATCTTCTGTTTAATAGGCGTACTGGTAGAGCAGGTAACAAGGGCTGGGCCTACACATTTGTCACCCCTGAGCAGGAACGTTATGTCTATTTAATGTTTAATTCTTTGATATTCTGTTTACTAGGCGTACTGGTAGAGCAGGCAACAAGGGCTGGGCCTACACATTTGTCACCCCTGAGCAGGAACGTTATGTCTATTTAATGTTTAATTCTTTGATCTTCTGTTTAATAGGCGTACTGGTAGAGCAGGTAACAAGGGCTGGGCCTACACATTTGTCACCCCTGAGCAGGAACGTTATGCCTATGAGATCATTAAGGCTCTACAGAATGCAGGGAGCCCAGTTCCACCAGACCTTCAGAAATTGTGGGATGACTATAAAGCTAGAATGGATGCTGTAAGTAGCATTGATTTCTTCCAATATAATTCTGATTGATTTAAGTTCATTTTGACAATAGGGTAATATAATATCACATATTTTTCCTTTCCTCAAAGGTGTAATTTTAAAGTTGGATAAATGTTGTAAACAACTTCATGAATTTCAAATGTTTTTCTTTACTAAACCATCTCTTATTCAATAAGAATGTACATAGTTCAATAAGTATTGGCAGATAATTCCATATATTTATTCTAGGAAGGCAAAAAGATCTACACATCTAGCAGTGGCTTTAGAGGGAAAGGTTTCAAGTTTGATGAGACGGAAGCTGCACTGGCAGATGATCGTAAGCGATTACAGAAAGCTGCCCTTGGGATTCATGATTCTGATGATGAAGACGCTGGAGTTGATGTAAGTTCAGTTATATACTCATCCCTAAGTAGTCTGGACCATATCACTTGATTTGAAAGTTGTCTGCTAGTTTTTTACATACAGAACTGTTCTGCTAATTTCTTGTACATTAGACCGTTGTTTGGGATGTTTAGACAACTATCTTAAGTATAAATATTTCACCATTTCTGCTTTGGTAAATCAGTGGTTGGCCCTTGTTATTACTTTTTGTTCTTAACCCTTTGACCATTGTGCTTCTATTTGATTGCAGATTGATGAGCAAATTGAGAATATGTTTGCAAGTGTGCGTCGTGTGACTGATGTAGCCAAACCAATGTTGAATCCTAATGCCCAAACATCAACCACCAACCAGCAGAAGCTTGACCTGGCTAAACATTTGGCGTCTAAAATCAACAGACAGAAGAATCTTGGTGCGGGAGCTATAGATATTACGCAACAGGCAGCAACTGCTATCATGAAGGGTGGAATAGCTGGACCACATGTTTCAGTGAGTAGATGTATAGATAGCTATAAATAGTGTGTGCGACATCTATTACATAGCTCAAACCTAAATCTACAATGTACAACTAACATTCTTTCTTTCCATTTTCAAATACATTGTTTAAAGGCACAGTTTAAATACTATAGTTAAACTTAAAGGAGATTAAGCACTGAATACATTTAAAAATCTAAAAACATATCAGGAAACTATCTCAAGATGTGCATAAGTACTCATAATTCAGTACATTCTAGACACATGCAAACATTAGTCATTTCCTACTTATCTAAAAGGTGGACTTTTGGAATACAATTTTCATAAAAATATTTAAGTTCAGCTAAATCCAAGAATGATCACTCTCAGTCATATATATTTAGTCTAAGACAATAGCTGAGCAGATGGCAGAGAAGATCAATGCAAAGCTTGGCTACCAACCCAAACTGGATGAAGATGAAGACAAGGAGGCTGTTGGGGAGACATTCAAGAGATATGAGGAAGAACTGGAGATCAATGATTTCCCACAAACTGCAAGGTGGAAGGTCACATCAAAGGTATGATGACAGAGTTTGACTTAATTTTGCCCTTGAGAAGAAGTATTCATTGCCTACCCCACACACTATTTAATTAAAACTGCATGTTCATAATGAAAATCACAAGAAATGACAATTCCCACCTATGGTTAGCCCTAAACAATATTTAACCCTATACAATATTCTGTAATGAACTTTATGTCTATAATGGGAATCGCAGGGAAAGATGTTGATCAGAATAGTTTAGTGTTTTTGTGGTATGGCTCTATGATATCAATTCTTTGTCAAAAACAGGATTTCAGTTTTATCTCAGTTTCTCTGTTATACTCAGAATTTATGCCACAACCATGAAGTGATGACATTTTGTCAAAGTCACTGTATTTTTGTGACTGTCATTCAGTGCTGGTGTCAGTGTTTGGATTTGACACTTGTAACAAAAGTAGGTGTCATTTTCTCTTGTTATTGTCCTGGTGTTGCATGATAAGACTCAAACTGAAAAATGAGTAAATGCATTGTGCTTTTCTGATAAACAGACTTCTGGTTAAGCTTTCCATATTGGGGCTTTTCTTAATAGTAGATACTAATTATCTGATTACTAATTCATTAAATGTCTATTCACAGGAAGCCCTTGCCCAGATCTGTGAATACTCCGAGGCAGGCATTACAGTACGTGGGACTTACTACCCACCAGGGAAGGGTCCAAAAGGAGAGGAGGATGACCGTAAGCTGTACTTGGCCATTGAGGCAACCAGTGAGATGGCCACACAGAAAGCCAAGAAAGAAGTTACACGGTTGATCAAAGAGGAGCTGGTCAGATTGGTAAGTGAAAGAAATTAGAGAGAAATAAAAGGTTTCATCCAAGAACACGTTTATAAGTGAATATTTTGAATATGTGATATTTTAGACTCTACAATTTCTGAATACATTGTATCAGGTAGTTATTTATATTATAGAAGGAATCTTTTGTTATTTTGAAAATCTTGAATGTTTATTAATTAAACCAACATTTATCCTTTCAGCAAAACTCCTACCAACCAATCAACAAAGGCAGATACAAAGTTGTATAGCTCATGTACACTACAATATAATGGAATCTACAGTCTTCATATGGACATTAGACATTTTACACTAGAACCATGCAATCAATTTGTGTGTTCAAATTCCTATGCTCAGTATCATATAAAATCATGAATCAATAAATGAAGAAAAGAAAATATTTTCGAGGTTTCAGTTATTAATGAGTTGCATAAAGAAGTACATATGTTCAGATTTGAAAACAAATATTAATACATGCTTTGTACGTCACTAAGCATAATTTTGGCAAATTCGAGCACTTAAACGTTTTTTCAGTTAAACCTGTCCAATGGAACACTTTTCTGTAAGACATACCTATCTACAAAGAAAGTTTTCAGAATAACCAATTATTTCTCCATTGACTTACATGTTAACAGACCCTCTCCATATGGAACACTTGTCAACTGGGAACAAGGAGCAGTGTTCAAAGGATGAGTCTGGGAATGAGTCTGGGTATCGACTTAGAAAATATTGAAAATTGTAATGTCTGAAAAACCAACTCAATCACACATATTATTAAACTTCAATATCTTATCTTTCTTCTGAGATTACTAAAATATCAATTCGTATAACAATTGATGAAGAATATTGGCATCAAAGACAGTGCATATCACTTTGTCAGAATTGAAAAAAAATCAATGGCAAATATTAAATGAATTATTTATACAAAAAGTTTGAAACATATCCTCCAAAACATTGCTTATTTTCTTTGTATAGACATTGAATGGTATTTCTGGATAAGTGAATTTGTGTTTATCTGGGTAATCAAGGGATTATAGTCACTCAAAGTTACTGAGCATCCAGTTTTGAGACTTCAATTGTGTTGGTGAAGTTACACATATTTCAGTCAAATTCATGCTGAGCACAACATTTTGGTTTCAATTTTATAATCCCTATACATGACCCTGGTGATGAAGAGTCAGATTCAGTCAAAAAAAAACAAACCGGAAAACTGTGCTCACCGTGAAAACTAAAAGTGAAGCAACTTTTTTTCTGATATTTCTTACATCAAATGGCAGCCATCTTGTTTTTCCCCCTTCAAATTAAACTGGCAGGAAATTCAAAAATTTGAAAAAAATTTTAATCCTTAAATATATTTCAAAAATATGATTTTCTTTTTAATTCTTCATGGGTCTTAAGTTATTTCTTCTTTGTATGTCATACATGTTGCCATTGGTGTTTTTTTTCTATGATAATGACTATTTTTTGTTTGATAGGCTACTTATTCTGACTCTCAGCAGGGGGCTAATTATGCATCAAAACTCATGAAAAAGCAAATATACTTATCAAATATAACTAGGACAGTAATAAAAACCATATTTCACATACATTTGACTGAGGGACCAAAAGGGCATATACCCAGACACATCCTTTTGAAAAGTCACATTTTCTCAAAGAATCATGGAAAATTGGTTACACTGGACATTCCATTGTTCTTCAGAGGTGGGAATGTTTTAAGCCAATATGTGATTCTACAAATTGGGGTTAACAAAACACAATCTCTAAGCAATATTGCTCTACTATCTCATCAGTAATTCATCATTGACAATAATTAAATGCTAATTCAACAAATTGATTTTTGGGGTTGGCCAAAAACATGGACTATGAACACCTGTCTACAATGATAAATTTTGGCCAGTCTGGAGAGTGTTCCTTATTCTCAGGTTTTACTCTACTTTCAAAGAGGTCCAATGCTAAAAGTGTTCAAATTACAGAATGTTTGAAAGTATTCACTGATTAAAAACATTGATGTGTCAATATAGCATTAACAGATTCTAATTTTAAATTGAATATTTATCTGTATATCAACCTGAACATATTGGATTGACAGTGATTGACATTTAACATCAGATACAATTGAAATAACCTTATGGTATACTGCATAAAATTAAGAGTAAATTTTGCTAAATAACATATTCGTGAAAAGAGATTAAACACGGGAAACAGTCATAGTTTCTCAGTCATTAAAAGTAAAATATAACTGGGATTTTTTTCATAGTCTTAAAGTATGTACACTTGATTTTTAAATTGTATTTGTCCAATCTAAATAGTAAATTTGATTCATCAGCATAATGAACCTTGTTTGTGATTTAAAAGCACAAGAGTCATCGTCAGATTAACACACAAGCCAGAACCTTTTCATACTTGTAATAAACTCAATGTATATTTATAAAAATACATTACAGCAAGGTGTGTAATGAGTATGTCATGGAGGTGTCACTGTCACTACATATGTTGAGATATTGATGATAAACAGCAGCTGCGGAAAAACTGAACACAATAATGTTCAGTCTATCGTTTAAGGGAATTAACTTGTTCATTATTTTTGGGATCAAAGTTTATTGAAATTGAGCTTATATTGTTGTGCAATTTTCAATGGGTGTTCTAGTTCAAAAAGACATGGGGCAGGATAAAACTGGAAAGATTCCGGAGGCCAAACATTTTGGATCTTGGATCTTGAAACGTGTTTTGGTGAGAAAATAACTTTAGTTGCTTTTATTTAGATTAAGTGTCAGTCTAATTACCTGTCACTCATGTCAAATCTGATCAAAGCATGATTAACTTGTAGCTGTTATTTCCTGTTTGCAATGAATCATTGTTACATATTAAGAAAGATTATATAAAAGTTAAGATGATGACATAGAGATCATCACATATTTAAAAAGTGCTTTGAAGCATACAATAGTAATGGCCCTACATAGGATAGAAATTCCTGCAAATAAGCTTTCAATGATGACTATTTTTCAGATTGGACTTACTCTTTGTATTCTGGCATATCTGTGTTTATGGACCTCGACTTCCGTGAAGAATAAGTTTTTCCCATCATATCGTAACAAACCATATAGGAAATATGTGAATCGTCATGGAATTAAAACAAGCATGTTCCATCATAAGCCTTACATGGAAGCGTTTCGAAAGGTGAATAGAGGAGAGAAGGTGCTTGGAAGAAATAGTGCGTCAAGAACATTATCAAATCGGAAAAATACAAACAATAAACTATCAGGCCTGAAAAAGAAGCAGAAAATTGACCTTAAAGATAACAAATTCAAGGGTCCATTTCAAGATCCTACCACAGCAAAACCTTTAAATAAAGGAAGATGGGCAAATGAAAGAGAAGAGGTTGTTGATAGAGCTGTATTAGATTATAAACTCATGGAGTCTACAAAGCCAAAGATTGTCAACCAAAGCAATGTTACTCAAAATGCTAAAAACAAGGTTAAAAGTGAACAAATCAATAAGAAGGAAAAAAGTGGCACAATCATTAATAAAAATGAAAAGAGCATCGATGAAAGCGAAGTGACACCCAAAAATAGTCAACTTAACAATAAAATCAGTAAAAGTCAAGATAGTGTAAAATTAAACAAAAAAGGAATTGAATTAGAAAATAAATTCAAGTTTAAAATGCACGGCAATGAAAGTGCTAGAGTTAAGGTAGACACCATAAAGACGGCAGAGAGAGTGAAACAAATCCAAAATGCCATAAGGAACAGCATGCTTAAGACTGGAAATGCAACTGGAAAATTCAATAAGCTGACAAATTTGACAAAGGAAACAATAAGAAGCAAACTTAGACAATTTGGGAGTTTGAGAAATAGCACGCATCAAATGATGAATCAAAATGAAAGAAAATACAAGGCAAAGAAATATGGTGAATTGAAAAAGTTAAGACAGTACAATGCTACAAATCAAAATTTAAAATCAGAATATCCAGAGGAAAGGAACAATACAATCGAATCAAGAAAAATTGGAATGAGAAATTTGGGTGGTCCAAAGATTAAGCAACATGACAGAGAAGAAACAAATGTGAAATTGGTACCTCATAAAGATGAAAGGTCAAAACTTGACAATCTTACAAAAGCAAATGTAAAATCAAATATTCCAAATGAAAAGATAAATACAGGCATATTGAAGGAAATTGAAATGAAAAATGTGGTGGGTGAAAACATGAAGCGACGTGACAAAACACAAACAAACATTATGAAGCCTTTACATAATGAATACATGAAAAGGCCAACGCTTGACAGTACTAGAAAAGCAAAAGTGACATTATTAGATAATCCAAATGGAAGGATGGATGCAAGTAGAATGAGAAAAATTGGAATGAAAAATGTTGTGGGTGAAAAGATGAAGCAACGTGACAGAAAACAAACAAAGATAACAAAACCTTTACCTAATGAATACATGAAAAGGCCAATGTTTGACAATTCTATGAAAGCAAAAAGGAAATTAGATAATCCAAATGAAAGGAAGAATGGAAGCAAATTGAGAAAATTTGGAATGAAAAATGTGGTGGGTGAAGAGATGAAGCAACCTTTACCTAATGAATACATGAAAAGGCCAACGCTTGACAGTTCTACGAAAGCAAGATTGAAATTAGATAATCCAAATGAAAGGATGGATGCAAGTAAATTGAGAAAAATTGGAATGAAAAATGTGGTGGGGGAAAGGATGATGCAAAATAACAGAAAGGAGGAAACAATGAAAGATGTAGTAGATATTGAAAAGAAAAAGCTCAAACATAACAATCCTGAAAATGCTAAATTGAATCAAATCCAATCTGGAGAGTCTATATCTAATTCAAAATATTTGAGAGAGTCAAAGGCAGACCAATCAAACGTACCTTTTAGTAGGGCAAGATATGGTAGAACAAAAGAGGAAAGTAAGAATTCAATGTCTGGTTCAAGAAACAACATGCCAGTTGATGGAGAAAGTCAAATAAAGTCAAACAATCTGCAAATGCAAAAACGAATTGAGAAATATGAAACTCAACCAAGTCAAGAATAAGAATACCATCATACCAATTGTGGCCGATTCTTTGAAGAAAGCAAACCAGGATCAGATTGGTGAAAGTGATGCTTGGAACATTGTCGAAGATAGACAAATGAAGCAACTTTAAAAGGCAACAAAAGCAAAGGTGGTCCACTGATAAAGGAGGTTTGGCAAATAATATAATATACACATCTTTGGAGATAAAGACTTATTATCTAATACAAAGAAACAAATGACAATTCAACAAAAGGTGTTCACAAGACCAATGAACAAGTTTTCATGACAATATGGGAAATTGTGATGGACAAGTGTTCACAAATACAATTGTAGAAGCTGATTTGACTGAAAACACTGAACAAGTCTAGGTTTTTTCTAACATAACATTGTTAAGTTACATTTAAAAATTGTACTATAGTAAAGAGAGAATGTGATCTAGGGGATGACCTTGCCAGAAAATTGTTTAAATTTGAGAATATTTTGGGCTTGTATCATACAATTTGTCCAAAAAGCAAAGGAGCTTAAAGGGGTTGGTATTAATGAATAATCTACAATCTACTAGTATTCAAGAAGAATATCTAATAGCTTTTATCCAAAACTTTTAACTCCCAGAAACAGGCCATTGCCTAAATGGACGGTACAATGGTGTAACTTTAACAATAAAATTAAGTTGTCACATAAATAAGGAATGATGAAGTTAAATAAATTATTATCTTTTTGGAGTAAATGACTTATTTATATATCTCTGCATATGATAGAAATGGTTGATCCTGGCTGTTATGCTTAAAGTCCCCATATAAAGTTTAAACCACTTTGGCTTATATTGCAGTCTAACCCAATGTTATCAAAGTGTGATATGTGAAACTTTTTTTTAACACAATCAAGAACAGCACAATCAACATTACGGTCAGTCCAACCATGGACCTCATGGATTCCCACATTGCTTGACGACTAATGAGAACACAATGAATGGACAATTACACTGTGCATCGCCCTTGTATTTTCTGTAGAGCAGCAAATTGTTAATTGACACACTTCCACACTGCCACTTTATGTGCCAGTCCTTTATGTCCTTTATAAACGTGTTGATTGTGATGAAATTGTGGGTTGAAAGTGAATGTACTAAATACGCCAGTGTGACTTATGCTAGTATCAAAAAGCGAACACTAGTGAAAATGAACATTGAAAGCGTTCGTATATTTGGCGTATTTTAGGGTCGGTCATGATCACCACAAATACATTTTCAGGATTATTTCAAAAGTGAAATATGTTTTGTGTACATTTGAGAGTTCTAGCATTGAATTCACCCGTATCAATGCGTTGACTTATTCACATGACTCTGAGAACGCCTTGTTCACATTCCCTTGGGATGGATGTTGTCTGATTTGTACGCAAATAGGGAAAGATTGTAAATGTAAGTAAACAATAAACATCTCAAATCTTCAATTTTTTGACTGCTGACTGATTCTGATTCAGATCAGAGACAGACTTTGAAACAAACAAACAAACATTTTTTTGTCTCTTGTAAAATATCACAGGGAGATATTTTCACATGTTTGATGTCTAATTAGCACACAGACATTTCTTTCAATTGAAATTGTAATATTGATGGTGATGATACATGTACATCACCTTAGACTATATCCTATTTAGTCTGAATTATATTCAGACTATAAGGCACCTATGTTAAAGTTTGGTAATTTTTGATATTTGTTTACATAGGAAGTGCTATTCAAAATGGCCGATTGGGTAAAATTAATTTGCACATTTTTACTTCAACTAGCCTTATTTCCACTTGACAATATGCTGTGTTACTTTTTATTGCATTTAATTGTACCTTACTATTTAATTGAGATTTTGTAATACTTATTTTATTGAAGAAATGGTTCCTCTAATTGATAATTTTGTGCAAAAAATTTCACTGCAATTTCCACAGGAAAGTAGTACATCATAACAGACTGACTTCTAGTCAGTCTGTTGGATACATACTATACATCACCTGGTGAACAGAACTAGTCGAAAAATGGAAATGTTTGTCAGTTTCGTTCAATTTGAGTAATGATTACATTAAATATCTGAATGAAGAAATGACTGCATTTATTGGTTAGTTTCCATGCAGTAAGGGATTGCAGTAAGGGCAAACTTAAGAACAGAAAATAATTTAGCTTGTACATATGATATCACATATACATGAATTTAACTTTGACTTTCAGGATACAGAAGATACCGAGGAGCAGATAACAAATAGAGCACAAAGTGTACAATGTAGTATATTGAATTAAGAATTGTCAGCACAGTAAAACAAACCAAAAATGGTTTTTGCTGAGTTAAGTCGCACAACTGTTGCCTTCATGGCTACAAGTATTGCTTCCAGTGCCATGCATCAAGTGTTTAACTTTTACTACGTGAAGGTATTCTTGGATAGATATCACATCTCAGAGCCATGGTTCCAGTCTGCTCAAGTGATTTACATGGTCTGGAATGCTGTGAATGACCCACTGTTTGGTTACCTACAGGACAATGCACATTGGGCATGTGTAAAGAGTAGACGTCATGCAATATTGTATGGTGGTCCTATATGGGCACTTGCCTTTCTGATTCCATGGTTCCCATGGGTCGAGTATGAACACGGGAGTTGGCTTTGTGCTCTACACTTAATTTTAGCACTGAGTTTCTATGATGCAATGTTCACATTTGTACTTCTAGCACAAGCTTGTTTATTTACAGAGATATCATCTAACTTTAAAAAACGTGTTGGTTTGATGCAATGTGCTCAAATAGGCCAACTCATAGGATCTGTTTCAGTATTCATATGTGAATGGACATCTCATAATTTAACTGACTATACAGCTTTCCAGTGGACGTGTTTATTTATTGCCTGTATCGCAGGGCTATTGTTGGTATTCACAGGGAAAAATGCACACACCCAATATGATCTCAACCAAACTGCGCTTAAACCCAAAATAACAGTTGACAGCCACACGACTCCTATGTCATTGGAAGTTGAGGTGCAAGCAAACAGCGAATTTATGGACAGGTCCAGTAAGCAATCAGTATGGAGTTTGACATGGCAGATTTTATTACAGAAGAATTTCCTTATATTTGTACTGATAAATCTTGGTCAGGAATTTCATCGAACATTTTGCTCTAATTTCCGAGGAATAATTATGGACCACCTAATTCCTGCAGGTACCATTGAGGGGACGACAAGAAGTGTGCTATATGGTTCATTAATGTTCCTACCCCCAGTAAGTATTAAGTAGACCACATTCAAGAGAGGACTAATCAGAACCGATTTCTTTTTATATTGATCTAGTATATAACTGAAGTGGAATAGTTTAAGATAGCAGATTGTTGCATTTAATGTTTGCATACTGTAGATTGGGTTAATTTGGCGCTACTTAATTAGGCGATTTTGCCATTTTTGGCAAAATGTTAAACTTAACGCGCTGTTTGCAAATTACCATGTAAATGGGCATGTTTGGCTAGTCTATGTTGTGACCTAAATACACTGGACGAAATACCCTAGATGATTCCTGGGGATTCATTCTAAATTTTGGCGAAGATTTATATTGGCGAATTTTTCAAATTCGCCAAATTAAAGCGGGTGCCAAATTAACCCAATCTACAGTATTTAGTACATATAATAAGTGCATATAATTTTTTTTAGAGATGTCATGGGACAAAAATATTTGGATGGGATGGGGATTTTCCATTTTGGGAATGGGACAAGATATAAAAACTGTTGCCTGCTGAAGACTTTCGCAAATAAATATTATCAAGGTGCAAGTTCCACTTAACAATGGACGATTGGTTCAAAGCAAATAAATTGTCAATAAACTATTCTAAAACAAAATTTATCTTGTTCAATAAACAGAAACGACAAATCTTTAGAGATATTAAAATTGATATGTCCGGGAAACAAATTGAAAGAGTAAAATCTATCAACTTTTTAGGAGTCATTGTTGATGAACATATTACCTGGAAAGAACATATTAAACATATAGAAGCAAAAATATCCAGAACAATTGGTCTCTTATATAAGATTCGCCACCTATTGAATAAAACAAGTCTTTTGGCAATCTATAATTCCCTGATATACTCACATATAAATTACTGTAATTTAATCTGGGGTGGCCATAGCAATGCTCATACAAATGAGCTGCATTCCCTACTTCTATTTCAAAAGAGATTCCTTCGAATATTAGACAACCAGCCAAGAATGGCACATTCAGCACCTCTCTTTAAGAAGTACAACATTTTACCTGTAAACCAGGTGTATGAATTTAATGTTTCGAATTTTGTCTATTGTTGTATTTACCAGGAACCTGTTTATTCAAAACTATATAATGATTATTTTAATCAAAATGAATATTTTCACAATTATCCTACCAGAAGAAGTCATGATTTACATGCTAGGGCTTACAAAACAAAAATAGGGTTATATTCAATCAAAGTACAGGGTCCAAGAATCTGGAATTCTATCTCAGATCATGTCAGATTTTTGCCTTCTTTACTTCAATTTAAAATGACTAGAAAGAAAAACTTAATTGCTGAAATATAATTATATATTGTCACCTCATCTACCTTTCCATCCATACATTTTTCCTAAACCGAAATAGAGTTAACACACATTGGCAGCCACAACCCACCACCACTAGCCATAAGTTAGATGCATACATATGCTATCAATATGTATAGTTATTATTGAATTTTCATTTTTGTCACTAAAACAACTTCATACACTTGTTAAAGTGTCAGTTGATGTATAATTTATGTATCATAGTTTGACAATAAAGTATGTAACTAACTAACAATGCTTTAAGTGTAAGCCATGATGATTCAAAAATTATCAACTTGAACTTATGAGAGTAAGCAGCACTTGGAACAACATGAGGAAACCGTGACATCTTTGATATAACTGCTTGCTTTCTTTTAGATTCTAAATATCATGGGTGGTCAGGTAGTAACACGTATTGGAGCATACAAAGTGTACAGAATGGCATTCATTGTGAAGATAGGCCTTGGAAGTGTGATGTTTCTTATTGGCAATACTTGGATGTCCCTGCTTTTGGCATTCCTTATTATTGACAGGTATTGCCAAGCATTAAATCAATGGCCAAGTGTTAAAGAAACCTGGCCAAATGTTAAAGCAATCTGACCAGTGATTATTTAGAAACATGGCATTTTTACAATTTATATCCAGATATCAAAGATTTTCACCCAATAAAGTAATAGGCCTATTGAATGTAATACAGAAAAACTTGCAAAGTGAAATACCTTACCAAAGGTGTTTCACTTACACAGGTTTTACTGTACATGTATGTTATGTTACAAGCTATTGAGAATTTATTATTTACATATTGTTACTGTGTTGTGTTTGCAGTGTATTGACTAGCAGTGTAACGAGTCTGATGGGCATTTGTCTGAGTGACATCATAGATGATGATATGGCAGTAAATAAAAGAAAGTAAGTAGAGATTAACATTTTGTGATATTCAAAATTAGTGTAGTTATGCATTTAAGACTCTTGCTTTATCTCACAGACATACTACTAATTTGTGTGCATTCTATGAGCTGGTGCATTATATTATGTGGTGTCCCAAATGACATGAATGAAATTGATTCAATCTCAACAATGAACCAAATAATATGCTTCAATATTGTCATGAACTAGACTTAAACAACATTTATTGTGTCCGGTGCATTTAAAAGACCTATTTTATCAATGCCTATGATATATTCCAGATTTAAGGAATTTAGATTTTTGAGCTGGATACAGTACTCACATATATGTGTTAACTGTTTCACCAGTTCAACTAAGATTCTGACCTTTCCAGGCACCCAATGTCTTCAATGGTGTTTGGAACAAATGCTTTAATAACAAAGCCAGGGCAATCTCTGGCTCCGATGATGACAGTGTGGATCCTGAACATGTATGGGTACAGTGAACTAAACAAAGAGAAAGCCATGGACAGCATCTCACCTGTTGACCTGGAAGGACTACACGGTGTAATGTTTAACTTGGTGTGCTTTGTGCCTGTCATAATTGGGATGCTACAGTTGTCTATATGGTCGATGTATGGCCTGAAGCGGACACATGAGCCTTCTATTATTCCTAAACATATAGATACATAGCACTCATTTTTCTCACCAGCATTCCTCTAAACTTGGACCTCGGTTTTGATAAAATATGTCGGTGGTTTTTCCAGAATTGGATTAACTGAGTTCTGTACCCTGTAAAAACCTAAAAAATATATGCCAACCTGTTGGAAATCTGTTTGAACTCTGTCAAAAGTATGAGACATTGACATATTTTGATGAAAACAAGTAAATTAGGTGGAGAAAAAATCTGGAGATCACTGTCACTCTATGTTCATAGAAACAGTGAAGCACAACCATTTCCATAAGATTGTGTTTGAGTCTAATGTCTGCCAATTTGTGACTGCACAATGTGCCTCCTAGGGGGGGGGGGATTCCCCAAAGTTCAGAATTGTAATTTGGTCATGTGGTATTCATGACATGATCACGGCGTATAACCCAAACGCTCCTACATCCACGACGGAGCGTTTCATTTACGCGGAAACGCTCCGGAGCGAAATAAAATGGCGGCTAATGAAGATTCCTCTATGACCGTAAGTATTGTTTCTCTCGTTTCTCTTACATATCATATGTTATGGTGAAATATTATGTACCATTCGATGAACAATACCGTGAGCAAAGATCTTATTTATTCAACTTCTGGTGGTAAACTGTTATTTGCTTGATCAAAGCTCCGTAGTGTAGATCGAACGAATCTGAAGATGACGATTTGACCACAAATTACGAATTAAACTAGTATTTCTATGAAAACGTTAATATTTCTCTGAAAGTAGTAGATCACAAACTCATATATTCTCATTTCTTAAAATCCCAGTCCAAATCCATTACTTGTTCTCAAGAAATCGCTTGTTTTCCTCGAAACGCTCCGTCGATTTAGAACACAATTTTAGAAACGCTCTTTCCATTTTGTTTTGATATCATTTTCAGATTATTAGAGAAGAGTTCCGAATCGAATCTATCTCTCAAAAACGTGTTGTACTTGTTAGGCAAATTGAAACATCTGAACCTGGTGGTGCTAAACGTGCAACTAGCTGATTTAAGCCTACATTAGATGATGTCATGCCTACATGTGTGCTAGATCATAAAACTATAGAAAAAACGAAAATTAATATGTGAATGAATCTTTCTTCTTTTGATGCCAAGGGGTATAATAGATCTTAATTTCTTTCTCTTCCTGAAAAGGAAAGTCAAGCTATATATTTCCTAAACAGATCTAGACTACAGGAGCGTTTCCAGTTCACTGTGTTAACCAGATCGGAGCGTTTCTTGAATATGAGAATGTCATCATTTTTAAGACTGGATTTTCGGTCATCAAATCACTATTACGATAATGTATGGTGCGTTGAAGCATTGGAATTTGACTAAAATATACGTTGGTTCTCTAATCTTGGCTCAACTAATCACATGTAACGACAAAATGGGATTTGACCGGTAGAATGACAAATACGTTTTTGGATTTTGATAACTATACTGCTTCGTACAGCTCTTCCTAATTGCTTCAAACGTCAACAGCCAGCCAAGTACAACATGAATATCACACCCATCGAATGGTATACTCGAAATATGTAACTCATACCTCTTATTCCCATAATTGGGGAAATCGTCAGACGGCTCATCATTCCCGCCAGCAAGTTTTCCTACTCCGGAGCGTTTCTTTGTTTAATTTCAGTAATGAAACGCTCCGTCGTGCATGTAGGAGCGTTTGGGTTATACACCGTGATGATGGATCCAGTAAGGCTTGGATGGAGGACCATGTAGGGAAAGCTTTAGGGGGAAGCCTAAATTCTCAGCTGGGTCTGGGTGCAAATAAATTTACATTTGGTGCAAGGTAATATTTACATATATACTCAACCAAGCAGCACTCAGTATATTCATTTATTCACTGGGAGGTTTTAGATACAGGGTTTATTTATTTACTTCAGGTCTTTAATTTAAACATTTTAAGACTGAATCTGAACTAATCTACATTGTACATCATTGTAATAGCACTTTTAGTGTAAGGTCAGTGAAATTAAGTAGCCCATCAAACAAATGAGAATGCCTTGGTCTCTCAATATACTAGTGTAGTGTGTTACACCTGGCGTTGCAGTTGCCCAGTTATCCAAATGTTAAACTTGTGTATTATTAAATTGAGAACAATCTGTGACTTTCACTATCAACAGACTTTGATACAAACATTCTTTTCTGATAATAAAACTCCTTGTTTAGAGAGCAATTTAACAATTGCAAATTATAAAAGGTTTTTAAAATGTGATTTAATTACATGAGCAATTTTTGAAAACTGAATATTTAAGAAAAGATATTGAGTATGAAACTTATTTGATGGTGCAAGATATAGAATGATTATCAGAGTTATGTTGTACTCATGCTAAGTGGCTTTATTAAAATGAAAAGACAAGTGTTTTATAGAATGTACAGTTCATATGCAACTAATAATTCACAAAGGGTTCATTAAAATAAGCGTTTTTTCATGTCAGGAATTGTCCTGCATAGCCAAAGCATGAGTTGCCAAATCAACGACAATGTTTTAATGTGACAATATGTTTTCTCTATTTTGTGGAAGTCTTAACCAGAAAACTTTGAAAAATAAGAAATAAGAGCATTTTTGCACAAACTTATTGAATGACGTTGAAAATATATTATATACATGTACTGTACAGAGAAATTAAGCAAAGTAATGTGTTGGTGCCATTTTAAATAATTCTATTTTCATTATTTCTATTATGAAATACAAAATTTAATATGATCTGTGATAAAAATAAATATTTTAAAGTTGCATTTTGCATTAAGACATTAGTGATCTTGAAAATGTAGATGGATTCATATTTTTGTAATGAATAGTCTCAGAATAGTTGAGAGAGCACAAGATATGATGTAATATTTGATATATAGATATAATATGGTGCTTTTACTTTAAATGGTATATTTTGGTAATATGAATTATCTTCTTGATATATATTTTATATAGAGTGATATATAACACATGCAATTGGGAGCTTTTTGTGGTCTTCATTTTGTTATAACTTGCATATAGGGAATTTAGAGATATTTATGAATATAGCAATATTAGATTTTAAATGGATTTTTGTTGGAAGAGATGTATTCGCTCATAATAAGGCCTGTGGCTTGAAAATGAGTTATTTTTTAAATGATTTAGTGTATTTTTGATGATTTTTAAATGATTTAGTGTATTTTTGATGAAAGTTATGATAATATTAATTTGATTAAAAACTAGTCTTATAATGCAATATATTTAACATTACATGATATTGTTGAACAGAATTGATCAAGACTAGGGAAATAAGTCTGAGAAAATGTGATACTATTAAAGCAGTATATAATGTGTGATATCAGCCTTTTTTGAAAGTGGTATGAAATAAAATTATTGAACTTATTAAAATAATTTCTGTTTACTTGGTTATTGATCTGATTTAACCCTTAAAATAATCCGATTGGGAAAAGTAGATGTTCCTGGCCTGAAACTGCATTTATTCATAAAAAATCTGAGGCTTACTTAGTAGAGTTGTATTAATTCACCTTTCCACATTTTGAGTAGGCCCGCAGCAAACCCTGTATATAGTGAACAATGGAGCCACAAATAAGTGTTCGCTGCAGGTAGGTGTTCACTAAGGAGGGGGAATTATACAGGAGTCAATGTGAAATGTGTCTTGAAGTGGTGTTTCACTATTCACTTTAACAGGTTTTACTGTAATTTTTCAACAAATGACAAAATAACTATTTTGTAGTTTAATGTGGCATTTATTTATCAAACAGCTGAGATAAAAAAAGTATAAAAATATGAAAACCTAATCTAAGTAACTGATTCTAACTAAATGGATGTACATAATATAAACTAATAAAATACAAAGTAAGCATATAGGACTAGTAATCAGATCTAAATAAAAATACTGAGTTTCTGTTGATAATACGGTTTAGTATTTGGTATTTCCCAGCAAGGTTTCCTTTTGATGCATTGCATGTTTACCATTACGAGGTAAACTTCTCAATGACAATACTGCTGTAGACATTCAATCATGATACAAGAGAAGATTAACTTCTTGAATACCAGAGCATTTTTGCCTTATTTTCCCTTATTTCTATGTTCATATACAAATGTTTTATGTTCTTTTTGGTATTATTTTTAATGCAGAAATTTACATCCATTTTACCGATATACCGATCGCTCTGGGCATTCAAGGGGTTAATGAAAATAAATAGATGCATCTTTATTCCTAAAACATTGCAGAAAGGTTTGACACTCAAAGGCATTAATGCTTTAGTCTACTTGGTCAAGTATAAATAAAATACAACCTAAAAACACACATGAGTCTTTCAAACATTCAAAGGGTAATTTATAAACTACAACACATTACTAATACAGAACTGCAAAACTATTTCTACTTTAAAATACACTGATCCACTACTGGTATCTCTGAACTTATATTGCTGTGAACTATTGTGTGTTTCTCTAAACATCCTTTATTAATTAATGAGTGTTCTCTTAGCTGTCATAATTCATGCTTGGACTCATATAAATAACCATCAGACACCATCTCTACTGACTAGGAGATGACTAATTGCAAAAGTTTGGAGACCATTCCCCGCATGATTATCATAGTGTAAAAAATACTTATTGCATTTTGAGATTCAAAAATAATCTAAATTTTTTGTACAAAAGTAAATACACATTGTTTAGTACTAGTCATTGTCCAATATAAAAAGTTTGATAAACAAGGTCTGAAAATATAGTCTTATGATCTAACATATAGTCTACTATATAATCGCATGCTCTAATACATTGTCTTAGGCCTTCATTTATCCCACATTCACAAGTTTTCAGCCTCAAGTAAAATTTTAAAACAATTTCAATTGTACACTACCTTAATTGTGATGATTTTATAACAAAAATGCGCCATAGTCCTACTACATACATGATGGACCAAAAATATTCTTCTTGGTCTCGGCAAAAAGGAAATAAGCTACATTATATTATAAGTTGACTAGTTACATCCATATGCTTTAATGAAGTGTTATTGTACCTGAGTGTGATGCTATTATACATGGACTGGAATTGGATAGACAAAATCTAGCCCATTGGGATAATAATGGAAAGCACCAAATCATTATTCCAAATCCCATTGCTCTGAAACTCATTGTGCTGAAACTGCACACTTTAGGGTAATAATAGCTTATCAGATTTAAAGTTACAGGTGAATCTAGGAATAATACGAGGGGTGATCCAAAAGTCTTGGACGCCACGCTCTAACTTTGCTATTTTCTAATATAATTACATGAAACTTTCAGATAATAAAGATGAACATCTTAACAACTTTGTGTATAAGTTTCAACAGAAAATAATATATTTTAGCTACTTTTCTAAATAGTTTTTAATACCGGGTCGCAGCCACCCGGAACGGTATTTGAATATAGTAAATCACGTCACAACTGTTATAATATGGCAAATACTTTAGGTGCAGGTGCATAACCTAACACCATTCATGATATGAGAGAATTTCCGATTTTCAATCTGAGTGTCATCTACCATCATCATTTTCACGTATTAAGACCTACTTTTCAACATATTTTCCACGAATTTGAACACATTTTTCATACCGCTTTACCAATGAATGAAAGACATTTATGAAACTGTCATTGCTTATGTGATACAAATGCTGCTGGAGTGCCACTCTAAACATCATCCAATGAGTAAAAAACATTTTCTTCCAACCCTTCTTTCAACTTCAGAAATGGAAGAAAATCGCACAGAGCCATATCTAGACTATATCGTGCATATGGTAGCTGCTCAAGGTCAATAAAAGTGAGAATATCTTGTAGTATACTTTGTTTCACTTTGATTTCTTTCATGTTCTCCATTTCAGCAGCCATCTTGGAGCAAAAATGATACCAGAATGAGGGTTGCTTGTCTGATGTCATTTTCTTAGAATTTGACATATACAGCCATTGTCATATATGCCATGATATTCAAAACACAATTAATTGATTGCCTAATAACAAAGGAAGTAAACTAACATGGTTTAACATTCAAAATTCAAAGAAAGATAGTGGTCAAGGCTTGTGAAACAAGTGAAATGGCGGGAACATTTAAGGCTGAAAGTTGTCATGTGCGTATACCGTTCCGGGTGGCAGGGTCCCTACATTAAAAACTATCTAGAAAACTACATCAAATATATAATTTCTCCATGAAATTAACACACAAAGTAGTTTGGTTGTTGGTCTTTATTATTGGAAAGTTTAAAGTAATTTTATCAAAAACCAACAAAATTAGAGCAGGGCGTCCAAGACTTTTGGATCACCCCTCGTATGTTCTGAGTACATTTTCAGTAGTGAGTTTTAGACCAATTAGTTCTGGAGTAGGTCTGATGCGTTTTGTTTAGATTTGGATTTTGGAGTGAATGGATAAGAGCTACGGCTTGCACCCAGTCTACACAGGGCAAAAAAACATAATCATATCTCAATAATTGCTGTAAACTCTTCACATACTACTACTGACTGCTTTGAAATAAAATAATTATAATACTCTTTTTAATTTGACTAGTAATACATGTACTACATTAGCTAACTTAGCTCTATTATATACACGACTTTATGTATACTTTCTACTTTCTAGATAAATGTACAGTGAAGTGTACACTAAAATATGCAAAAAATAAACTGCTACAATTACAGTTTACACTAAGTATATGTACAGCTTACACTGCTAAGTCCAGTTTACACTATATGTACATTTTACACAATAAGCTCAGAATATATGTATCTTGCATTGGCAATGGTGACATATAAAATGTGCTTTTAACTTGTCATATAGGACAAAAGATGTAGTGGTTTAGCCTTGGTGAAATAAGAAACTCACTATTTCTTTTGAAATGTTCTATTTGTGACATTATACCATCAAAGACCATAATGAATTCACATCAGTGCTTTACACAGGGAATCCAATTTTTGAATTCTATTCATTTTAGATCAACAATACTTTGTGTATACTGTCTCAGGAACTTTCTCTTGATAGACCCCCATCTTTTAATAGCAATTGTTCAAGATGTCTGTTCCGTTTCCGTTCAACCACTAGCTGTTGTTGACAGAGTTTAAGTTGAGCTTTACAATGTTCAAGTTCGGTGTTCATACTCCTGACTATCTTCTCAGTGTTCTGCTGGGCGCTTATAAACAACTCTAAGGCACCTGAAAGTACAATGTTCCTTCAATGAATCTTAATACTATTTCTTATGTGATTCATAGCAAATCCTACAATAGAACCAAACTGCAAATGCATACAAGATGCCATTTGTTCACTCATCTCAAGTTTTCCATTTCTGTATAGTGCAGGCAAAATTTGAGTTGGCTGAATGTATAACTTTCAAAATATTTTTCATCATATTTGGCTTATATATTCTGTCACCACCAAAAATTTTACCATTGGCGTTCACCATCTGTAACAAATGGCAGGTGGTGACATTTTGCATGTTAATACCTTGCTTTTATCAGTATTCACTGAAGTGGTCCTTTGAACTCTTATTTCAAATTATCCAAAAATTTAAAAAATCTGCACATGTAAATATCTTCAAAAGAAATTGCTCACCCATTGGAAAGTCTCAAGATCGATTCAGATTGGGACATAACGATTGGATCTAGGAGTGACTTAGAGGCTGAAAATTGAAATCTATGAGTGAAAATTGAAATCTAGGAGTGATTTAGAGGCTGAAAATTGAAAATATCACTTACTTTCATCATACTGACTGCTTTCATTTTCACCTTCATGTTGCATTCCAAGGGTGGGGCTAATAATAGGCTCAACTTGTTGGGATCCTTGGTTTTCAGATGAATGTGAAATTGCTGTAGGTAGCTTTCCAAGGTTCTCCTCTACTTGGCCAAGTGATGTATTGTCAATACTGTTACTTAATGACTGATTTGTGATTGGGCATGAAACAGTTCCAGTTGTGATTGTGTTTTGAGCAATCATGCCTTCAGAATCCTGTGTCTTGTCAGTAGGGCTATGTGTATTATCCTGTAACCCATACGTCCCATTGTCAATAGAGCTTGTGAGTCTATCTGCAATATGTGTAACTTTGTCACTATATGCATCGTGAGTTCTATTTTTCTTTTCTGGTGTGCTTGATTTGGGGTGGTTTTCTTTAGGGTTCACATCCAAGGACAGAGATACCACAGAGTCTATACTACAGATTGGAGCTGCAGCCTTGGTGTGTTCATTGTAATCTCCCTTATCTCTGCAGGTAGAAACATTATTACATACTGGATCTATAGTCATTAAAGAGTCCTGGTCACAAATGGTGTCTTTGAGAATACTATCAACAGGATCAAATATCATGTTATCCTTGTCCTTGTAAGAGGAATTTTCCACTTTATCCTTGTTAGTGGAATTTCCCATTTCATCCTTGTCCCCGTTCTTGGAATTTTCCATTTCACCATTGTCCCCGTTAGTGGAATTTTCCATGACTGCACTTTGTGGATTTGAGATCTTTGAATCATATTGATTTTTATCGAAGTCATTATCTAAATCAATCTCAGGTTCATCAACGTCTATTACCAGTGGGTTTGAGACAAGTGAATCATTAAGGGTAACCTTTGGAATATTTTGATTAATATCTGAATCATCTAGGTTGATTTCAGTCTCTGAAATGTCCATCACCAGCGGTTGCATTCCAATAAAACTGTCACCATCACTTGGTTCATCAATGGATCCTCCTATGTCATTTACAGTTTTATTAGTTTCATTATCCAAGCTATTTTGAGGTGTAACACTTGATTTAGCTTTGGAGTCAATTTGAGTGTTAGAGGAATCTTGATTTAATGTTTGGTTGTTGTATAAAGGCTTGGGGCTGTCATTGAGATCTTCTGTCTTCAAGGGCTGAGAAAGTGGTGCACCACAACACTTAATAGGTGACAACTGACCCAACACTTGTATATTGTCAGGATTCACATTTTCCTGTGTCTTAATCTTATTATCATCTACACTGGGGCTTGCGTCATTTTCTAAACATTTTTCTTGCTTAATGGTCAAAGACCTCGTTTTATGTGTCTGTAATAAAGTTCTTAGCTGACTAGTATTTGTTGAATGTATCAGGTTGTCACTATCTGGTTTGATCGGCTGCACATTGAGTATACTGTCATTTATATCAGTAAATGGTAGAGGGTCTGTCAATGGACCAGGGCTCAATGTACCTGACAGATCAGATGGTTTAGGCACATCAGTTTGAGGTCCTTCTTTTCCGAATCCTACAATCCAATGAAACATTATAAATAATGGCGAACAAAAAATTATTAGCAAATAATTTCTTACAACTAATCAGGCCTCAGGTATTGTTCCGGTTTAAAAATTACATAATTATATGTACAAGATGAAAATGAACTTTTTAATTCAGAGGACGACATAGGTGTTGTCACATAGCCCTGAAGCCAATTACTTTTAACCTTGGCTTAATTTGAGCTGTAAGCCTACTAACAGCACTTGTGAAACTTGCTTTTAGGTAAGAACTTTTGATAGCTATGAGTAACTATGCATTTTCTACAAAATTGTCTGAATAAAGAACTGTTAAGTTGCATCAAGACAGCACAATCATACACAAGTGCTGATATAAGAACTCGTCATCTTACCAATCGATGGAGGTGGTATGTGTACAGATAGTGGGGAGGGGGTTGTCCTGAGTGTCATCCCTCTACCAGGATATTCAGTGAAGCCTGGTTCCCCAGTCCCTGCATCAGGTTGACTATTTGAGCTCTCATTTTGCTGTATTCTGAAACAATAGGTCACATGTATGAAGCACTCACTTGATTTTAATGTGGTATAATCACTTCTTAGTTTGCTTTGATAAGTGTATTATATGTGTATCAGAAACTAGGAATTGCTTTGGAATCACATAAGCTCAACTGTATGTCCAAATTGAAGACGTACTTGAAGATTTTAAAATGTAGTTATATCTTGAAACAATAGATCATGTAAAATTACATATGTAGCAAATATCCTGAAGGCAGCGTGGACAAGTGATCCATATATTCTTAAAATGTATGTTGAAGCCATTGTTCTGGGAGTTTGGAATGGAGATTGACAGAGTTTGATTAGGCTTGAATGGTTTGGTAGCCAATGATTTACCTTGTTGCATCCGCAGCCTGTTGATCATCATCAAGGTAAGCCTTGCTTAGTATGTCAAAGTACTTATCACAATAGAATGTATCATAGGCATCCACCCTGATAGGGTAGGGCACCAAAGCCCTTTCACTAGCAGTCCTATAACAAATAAACAATACTTTTATGTGAGGTTTTACTCAATATGTATTTTTATTTCATATTTTATTTTTTATTCATACAATTTAGTCTGAAGATTCTTCTTGAATAATAAATATTGTAACATAAATATTAAGGTGACACCTTACCTGGTGAGGGACATCAAAGAGACCGTGAAGAGATTCCAAGTGTCCCTCTCAATACGACTGTACATCCCCTGTTGTTGTCTATTGCCACCATACTGTAGAAGCTCTGTGTGGGAGAATGCATCTGCATGCTTCATTATCATATCATCATGTGTGTGATGCATAAACATGTGTACTGTTAGGTATTCACGACATGGTACACACTGTATACACCTGTATCCAGTCTCCGCGCGTAACAGAGCCATATCCAGGACCCCTGTCTCTACAGATGTGTATTGCCTTCCATTGATCATGCAGTGATTCCTGTGATACACAGAAGCATGTCGATGTTGTGTGTCATGTCTCTGTGGGGTGAAATGTTGATGTGGCGTGTCATGTCTCTGTGGGGTGCCATGACGATGTTGTAAGGCATGTCTGAGTGGCATGTCATATCTCTGTGGGGTGCCATGCAGATGTGGCATGTCATGTCTCTGTAGGGTGCCATGCAGACGTGATATGTCATGTCTCTGTGGGGTGTCATGTTGTTGTTGTATGTCATGAGGATATGGCATGTCATGTCGATGTGGTGTGTCATTTCTATGTGGTGTGTCATGTCGCTGTGGTGTAACAATTGTGTGAGGCTCATGACAAGGCCTTAGCTGAGACATGGGGCTGTAAGCTTGGCCCACTGGACCATGCTTCTGGTTCCATTCATTAACTAAGCTTGTTAAACCTTGTATTGGGTTAGTTGATGATCCCTGGATCAACCTTGGCCTAAAAGGGACTTGATCTTCCAGTGGTGCCATCATATTGTTAGTGTGTGGTGCAGTATTGCCATTTGGTGGCAACATTTGGTCTTCTGGTGGTAACAAACTGCCAGTAGGCGGTAACATATTACAGGTTGAAGGTAATCTATTGTCAGTTGGTGGTAACATATTGCCTGTTTGAGCCAATCTATTGTCAGTTGCTGGTAACATACTGCCAGTTTGAGCCAATCTATTGTCAGTTGGTGGTAACACATTGCCAGTTTGAGCCAATCTATTGTCAGTTGGTGGTAACATATTGTCAGTTTGAGCCAATCTATTGTCAGTTGGTGGTAACATATTGCCAGTTTGAGCCAATTTATTGTCAGTTGGTGGTAACATATTGTCAGTTTGAGCCAATCTATTGTCAGTTGGTGGTAACATATTACCAGATGGAAGTATTGTGTTGTCAGTTGGTGGTAACCTACTGCTAGTTTGTGGCAATCTATTACCAGCTGGTGGTAACATAGAGCAACTTGATGGTAAACTATCAGTACTTGGTGCGGTAGGTGGCGATGTATCTCTAGGTGATGGTAACATATCAGTTTTATCCTTTTGGTAATCAACTATTTGCCCACAAATACGAAGTGTAACAGTTTCAACTTCAGACTCATTTGGAACTCTGTCCGTATCATGTGACTGGGAGATATGTTGATCTCTTGGAGAAACCGAGTCATGACAACTAGGGTTGTTTTGTGTCTCTTTGGGATCTGCATAGGTAACCAACTTCTGGAATCCTTCCTTATTTGGATTCTCTCTTTCAGGACTTACGACATCTCTTGAGGATTTAGAATTGTGGGTTCCTTGATAATCAGGAGACTTTTGTGAGATCCTTCTTTGGTAATCTTGAGGATGTCTGGGTTCTAAAAGTTTTGTTAACTCAGGAGTTGAAACACCAGTCATAGGTTGAAATCCTGGGAGGTTCATTTGATGGATACAATGAGGATTTTGTCCCATAGGTTGGCTTGGTACTCCCTGGTAGATAGGATTTGGGAAGTTTGATGCACCCTGGTGGATTGGATTATTGAAAGGTAGCATGCCTGGTGGAGTGATGTGCCTCTGTGCCCCATAGTTATGCGGCCCATGTGTTACAGCAGGGATATATGGATGGTACAATGTTGGAGAAAGAGATCTTAGCTGCGGATTTAGTTGCCATCTTGTATTTCCTTGTGTATGATCTACTTTATTTGCTTTAGACTTATCTTTCAGTCTTTGTTTCTTTTGTTTTCTCATCCGTGGTTTGTTTACTTCTTTCTGGTTGTCTTTGTCATTTTTTCCTTCACCTCCTGCACCATTCATTACTTCTTCAATAACTCTATCGATATGATCCTGCACTGCAGTTTTTGTACATTGGCTCTTATTATTCACTGCTATGGATGATGGGGCAACTGGTGCCTGAGTTACCAACGACTCTACATTTTTAGTATGCAACATATGACTGCTACTTGCAGGTATATTAGTTTGCTCCCTCTCAGGAACAATTGGTGGGTCGACCTTATTGGACTGTTTTTGGACTGAATGTGCAGAACTTTCTGGCTCAGCTGGATTAACAGCATTAGTGGCTACCTTCGTTGTATCAACAGTAACATCACTCATAGGTTGAGGTGCTTGTTTCACTTTACTGATGATGAACTTGCTAGAGGGAGAACATTTAGATAGTTCATCTTTCAGCATTCTAGGATCTTTAATTTGTACATGTTTCTCTTTGAAAACCCAGTTATTGTCCTCATGCGGATATTCCTGAATGGATAACACAGATAGATTCTGGTCTGTATCATCTCCACTAGTAGGCCCAACAGTCTTCTGTACACTGCCTTTCTTAGTTTTCTGTTGGAGCTTACTACAATAGTAGTAATATATGTACTGACTATTAAGATTGGTGTCTGTAGGGTGAGCCCCTTCCAAAGCCATTGATTCATTCGATTTCAGATCATGCTTCTTTTTATTGATATATTCTACAAGCATGTCTTCGATGTCTTTAAAGTCAATCAGTTCAAAATGGCTTCCATATACACCTGTCTTGTAAGGCCTCATCTCTGACATACGCTTCCTTTCTGCTTCAGTTGCAGCATACCATATTTTACTATTAAGGGATGAAATGTTGCCAAGTGCAATCAAATCAACCTTGGGTAGCAGATACTGATTTTCCCTGTATATGAATGGTATGTTAAAGCCAGGGAGCACAAATAGGCCACTGATATCAGAATGCCACATTCTTGTAAGAGAAAGCTTGGAATCATGTACATCGAGTTCAGCTTCATCAATTTTCCATGCTGGACCCAATGCTTTCTTCTTCTTATGTTTTATTGTTGGGTGAGATGGAGAGGAATCATTCTTCATTTTTGGTGGCCTACCTCTCCTTTTCTTTGGCTTTACTGATTCATTAGGTGGTTCTACTGAAGCAGAATATGGTTTTCTTACTTTTGCAGTATCAGTTACAACATTTTTGAGGACCCCATTTTCAAGATCTAGTCCTGGTGAGAGAATAGGCTTACCTAAAGATTTACAGCCTCGTTCCACTCGTTGCTCATTATTTTCTAGTATCTTACTTGTAACTTGTAGGATGTTTATATCTCCAATGGTATCACATACCACTTCTTTGGAAGTTGCATTCAAAATGTCTTCTTCTGTATTAATTATTTCATCATTAGGTGTTGAAGTTGGTGTTGAGCTTAGACATGTTTCCTCTTGAAATTCAACTTCATGGTTAACACAAACCTGTTTCTCAACTTTATCTTCCATAGATTTAGCACTTGTATCATTGTTAATGACATCAATGGGCTCATTTCCTACTTCAGTTTCAATGGTTTGAGTAGGTTTAAGACAGTGAGTCCCATCAGAGGGCTGTTTCTCAACTTCAGTTTCAATGGTTTTTGTAGGTTTGAGACACTGAGTCTCATCAAAGGGCTGTTTCTCAACTTCAGTTTCAATGGTTTTTTCAGGTGTAAGACCGTTAGTCCCATCAAAGGGGTATTCCTCAACTTCAGTAACAATGGTTTTATCAGATGCAACTTCAGTTTCAATGGTTTTATTAGATGTAATACAGTGAGTCTCATCAAAAGGCTGTTTCCCAACTTCAGTTTTGTTACTCTCCAACATTTCACCATATGGTAAAGTTGTAGACAATGTTTCACTGGCTAAATAGCTATGGTCATTTAGAGAGGCATCAATGAACTGTTTCTCAAGTTCATTTCTGGTGGTTCTAGTTGGTGTTGGGTAGTAGTGTGAGTTTCCTTCTTTTGTTTTGTCACAGTTTGAGTTATCTTTATATGATACAACTGGACACAGTGGTTCATTAGCTACATAGGTATGGTCATTTAGAGTATCATAAGCCTTATTAGATACAATCTCCTTGTCAATATGTTTTGTAAGGTTCGAATTAGAAATATCCTTGGCAATTGCTTTTTTAATCGCCAATAAACCTTCCTCTATTTTCCTTTTATTGGGTTGTATTTCATAAGGTTTAGGCTGGTTAACGATACGCGTTTCTCCAATGTCCTTTACTTGCAGCACATCATCTGATACAATCATGTCATTTATGGCGTCATCTCCATCACAATTCCTAAAGTTATCATTTAGGTTTAAGAGTGCTGTCCTCACTTTTCCAACTTTCTTCTTCGATGACTCTGGTGAAACATTACTATCCTTTAGTGCCTGAATGTCTCGTGAGCTTATTGTATCCTTGGAATCATTAGATTGATTGAAATCCATTTGCTTTTCACCTTCATTCTGTTTGAAATTAGACACATTAGGTATTCCATGGGTTGAACATATTTGTTTCTCCATGGGCAATATTGAATATGTGTGATCAATTTCTTCAGTTGATACATTTCTTGGACTAACAAGAGGAGAAGTTGGATCAAAAATATTCACATTGGGAATTTGATTTCTAACTGAAAGAGGATTCTTTAATGTTTCTGTCTGTTTCTTCCCAATAAAATGCACATCAGGTAGATCAATATGTTGCTTACTTTTATTCTCTCTTTCCTCAGTATATGCTTCATAGAGAGTTCTATGCTTTTTTGGTGAATCATTTGCAACACTACTATTTTCTGATGAGGAATCACAGGAACTCTCTGCAGATGAATCTTGTGACAACTTCCTCTTGTGCTGCTTTGCAATTGGTGCAAGACATTCCCTTATTTTGTTCAATGAAGAATATTTATGTTGAAAAGATTTTAACCTTGGTTTTTTGGTCTTTGAAGTTTCACGATTTTCAGAAATGGGCAGTGTGCTATCAGTCTTTCTAGATCTGAATTGAGTAGTGAAAGCTTTATCAACAAAATCTTGTTGTTGGAATGTTTCATGTGTTTCTGCTGGTTTATGTTCTTCAGAGGTCTGATATTCAGAATACCAAAATTGTGGCTCTTCCTTTATGCACATCAGTCCTATATTTGGTATGACCTTGCTTACATTAGTGGAACTCAAATCATCTGGGACAGGTTCTTCTAATATTGTGATGGAAAGTGTTTCTTGGTCTTTTGGGCTTCTTTGAGTGAGGCTACCAGTCTCTTTAACACCTTTTGAACCTGTGTTCATTTCTTTCTTTTCATTTACCAGATCAATGTACTTTGATATGACAAGTGGTTTAACAAATTTACACATGGCTTCCACTGGTTCATTATCTTTACTCACAATTTCTATTGGCTCATCAACTTTATTCACAGCTTCAACTGGTTGATCATCTTTACTCACAGCTTGGGCTGGTTTACCATCATTATTCACAGCATCCACATGATCATAAGCTTTAGTCACAGCTTCCACTAGCTCATCAAATTTACACATAGCTCCAACTGGTTCATCATCTTTATTCACAGATTGCACTTGTTCATAATCTTTAGTCACAGCTCCGACTGATTCATCATCTTTATTGAGAGCATCCACATGTTCATAATCTTTAGTCACGTCTTTCAATGGTTCATCATCGTTACTCAAGACTTCCATCGGCTCATCATCTTTGCTCACAACTTCAACTGGTTCAATGTCTTTACTCGAGGGTTCTACTGGTTTATCATCTTTACTCACAGTCGGTTCATTATCTTTACTCAAGGCCTCCACTGGTTCATCATCTTTACTCACAGGCTGTATTGATTCATCATCTTTATTGACAGCATCCATATGTTCATAATCTTTATTCACAGCTTCCACTGGTTCATCATCTTTACTAAAGGCTTCCACTGGTTTATCATCTTTACTCACATCTTCCACTAGTTCATCATCTTTACTCACAGATTGTATTGGTTCATCATTTTTATTCACAGCATTCACATATTCATAATCTTTATTCACAGCATTGACATATTCATCATCTTTACTCACAACTTCCAATGGTTCATCTTCTTTACTCAAAGCTTCCACTGGTTCGTTATCTTTACTTACAGCTTCCACTGGTTTATCATGTTTAGTCCCAGCTTCCATTGGTTCATCTTTACTCACAGCCCCTCTTGGTTTGTCATCTTTACTGACAGCTTCGACAAGGTCACCACCTTTACTCACAGCTTCAACTGGCTCATCATCTTTACTCAAGGCTTCCTCTGGCTCATCATCTTTACCCACATCTTCCACTAGGTCATCAGCTTTACTCACAGATTCAACTGGCTCATCATCTTTACTCAAAGCTTCCACTGACTCATCATCTTTACTCAAAGCTTCCACTGGCTCATTATCTTTACTCAGGGATTCCAATTGCTCTTCATCTTTACTCAAGGCTTCCACTGGCTCATCATCTTTACTCAAGGCTTCCACTGGCTCATCATCTTTACTCACAGCATTCACTGGTTCATCATCTTTATTCAAGGGTTCACAATCTTTACTCACAGCTTCCACTAGTTCATCATCTTTACTCACAGCTTTCACTGGTTCATCATCTTGATTCAAGACTTCCACTGGTTCACCATCTTTAATCACAGCTTCCACTGGATCAACATCTTCACTCACAGCTTCCACTGACTCATCTTTACTCACAGCTTCCATTTGTTCATCCTCTTTACTCACAGCTTTCACTGGCTCACCATCTTTACTCACAGCATTCACTGATTCATCATCTTTATTCAAGGGTTCACCATCTTTACTCATAGCTTCCATTAGTTCATCCTCTTTACTCACAGCTTTCACTGGTTCATCATCTTTATTCAAGACTTCCACTGGTTCACCATCTTTAGTCACAGCTTCCACTGGCTCAACATCTTCACTCACAGCTTCCACTGACTCATCTTTACTCACAGCTTCCATTTGTTCATCCTCTTTACTCCCAGCTTTCACTGGCTCATCATCTTTACTCACAGCCTCCACTGGTTCATTTTCTTTACTCACAGTCTCCACTGGTTCACTATCTTTACTCACAGCTTCCATTGGTTCATTTTCTTTACTCACAGCTTCTATTGGTTCCTCATCTTTACCCATACCTTTATATGGCTCATCATCTTTACCCATACCTTCAAATGGCTCATCATCGTTACTCACAGCTTGCACTGGTAAATCTTCCTTTCTTCTGTCTTCCATACACACATCTTTACTCACAGCTTCCATCAGTTCATAATTTTTACTCACAACCTCCCCCGGTTCATCTTCTTTACCCATAGATTCCACTAGTTCATCATATTTACACACCGTTTCCACTTGTGCTTCATCTTTATTCAATGATTCATAGTCTTTAATGACAGCTTCCTCTGGCTTATTATCTATACTCACACCCTCTACTGATCTACTATCTTTACTTCCTGAGTTCACAAGTTCATCTTTATTTATACCTTCAATTGGTTCATCATCTGGATTCATAGTTTCCACTGCTTCTTCATCCTTATTTACAGTTTCCACTGATTTATCATCCTTATTCAAATCTTCCACTAGTTTATCATCTTTTCTAACAGCTTCCACTGGTTTATCATCATTTATCACAACTTTGAATGGCTCATGATTATTAATCACAGCATGCACTAGCCCATCGTTTTTACTCCTGTCTTCTAATGATTCATCATTTTTACTCCCAAATTCATTTGGTTCATCATCTTTACTCACAGTTTTCACTGATTCAACATTTGTAGTCATAGTTTCCATTGTTTCATCAAGTTTGCCCAATACTTCTCCTGGGTCAACAACTTTATTCTCTACATGGACTGATCTTTTATGCACATCATTATCTTCATTTGCAACATTTATTTCTCTGTTTTTCCCCCATTTTTCTTCTTCGTGAGCTTTAGGCTGAAATTCACTGTCAAGGGGATCTTTTTCTGCATTTCCATTAGGATCAAATAAATTTTTAGTTGTGATATGGGGAACTATTGATTTTTCAAGTGTGTCAAATGCTTTATCAATATCAGCCTCCTTAAACAAATCATTCCCGTCATCATCTGTAAATGAGTTTTCATAAGACTCATGCAAATGATCATACCATTTGTTCACATCTCTAAGAGTATTTGCCTTCAGCAGATTGCCAACTTCCTCTTCATACCATTTGGCTGCTATTTCACCTGGACCTTTTGCATCTTCCAATTCAGCATCTTCATCATTAGCCTTAAATGAATCCTTTTCACATGTGAATTCATGCATTTGATTATTAATTACATTTCCAACTGTTGTATCATCATAGAGAGCTATTTCTTCACTGGTATTATTTGATATGGAAACCCTATTAGTGGAATTGTCATTAGCTGAAGTTTTCTTTAACACAAATGGAATCAAATCACTATCATCATTGAAGTCTCCATCTACATTGGTGGTTTTATCACACTTGGCATCTACAGTGGAGCCTTGAGGATCACTGGCATCTACCTTGGTGCTTTCATCACCATTGGTACCACCTATGCTGGTGCCTTTAGGATCAATGGCATCTACATTGGAATTTTTGTCACGGTCGGCATGTACATTGGTGCCTTCATCACCTTCATTGGTGTCCTCAGCACCATTGACATCTACACTGGTGTCTTTGGGACCACTGGCATATATAATGGAGTTTTTGTCATAGTTGGCATCTATATTGGTGCTTACATCACCATTGGTATCTATACTGGTGTTTTTAGGACCATTGGCACATATAATGGAGTTTTTGTCACAGTTGACATCTATATTGCTGCTTCCATCCCCATTGACATCTACTTTAGTGCTTTTATCACCATTGGTATCTCTACTGGTGGTGTTTTTAGGACCATTGGCACATATAATGGAGTTTTTGTCACAGTTGGCATCTACATTGGTGGTTTCATCATAGTTAGCATCCACACTGGCATTGTTGTCACCATTGGCATCTACATTGGTGGTTTCATCACAATTGGCATCCACATCGGTGCTTTCATCACATCCATGATTAAGATCCTGCTTATAATAATCAGATTGTGACTTTTGTTGACTTTTCTCAACAGTTTGATCGCTCTTTGTGGCTTTTGGTGGCTCATTCTTTACAGGTGAAGCACCAGTTTCATTATTTGATAATCTCTTAACACAAACTACTGGATGAAAGATCCTTCTCTGCTGGGGAGATAGTACCGCTGTCTTGATGACATGATTTGAAACAATAAAAGTAGTTGGGGATTCTATATTGAGATTCTCTTCAACATGCCACTTATCTTCTGCCTTTACAGGTCTCTCTTGTGTGTGATATTTATCTTGTGGAGTCCTTATCTTCTCTTTTATATCAAAGTTTCCAAGAGGTTCACGGTTCTTTTTGAAGTCATGTCTAATGTCTTTACACAGTCTCTTAGATATGCTGTGCAGAGGCGGGGATGGATTAATTGCCTCTTTGCACATGTTGCATGCTTTTCTTGGAGATTGCCTCAATACCACATGTTTCTGTTTCTGTTCCTTTAGGTCTTGACTGCCTCTAATTGGGGATCTCATGACTTGAGGTACCTGTTTGAGTTTGTGTGATTCATCTTTAGAGGAGGAATTTAGCTTGGAGTTCTGTGTTGCCTCTAGATCTCTGGATTTGTCAGTATGCATAGATATTTCTCCTTTGATATTTGTTTTTCTTGAAACTATATTTTTGTGTCCAATTACTGGGGACTTCTCTTTCGCTTTCGTGATAGATTTATATTTACCTTTGTGTATGGAGGTTTCTTTAGCCATGGAATCCTCTTTGATCTTGTGAACAGAACTTTCTTTGGCAGTGGACCTCTCTTTGGTTTTATTAGTTGAGTTTTTTATGGTATGAGTATTTTCTTTGGATTCATGAGCTGAGCTTTCTTTGACGGTATAATAATCTTTGGTTTTATGAGGTAATATTTTTTTGGCAGTGGATTTTTCTTTTGTTTTATGTCTTGAGCTTTCTTTGGCAGCAGACCTCTTTTTGGATTTATCAGTTGAACTTTCCTTTTCATTCTCTTTTGTTTTATGTCTTGAGTTTTCTTTGGCATCAGACTTCTCTTTTCTTTTATGAGTTGAGCTTTCTTTGGCAGCAGACCTCTTTTTGGATTTCTCAGTTGAACTTTCCTTTTCAGTGGAATTCTCTTTTGTTTCACAAGAAAGCTTGTGTCTTTCAGTTGACTTTTGTTTTGTTTTATAACTTGACCTTTCTTTTGGTATTTCTTTGCTAGACTGTGCCACTTGTTCACAGAGTCTCAGTTTTGTTGTGTGTTTAACATTACTAGAGTGTGAGTGGTGATGCTCTTTGCCAGATCTATGCCTATCTGATCTACTATCTTTATGGTGCTTATGCTTTTGCTTATCTGGTACTTTAAACTTATGCTGGGTACTGGGCATGATGTGATCTTTTGAAAGGTGACTATTTGATAAAATCCTGTCTTTCGATGGTTTAAGCTTGTGACTTTCTCTTGTTTTGTAATACTTTGATAATTTAGGATCCATTGTGGATTTTCCAGTTGAAGTCGTAACCGCATGTTTTATTAGCTTTGGATCCTTGTAGGTAAATTCTTTATGAGCTTGATGCTCTACGCTTGTCTTGCTTTGCTTCTTCTCTGGACCAACATCTTCTCCTGATGATAATGTGGGGCTTAATTTCCTTTTCAGACAGGACCTTGTAGAGGATCCTGATGGGACGGATTCTTCTTTATTGAGGGACTTTTTATCTTGACGCATCTGGAATATGTTAGATATGTTTTGAAGATACTTCAAAGTGGGCTACTACGAGTATGAAGGATTATGACTATTCCAGATGTAGTTCTAATTTTCTATTGCTTTAATACTTATGATTGGTTATAAGCTGTGTTTCTGAATCCATAAATCTTCTCCAAATATTTTGTACAAGGCATTAACATGCAAAATGTCACCACCCAGCATTTGTTAAAGACACAGAACAACAACTGCTGAACACAGTTCATGAAAAAGTTGGAGACTATAACAATGTCACCACTTCTGGTGGTGACATAAAAGCTACAATGGACCTCTAGAAATTTAATTTTGGGTTTAATAATGAAGTAATTTAAAGAATTGGTATTAAATGGTAACAGGCCAATGATTGATTGATTGATTGATATGAAAGCATATAAATATTGCTCTAAAAACTACATTACAATAAAGACAAATAAACAATATAAAAGATACAAACCAAGCAGGGTTCACTATCAAGTTATGTCCTTTGTATAATCAATACTGAGGGTACTTACGGTAGTTATGACCTGAGCTGGGCTCTCTGGCAAAAGCCTGGTGTATGGAGATTCTTCTAACTGTTGAACGACTAGAGGACATTGCCGCATTGTTTTCCTGGCAGTTTTCTTCACCTTCAGATGTTTTAATGGAGGACCAAGACTGACCACTGTATCCCTGGAAATAAAATATCATAAATTCTCAAATGAAGTACACTGCCAATCTCAAACAGTATCAAACAGTGCTGTTTATGAAACAGTGCTGGACAGCGCTCTAAAAACAATACTGTAAAAGGCTGTTTTCAAAAACAGTACTGTAAAAGGCTGTTTTCAAAAACAGTACTGAACAGGGCTGTTAAAACAGTACTGTACTACGCTGTTCAAAACAACAGACAATGTTAGAATAGCTCTGCACATTGCTCCAACTGCACTGTTCAGTACTGTTTACAGCCCTGTACAGCACTGCAAGATGATGTTGCAGATTGGGGGTGTACCTGAGACCATGTTAGCATCAAACCACATCATTTTGATGCTGATAAGATCTTAACAATCTCTAATGTATCATTCATGAAGTTAATTGAAAGTTTAAATGAAGGTCATTTAAAGAAAAAACAAGGCAGTAACATGCAAAATGTCACCACCTGCCATTTGTTACAGACTCCAAACTCCAAACATCAGATGCTGAACAATATCCACAAAAGAGACTATAGCAATATGTCAGCACTTGTGGTGGTGACATAAAAATGACAACATTAGGTAGGCTCACAAGGTGATTCCCTATTATGGTAATAGACTAGATGCAAGTAGAAATAATCATGATTTACATCATTAAATATTCAAAATTCAGTCAAAGTGATGTCATATTTGAAATCTACATGTAAAAGTACAACTGTAAATATGTAAATATATAAAAATTGTTTATCATCTTTGAAAATTTTTTTTTTTTAAAATGTGACTTCTAGTGTGGGGAGATTCCCCATAGACCCCGTGGTATAAAATAACAAAATGTGAAATATCTTTTCTTGTATTGGACAGGTAGCATTTTCTTTACTGGACATATTTTAATTTGCATAACTATTAGATACTTAAGGGTGATATGAAAATTGAACCACTAAAACTGTTGAGTTATTTAAGTTAAAGGGAAATTTCTACTTTACCCGCCATGCTATCTGACCCAAACGAGGTGAAACTGGTTGCAAAAGTATGTTATATTACACATATATCATAATGAAATACACACCAGTATGATACGTAGAATTAGTTCATAACTAGAAAATAGCAACGCCAAAGCGTAGCAAATCCCATCGAACAACAATGGCTGGCATTTTTACAAACAAAATATATAGCAAATATCGTAAAATAACACACGTAAGAAAGGTCACCTTTTTCAAAATGGTTGCTCACTAGTCAAGTAGTCATCAGAGAAAGTAATATGCTTTTAAGTATGGCCACTACTACCAAAAGTGTCATTAGACAGTGCGCCATGCTTATAGTATTCACATAGCAAATATAAACAAAATCGCTCCACTACTTTTTGAGTTATAGTAAAAAATGTTACACAGGTAAAAATGGTGGCCATTTTTCAAAATGGCCGCCTACTACCCAACATGTCATTAGTCATTGTGCCATGCTTATAGTATTCACATACCAAATGTGAACAAAATCACTCTACTAATTTTCAAGTTACAGCAAAAATAGTAAAATGGCGAGTAAGGGCAGCTATATTTTTGGCTGCCATGTATTTCTTAAATATTTACATTTCTAGCTTAATTAATGTCCTATATAACTTTTTTACATTTAAAACATATTGCTATTACAGTTTTATATACAGTACCTAAATTACTATAAAATCAGTACTTAAATGGCTGCCATTTTTTAACAAGCGGCCATTTTGAAAATTGGCTTTCGAGCTTGTAATGTGTACAAAATATGAGTTATGTAATTTGCAATCGTGGGACCATAATTACACTCATCTCTTCTACATCCACTTGTAAATCACTCCACTTTTAACAAAAATACATGTAAGCCTACCATGTTTCAAGAAATTAAGGCTGTGGATTTTAGAGCATGTAGTAATTTTCTACTATACTTTCTACTATATTTTGCACTTTTTGCGAGTTTTGGAAAATTTGTGAAATATAGTAGCCGCAAAATTCCTACAGTTCTAATTCGCGAAATTTGAAAGTCGCAAAATTCCAAGGAAATTCCTGGGGATTAGAAGAAAGATCGGTATTACTGTATTGAATGAACATTCTAACGAAATGGCAAGCCAAAATCATCGGGCGAAGGAACAACCATGGCTGATATCGAAAGTCGAAAGAGTGATCTTGGATGACAAATCTGCGAAAATTAATAGCCGCAAAATTTCAAAAAACTGACAATTAGCAAAATATAATAGCCGCAAAATTTAAAATGCCAAAAACGCTAAATATAATAGCGTCAAATATTAGTGGGAGTACAGTATATGAACATTACAAAATATCCTAACTCTCACAAATATACTTTAGAATCAACACTAAAATGGTGGCCACTTTGCAACCAGTGCTCATTTTCAAATCTGCTTCTTATCAACCTTGTTCCCACATAGAGTACATAGGTCATATTCATATCAAACATAAACAACATGCAAGGTATATAGGTCGTATTCATATCAAATATAAACAAGGCATTAACATGACAAAATGTCACCACCTAAAACAATTTGGTCAATTTAAAGCAAGTTGGAAAATACCTTTTGACCTAAGAAGAACTTCTGAGAACATGTAGATGATTTTGAAAAAAAAATTAGTCAATTTGAAGCAAGTTGAAAAAAGACCTTTTTGACCTTGAGAAGGTCATTGAAGGTCAAAGGTCAAATCTAAAGTCAGATTTGAACTTCTGAGAACTTGTAAAGTCAAATTTGAACTTCTGAAAAGATGTAGATGATTTTGAAAAAAAAATTTGGTCAATTTGAAGCAAGTTGAAAACAGACCTTTTTGACCTTTTTTGACCTTGAGAAGGTCATTAAAGGTCAAATGTCAAATCTAAAGTCAGATTTGAATTTCTGAGAACATGTAGATGATTTTGAAAAAAAAGATTAGTCAATTTGAAGCAAGTTGAAAAAAGACCTTTTTGACCTTTTTTGACCTTGAGAAGGTCAAATGTCAAATCTAAAGTCAAATCTAAAGTCATATTTAGATTTCTGAGAACATGTAGATGATTTTGAAAAAAAAAATTTAGTCAATTTGAAGCAAGATGAAAAAATACCCTTTTGAACTTTTTTGACATTGAGAAGGTCATTGAAGGTCAAATGTCAAATCTAAAGTCAGATTTGAATTTTTGAGAACATGTAGATGATTTTGAAAAAAAAATTTAGTCAATTTGAAGCAAGGTGAAAAAAGACCTTTTTGACCTTTTTTGACTTTGATAAGGTCATTGAAGGTCAAATGTCAAATCTTAAGTCAAATCTAAAGTCAGATTTGAATTTCTGAGAACACGTAGATGATTTTGAAAAAAAAATTAGTCAATTTGAAGCAAGATGAAAAAATACCTTTTTGACCTTTTTTGACATTGAGAAGGTCATTGAAGGTCAAATGTTAAATCTAAAGTCAGATTTGAATTTCTGAGAACATGTAGATGATTTTGAAAAAAAAATTTAGTCAATTTGAAGCAAGTTGAAAAAATACCTTTTTTACCTTTTTTGACTTTGAGAAGGTCATTGAAGGTCAAATGTCAAATCTTAAGTCAAATCTAAAGTCAGATTTGAATTTCTGAGAACACATAGATGATTTTGAACTTTTTTTTTAGTCAATTTGAAGCAAGTTGAAAACAGACCTTTTTGACCTTTTTTGACCTTGAGAAGGTCAGATTTGAAGGTCAAATGTCAAATCTTAAGTCAGATTTGAATTTCTGAGAACACGTAGATGATTTTGAAAAAAAAAATTAGTCAATTTGAAGCAAGTTGAAAACAGACCTTTTTGACCTTTTTTGACCTTGAGAAGGTCATTGAAGGTCAAATGTCAAATCTAAAGTCAGATTTGAAGGTCAAATGTCAAATCTAAAGTCAGATTTGAATTTCTGAGAACATGTAGATGATTTTGAAAAATAATTTAGTCAATGTGAAGCAAGTTGAAAAAAGACCTTTTTGACCTTGAGAAGGTCATTGAAGGTCAAATGTCAAATCTTAAGTCAGATTTGAATTTCTGAGAACACGTAGATGATTTTGAAAAAAACATTTAGTCAATTTGAAGCAAGTTGAAAACAGACCTTTTTGACCTTTTTTGACCTTAAGAATGTCATTGAAGGTCAAATGTCAAATCTAAAGTCAGATTTGAAGGTCAAATGTCAAATCTAAAGTCAGATTTGAATTTCTGAGAACATGTAGATGATTTTGAAAAAAAATTTAGTCAATGTGAAGCAAGTTGAAAAAAGACCTTTTTGACCTTGAGAAGGTCATTGAAGGTCAAATGTCAAATCTAAAGTCAGATTTGAAGGTCAAATGTCAAATCTAAAGTCAGATTTGAATTTCTGAGAACATGTAGATGATTTTGAAAAAAAATTTAGTCAATGTGAAGCAAGTTGGAAAAAGACCTTTTTGACCTTGAGAAGGTCATTGAAGGTCAAATGTCAAATCTAAAGTCAGATTTGAACTTCTGAGAAGATGTAGATGATTTAGAAAAAAATTGAAGTCAGTCTAAACAGTATTTGTTAAGTTATAGGAAGTTGTAAGAAATTGTTACAGACGCCGGAACGCCAGACGCCGGATGCCAACCACCAACCGCCGTCGCAAAAAAACGGAGACCATAACAATATGTCACCACTTTTTGGTGGTGACATAACAAAATCAAGCCAGAGTATGTGAGTTGTTGTCCAGACAGACCAAACAGATGTATGGACAGATATACCCCTCCCAAGAAAACTTGGCTTCATGGAATAAAGTGTCCATCTGAGATTTTCACTTTGTATCATTAGTGACATGAAGCTTATAAGGACAAATGAAACAATTTTGACTTACCTCTGTGAATTCCTTGTATTGTATGTGTGCATTTTCAAAACATTTATCTAATTTTCAAAACATTTATAATAGTCTCCAACAATTGAAGGTAGCAAAGTAATTGACTATACATTTAATTGAACATGTTGAGCATGGCAGTAGGTCTGCAATTTATCTGTATGACCTACTATAAAGCTCTATAAGATCAGAAGCAGCAGTACAGTAAGTCTGCATTCTTAATGAAATACAACCAGCCTTCATCTCAAGTTTCGTAAAACTATCAAATTAATGTTCATTTAATTGGTTTGATGACAGCTTGTAATCCGGGTTAGAGTACCACAGAATTGCCAAGTTTCAGAAGTTCACTTCTCACTACATACAGATTTAGACAGAACTGTGAGTGATTTATGTGTTTTTGCCTGATAATACAGTACAGCAAATGTAGTGTCTAAATCATAGGTTCTGGGCCGTTATAAAGATGGCAGCACAAAAAGAATCCAGTATTATCTTTTCCACATGAGAAACATAGATAAACACAGATCGATTACCATGCCATCTTTATTCAAAATTAATATTTCTATCGACCTTTGCCTATGGTCTAAATAAAAGTACCTATGAATGAGCAACACATTCCTATATAATGCCCTCTGGCGATTTAGGGATGCTATTGTAATTGTATTTTAAATTATATCAATGAAATAAATAATAATAATAACACAATTTTGATAAAATGTTAAAATGACATAAAAGCTTTATAAAGCAAAATAGATTTCCTCATGAATTTGGAGGAGGATAAATCTACATGTCGGGTATAGTTCAAGCGGCAAAATTTCAATGAATCACCACAAAAGAGAGGAATTCTAGAATTATATTGGCATATCCAGCTTGTTCTCATCCTCCAGTTCTACTTATATTCATAGCATTATCATAATTTAATTTTGTTGAATAACCTATTAAAATAAAAAGCTAAGATGCTTTGCCTTATATAGTATCTTTAAGACAATGTCTATCCCTATTTCTACAATCGAAATGCTATCTTGCAAAATTAGGTGTCATTGCAAAATTCTGGTGCAAAAAACAAAAAGCACAACATTTGCTTGAGTTCTTGAATGGCAAATTTCTGTTTTCAATTTTCTAATGCAAAATTCTCGAAAAATCCATAGTTTTTCTTGTGTATCTTGTGTGTAAATTTTGAAAAAAATGCAAATTTCTGAAGGGTAGGCAATGTAAGAAGACACCTTCGAAAAACTAGTACGATACGGATTCAAACCCGATTCAAACCCACTTAACCCGATTCAAACCCACTTAACTCAACCATTCACTCACTCATTCCATAAACTAGACAACAGCAACGCCAAAGTGTAGCAAATCCCATCGAACAGCCATTTTTCAAAATGGCCACCTTCTACCAAAAGTGTCATAAGACAGTGTGCCATGCTTATAGTATTTACATACCAAATATGAACAAAATCGCTCTACTACTTTTCAAGTTACAAAAATCGTAAAATAGCAAGTAAAGGCCGCCATTTTTCAAGATGGCTACCATGTGCTTCTTTGATATCTATATTTCTAGCTTTATAAATGTCCTATATAATTTTTTTACATTTAAAACATATTGCTATCACAGTCTTACATATTGTACCTAAATTACTGTAAAATCGGCACTAAAATGACGGCCATTTTGAAAATCGGCTTTTCGAGCAGAACTTCTACCACCATAAGGTATATGTGTACAAAATATAATCAAAATTGGGCCAACGGTATTTGAGTTATTGCCCAGATGGACGGATGGACGTACGTATGTACGTACGGACGGATGACAAGACGGACGGAGGTGTTCCCTATATCCCTCCGAACTTTGTTCGATGGGATAAAAATGATTGTACATACAGCTAGAATATATTGGTTAACAAGAATCTTATACACGATGTTTGAGAACTTTTCATTCATAGATTAATTTTAACACGTTAATGGGCATTCCGCAAAAATATTATGACCGTGTAACACCCAAAAAGCATCTAAATTACTTGAGATGATCTTAAGCTATAATTTGTTTTCAATTGAGAGAAAAAATGTTAGCTGTTCAAAATAAGAAAAACATCTTTCACTTCTAATGGTTTTATAACATAAATAGGGTCTACTGGGGATCTACCCACCCTAGAAATGACAATATGAAAGATCTTTAAAAGTTGATAAGGTCTATTCTATTATATAAATGTATATATGTTGCCTAACTCAAATGCCTATTTTAGATCCTGGCTACTCCTTAAGTAACCAGAACAACGGCAACGCCAAAGCGTAGCGAATCCCATCGAACAGCCATGGATGGCATTTTTACAAACAAAGTACATAGCAAAAATGGCAGGCATTTTTCAAAATGGCCGCCTTCTACCAAAAATGTCATTAGACCATTTGCCATACTTATAGTATTCACATACCAAATATGAACAAAATCGCTCCACTACTTTTTGAGTTATAGTAAAATACGTTAAAATGACGGCCATTTTGAAAAATGGCCGCCTTCTACCAAAAGTGTCATTAGACAGTGTGCCATGCTTACAGTATTCACATACCAAATATGAACAAAATCGCTTCACTACTTTTCGAATTATAGTAAAATACGTTAAAATGGTGGCCATTTTGAAAATGGCCGCCTTCTACCAAAAGTGTCATTAGACAGTGTGCCATCCTTATAGTATTCACATACCAAATATGAACAAAATCGCTTCACTACTTTTCGAGTTATAGTAAAATAGGTTAAAATGGCGGCCATTTTTCAAAATGGCGGCCATTTTTTAAAATGGCCACTTTCTACCAAAAGTGTCTTTAGACAGTGTGCAATGTTTATAGTATTCACATACCAAATATGAACAAAATCGCTCCACTACTTTTCGAGTTACAGCAAAAATCGTAAAATAACGAGTAAAGGCCGCCATTTTTCAAGATGGCTGCCATGTGCTTCTTTAATATTTACATTTCTAGCTTTATTAATGTCCTATATAATTTTTTTACATCTAAAACATATTGCTATTACAGTTTTACATATTGCACCTAAATTACTGTAAATTCGGCACTAAAATGGCCGCCATTTTGAAATGAGCGGCCATTTTGAAAATCGGCTTTCGAGCAGAACTTCTACCCCCATAGGGTATATGTATTTGATATAGGGTATATGTATTTGAGTTATTGCCCGGACGGACGTACGTACGTACGGACGGAGGCGTTCTCTATATCCCTCCGAACTTCGTTCGATGGGATAATAACAAAGAATGTATATGATCACTGATCATATTGTTCTGTGTTTGATATTACCTGTCTTGTATTTCCTGGGAGCCATTTTTATGCCCCTTCCCACCATTACATCTCTCAGTCATGTTCTCCCTAGTATTGGCAGGATCTACAAAATAAATATGTACATGTAAGAATATGTGCACTGGAAGCAAATGTATTTTATATGTAAATGTCTCAATATTTATATTTATGTACATGTATAAGTACTCATTATTAATGATTAATAAAACTAGATAACAGCAACACCAAAGCGTAGCAAATCCGATTTTATAAGATCTTTCTACTACTTTTTCAGTTACATAACACATAAACATGTTGAACCTAAATTACTGTAAAATCGGCACTAAAATGGCGGCCATTTTTGAACAAGCATAACAATCTATTGAATGTGATAAATTATATTCGGATAAACAGAAAATAATTACAGATATGAGTACATGATTAAAATAGAAAATTTAAATAAATCCAACTTACAAAGTGGTGGTGACTCAAGGGGATGCCCAGTTTCTTTACACCAACCACATGGGAATATATCAACACTATCACAATCCAGCCAGAAATCAGACTCTGCTGGGTAGCCATCAAAATGGATCTTTATTTTATGATTGTTCACTTCAGCAATTCTTGCCACCCTGATAAGTGTAGGATTGAGAAGATCTACTGCCTCCAGGCTCATGTTAACTTCCCAATGGTCTGCCTAAAGTACAAAGCATTAACATGAATCGAATGTCATCTCCTAACTTTTTACAGATGCTTTTTTTACAATTTGCCACCACTTCTTGTATATAACAATATGTCACCACTTCTTGTCTATGACAATATGTCACCACTTATCTATGACAATTTGCCACCACTTCTTGTATATGACAATATGTCACCACTTGTCTATGACAATATGTCACCACTTGTCTATCACAATATGTCACCACAACAATCAGGCACTGGGGGCACCATGTAACCACTTAAGTTTAATGACCTTTTTTAATGTATCTCCTTTAAAGTGAGCATTATTTTTGCTAGCATGGAAAAGTACACAGCCCTGTCATTTGACACCATGTTATAGTAACTGTTAAGTTTGGCATCAAGGGGCTGATTTAAGAGGGTACATGACTTTCAAACAGGAGCTATCTCTATAGCTATCAGACCATGCATACTGAGCATAGTGACAGTGAATCAAGTCTATTAGCCTAACAGTAAGCAAATCATGATAATCCTAATAATGGCAAATCTGGTAAAAACATCTACTTTAGAATCCTATATCTGACAATAGGTATACAAATTATGTAATCCTCAACAAGATGAAATGTCAAGTTGTGCAATGCCTGAATAATATTCCCTTGCAATATTTACATTACCTGTTTAAATGCTGATAGTGGTACAGGTAATGCCTTGACTTTCTGGAGATATATTGGCCAACTGAAACTTTCCAAATCTCCATCAAACTCTGAAAGTAAAAACAAACAAAAGTGATGCACAGGAAATGCTTATCCAAAAATCTAGGGGGAGAATAATTGTATATAGGGAGACACAAAAATGAGTAATGATTTCTCAACCCAACCTTTGAGAATCTGGGATATTTTGCACTTTACTGTACCAGATCTGAGAGTGAGTAGAAAACGTACAAGCATTCACATTTCATTATTTATTTCATTGTTACATGTTTCAGATTGGCTGTTTAATTAAATGCAACCAGAAAAAAGGTAAAAAACTAGAAAACAGCAATTCCACTTCGTTCAGTGGGATTATTTATTCACAATAACACCTTTTTACCCATATACTATAATTTCTTAAGAGGAAAGATTTGACTATGATTTCTTAAGAAGAGAGTAATTTATAATGAGGAGATTTTTTGTTCTCCAGGCAGTGTTCTTGTCTGGTAATCCATCTATTCATGGATGGTATGATTTAAAATTGAAAAGGTATGCAATCCTTAGAAGCCTAACTTAAATCATGATTGTCAACTTAACCTAATACATGCAGAATTCAAATTGAAGAGTTTGGATTGTGAGTTTGGGTCCTGGCCAAGACAAGTTATACTGTTCAGGAAAGAAAGCAAGGGAGGGGGGGGGGTTTAGAGCCATCCTGTTTTAGTAAAATAAAATAATTCATATTTGCACAAGTGATATCATTTCAATAGCTATATATTTTGTATATAGTTTTAAAGAAGGTAGGCATTGCTTTTAATAAAGAATTCAAAAAATATATTATTTTCAATAAAATGTTGATTTGTGACGTCAAATATTTGAATGTTCCGCCACTTTAATATAAGAACAAGAGTTCTGATTACCAAATATTAGACAACAATTTCATTTGATACTTAAACAGGTTATGATGCTGTACATTGTTACAATGTTTATAAAAAGATAAAAGTGGCCTCCATTTCAAATGCATGAATTTGAGCAAAATATTTGCAGATTGAAACATTTTTCATTATTATTAACTATCTTTTAAATGTAAGAATTTATCAGAAGATGACATTCATAGCCTAATGGTGTGTTGTTTGTTGTTTACGTTTGAAATAACCTGCTCAAAGAAAAGGGAAATTGTTTTCAAATATGCAGTCATTACCCAGGTCATCTTGTGTAGTTTAGAGTTAGAATAACTTGAACCCCTGAGAGCCTTATTAAAGTTATTTTAAATTCACTTGAGAAATGACACTGAAATTGGTATCGCAACAAAATAAGGTTGAAAATCAGATTTTCAAAAGTCAGTTTCAGAGCTGATGCCATTTGCTTTAAAGAGCAAGAACCACAAATTCTATCCCAGTTATTTAAATACTTGCTAGCTTTTTAACCTTATCACCTTCACTTTTATTACTGGATCATTCTGGGATGAGAAGACAAACTGAATAATTCGATAATTCCTAATTAATGTTTCTCAACTGAAAACTAATTTCATAGTTAAAATTAAGTTTTAGTATAATATTGCAGTCATTTTACTTTGGGCATTTTTAGAATTACTCAGGTAAAACAAACCCATCCCATAAATTAAGAGAACTAGTTAACTTGTGTACCTGGATGGATCATGTCAATGTGCCTATCTGAGACGAGACTAACTGAAGTGACACCCAAACTATAGTCTCAGCCTTGCATTGACAAGCCAGTATATGGTCAAATATGTTGGTTCTGAAAACCTTGTTTCAATTTTATGAAAAATCTGAGATAGTTTGGAGATGAACTTTGCTATGCATTTTGTAAAAACACTTTCAAATATGAGAAGGGAAGGGGGCAAATTATCTAACACCAATGCTGAGGTTTAGCAGGTTCCATTCAAAAAATTTTTAATGCCAGATATCTTTATAAACCAAGGGATGATGAACATTCACAAATTGTATTTATGTCAGAAGATTTATCACAGTGTATTTGGTCCTTCCTTGCTATGAATGCCTGGGTATAAAATTAGAACTTTTTAAAAGGAGAAAACATTCATGATTCAAATAAATTTTAATAACTTTTAACTTTATCTTCGAAAGTTGTTTTTTCAAAATATTTTTAAGAACAAAATAACCCGAAGGAAGATAAACGTTCAAAAATTACATTCATGCCAGAATTACTTAACCTCAAATTATTTATGACACAATCACAACATAAATGCGCAATGTAGGAGCAAACTGACTCATACAACATTGGTTTGACGGAGAAAGAAATAGAAAATAGGCGCAATGGAAAAACTTAACTTCAATACTATAGTCTCTCAAGACAAACCGGTGAGTAATTTTTATTAAAAGTTTTTTAAGTAAATAATGGTATACATGACAAAGTGAATGGAAGAGCAGTGAACTGGTATTTTCAACTTTTACGACTTTTTTCATATGTTGATCAGTGTTCTCACCAGGAAATTTTAGGACTGTTTTTTTCACCCCCCCCCCTGCATGTGAGATTGGAGATTTCCTATCAATATACTTTTCAAAATACTACTGAAGAGTATCTGCCTAATTTAATCACAATGCACATTTCTAAAAGGTATCTGACTTTCTATTCCTTATTTCTATCTAGTTTTTTTATGTATTTTCTCAAGAGATTTACCAAAAATGTGACAAGGATGTAAAATTAGACTCCAGAATTGTTTTCTAAAACATTTTAGACTTTGACAGAGCTCTCAGACTATGGCACAAGAGAGTCTGAACACATTAGACAAAAAGGGGAAGCTGCAGAGTCTAAAAACCTAGTGAGAACCCTGATGATCAGTGCGGAATCTCATCAGTTAGAAATTAAATGCCTATTTTATTGTTAACCCATCAGCAATTAGAATTGTTTAAGTTAAATAATTTGATTGACATGTAAAGTTATCAACCCTTAATATATTTTGAGCCCATTTTTTAAATATGAAAAATTGCTTTTTGGACCCTTCTCAAAAATATGGCTAATGCAGATGAAGAACTTTTCAAAAACAAATAACCAATCAAGACCCATTAAGAAATTCCAAATCCACCATGATCTATTCCCTAGAACCCCCTTTAACAACATTGTTGCTCTGTAACTATTGCCAATATCATCAGTAAGAGTAACAGTTCTACTTTTATTATTCAGATGTCTGATGTGAAGACCAACAATGACGACAAAGTAAAGAAGATGTACATTGTGATTGCAATTGAAACTGCAATGATAGTTGGTTTGATGGCTGGATGTGTTTGCATATACCTTAGTACCCGGAATATTTGTCCCCTATCAAAGGTACGATAGCTACTATATACCTTTTAAAATTTTAAATCCATAAATTTAACACCAGAAAATGTTTTTCTAACAACATACAAGGTCCAATTCATCTACAATTCAATCTAACCTGTTATTAGATAAATAAATGGTACATGCAAATAAATATACAAAGGTATATGTATAAATAAGACACTAATGTTCATGGTATCCTTTAAGAAACATTTACTCCTGTCTGCAGGGATACAGAGTGAATGTGCATAATAAAGATGGGGTGACTGTTAGAGAGGACATTGATGTGGACAGAGAACATGGAGTTGTGATTCACCATGTATCCAACCAGGCCATCCTTACACATCGTAAATTGGTAAGAGCTGGCAGTTAGCATTTACTTATATTGTTGTTTTCATTATAACATATTGCAGCATTTTGTTTCTTTCTCAACATCAAAACATACATGAATATAGCTGTAGTCGTTTCAGTGATGAGCTAAAAATTGGCAAGACTAGAACCACCTTTTAAAAATTATGAATAATACAAATTTATTTCAGGGTGTCAGTGTAATGAGGTTTGCAGCAGAGAAGGAGTGCTACATTAGAGAGTTGATGGATGACCAAGAAAAGGAATTGGGTGATGAACAGGACAAAGGCAATGAAGTAAGTCACTCAATGATTAATAATATTAAGAAAGGGGGTTGGGAAAGACATTATGAATTCTCACTTTTCTTTCATTTTATTAAATATTATACAAATAGTGACTGCCATTGAGGGCAATAGTGTAAATTATTTCCCGGAGGGAATATCCTCTAAAATGTACCATTCCCGAAGCCACTGAGGGAATAGTACATTATAGAGGATATTCCCAAGGGGAAATCATTTACACTATTGCTCGAAATTAGGCAGTCACTATTTGTTTTATTATATACCCTGTACTGACTCTTGTCCCGTTTCCCCTGCGAAGGCCAAAATGGCTTAGAAAGCCCCCTCCCCGGGTCCATTGTTAGCATTATAAGCTGTGACGTCATCATATGCTCAACAGAAATTTTTGCCTAAGAAATTTCTGAGACTCTCACTTGACAAATTCAATCGCTTTTAACATGTGAAATAGATTATCATAACACTTGAAATTACACAGACGTATTGAGCTTAGGGGACTTTATCCACGTTGCTTATACTGTATTGTTCATGCACGTCTGTCATGGTGAACGGAGTGTTTGTGCTCATCCTTCATTTTTCTGTTTTTCAGACGTTTCCAAGGGTAATAGAAGTTACAATCGTGATGTCAGCGGGCAATAGTTCAAATGTATATTCCCGCTGACGTCACATTTGAGGGAATATAACTTTTGAAGGGAAATAGTAAATCTATTTTGGAACATTTGACTAGGTATTGACCAATCACCCGGCCCCTTAGGTATTCTTTAAAAATTGATATCTCTTGTTTTGTGTATTTGTATCTAGGAGGTGATTGATGTAAATGTTGATGAAGTAAGAGAATATAACTATGTAAAATCAGATAGACCGGTTGACATGACTGCTCTGGGGGATAATATTGGAGAGTTCTGCAAGGGGACGGAGATATCGTGGGTTCGGAAAAAGAAAGATGAACCAGACAGTGCTCCTAAAGGTAAAATCAATAACAATACATTTAAATGTTTGTATCATCAACATAATATTTGTTTTCATTAAAAAAACTTTATTTCGCATATAATAAAACAAATGGTGATAAAGAAGCATATTCTGTAAGGTGGCATAAAAGTCTCTCTGAAATACCTTCTGTTTGTTGAATGAATAGTTTATACATGCCACGGTTTAATCCAGATCACACCACAATGGAAGCACTGGTAGTTGAATATCTTAAACTTTGGTTCTAGAGAAAACACAATCTATGGAGGAAATCTGCACATTTTTGTCAATTTTTAGTCTCACTAATTGTATTGTTGCAGCTTCACAAAAAAAGTTTCCACTAAAACTACTCAAGATAGTGCTCCAAACACTTCTCTACACCATGTGAGACATTGTATTAGAATGTTTAAAATTATTAGATCATTTTTTGTATTTTTAGTGTTTCTTTGAAGTGACATACCCTTTGAAAAATCAAAGAGAGTCGGCGTGGCATAATGGGACCAGATATGCTATAATGACTACTTATACTGCTCCAAGTAGTGTTCTCAAATCATTTCCAAACCAAATATAACAACATTAATTGATATCATTGTATACTATTTATTGAAATACAGAAGAAAGGAGAGATGATATGATAAAAGTTTACAAAATTTTCAATGGACATGTCAGTATCAAATCAAGTTCCTTCTTCATTGAGAATAAATCCACCACCAGGGGTCGTCATAAACTATATAAACAATGTCTTGGACTTGACATTGGGAAAAACTCCTTCAGCCAAAGGATTATTTATGACTGGAACTCATTAACATCATTTATCATACAATCTCAATCATTAGAGACAACACGCATTGGAAACGGGAACAATTTAATCATGATATGACATGAAGATGAGGACAACTACAGGATCCAAAAGTTATCTCATGAAATTTGAAGGTGATGTCTACAGTGGTTCTGTCGAGTATGGATGGACGAACAAACAGATGTGTCTAGGCTCACAATATGGCCCTATGGGGACATAAAAAGACTAGGATCTTGAGCCTTAAATTAAACTTTGTTCAATTTCATATGTTTGGATATATTTATTTTTCAGATCATCCTCAAGATCGAGTAAAACGTCAGAAAAAGGGCAAAATCCAAAGGAATTCCACAGCCTCAATAAAGACCAAATCCCCAAGAATGGCTACAACTAGCACAAGGACAATCTCCAAAGTTGTCTGCGTATACAGAGTAGTAAGAATAACGAGGATATATGTCATAACACCACGTTACATATATGTATGTACGGTGATAGAAGCAGAACTGGTGGGAATACTATTTCTACACTGACCTCAAAAATTATCTTTCTAACAGATTCAGCCAATTATAATAATAAATGACTCATTGTCAATGTCAAAATCTGAGTAGAAAAGAAGAAATTTTTTTTTATTTATTTATTTATTTATTTATTTATTATCATATTCATTTAGTATTATATATATATATTTTATTATTTTATTTTATCGACTCTTTAGATGTCATATCATGACATATTAGTCACTTAGGTAGAGCAGTTCTTCCCATTGTCGAGTTGAGGAACTGGTATCTTTATCCTGGCTAGAACCATAGACAATTCTAGCCAGCGCCAGCCTTTTATCGAGTTAGCAGCACTCTAGTAATCGCCAGTATAGGTCAGCAGTCATAGGTCAAAGACAAATCACAAGAAGTGCTGTGACCTGGGTTTGAACCCAAGACCTCTACTTTTCAGCTTGAAGCCAGACTTCCTGCTTTTCAGACCAATGCCTTAACCACTAGGCCAACCCGGCGACCTACATTAACAGTGTTGGCACTTGATACCCATAAAAGGGCATATCAGTGCTAAAATCAAAAGTTGTACAATATAAAAATATATTACAATTTATATGAATTGAATGAAGCAAGAAATACAATTATAGATATCATGCCAGCTCATGTTATAAAATACGACAATATACAAAAATGCCTGCACATAAACAATTCAAAAGTGAAAAATACAAACATAATACAATTGTGGAAGAATAACAGTACATGCTCATGGCTCAGTAACAACTCAGTAACAATTTATTAATGTTTTTTTGTAATTGTATTTAAAGGAGTAAAATGATGGTAGAGATTGAAGGGATGTTGGTAAATTGTTCCATATTATTGTTCGAGTATTGAATTGATTTTTTTGTTAAGTTTGATTTAAATTTGCATGGGATAATGTGATGGATTTGTCTCGTGGAACGAATGTGTCTGAAATTAATATTCTGTTTAAATAAATGAGAAGGAACGTGTGCTGGTTCTTTAACTATATTATACATGAATTTTGCTTTTTCTAATTTATGAATATCAAAGATAGTTAATATATGCAATTGCTTGAATAGTGGTAAACTTGGGTGAAGTAAATCTAAATTTAAAGATAATTTGACAAATATTTTTTGAATTGCATAAATCTTGTCTAATAAAAATTTGTTGGCATTTCCCCATATGATGTTACAATATGAAATGTGAGAATATATAAGTGAGTAATATATATCTAGCAAAGCTGTAAAATTTAATTTGTAGCGAATTTTGTAAAGTATACCTAGTGTTTTGGATATTTTCGAAATAATATAAGATATATGTTCGTTCCAATTTAATTTATTGTCAATTATTACTCCAAGAAAGTTTGTTTTTTCAACTCGTTCAATAGTATTTCTATCAATAATTAACTGATATTTGGGATCATTGAGTTTAGTTTTTGACTTAGTAAAGATCATATAATTAGTTTTATCTATGTTGAGTGAAAGTTTATTGCTCTTGAACCAATTAGAAATATTAATCATTTCATTATTTGCAATTTTGAATAAGTTTTCTAGGTTATCATCTTCGAGGCATATATTAGTATCATCAGCAAAAATAACTAATTTGAAAATATCTGATACCTTAAAAAGATCGTTTATATATAGTGTAAATAGTACTGGTCCCAAGACAGAGCCTTGAGGGACAATGCATATTACAGTTTAACAATATTCATTAATTTACTATACTATGTATAGTGTCTTAAAAATTAAAAATTCGATAAATAATGCCATATGTTTTCAATAGCCTATACATGTGACATCACATTCGTTGAAAACCTGTATTTTTTTTTTTAAATACACCTTTCATATCGATGACTTATGCATGGATGGAATACCTTGTGGTATTTTTAGTCACATGGTACATGACTGACCAATCACAAACTGATTATCACTACAGGGAAATAATAATATACTTTATCTTCATGTTCTGTATACTGCTTGATTACAGCAATAATAAATAAAAAAAATGTAGCTAAAAATGCATCAATGAAAAGTGTTACCTCACACCCATTTGCCTTTTGTTCAGAACATACAATATTTTATGTGCCTAGGTTTCGATCCTCCAAATATTGTGAAGGATCCACATGCGGGTTGTCTATTCTGCAATTACTCTAACAATCTGAGTGAGAATAAGTGATTTTCAGATATGTAACTTCAGAGAAATTATATGATAGGAAGTTTCCAGTCAACAGATTTCTTACATATGGAATCTTTTCTCAAAAGAACTTCGTTTGATGGGATAAAGATTTCCTGTCTAATTTTGATGAAAATATTACTTTAAAAGGTTCAAAAGTAAGATACATGTATAAAACAAACTGATCCAATAAAGTACAAGTACAGGGTGACCGGAAAAAAAGGAGACTGTACTTTAATCTTGAGGAAAGTCAGAGCAAGATCTTGCTAGAGAAGCATAAGCCTTGCCCGTAGCCAGGTTTTACCAAGGGGGAGCTTTTGCAAAGGGGGAGCTTTTACTCTTTTGGCTAAAACTGCATGCAAAAAGTGCTCAGAATGGTGAAGGAGCCAAAAACTGCATGATTTAGGGTGGAGCTTCCCACCCTCTAGCTCTCCCTGGCCATGGGACTGTTACTCAATTCACCTATTGCAACCCAAGCAATAATACAGTTTATTTGCATTTAACACAAATACAACAAAATGAGTCTTCTCTATTTTTTATAGCATATCCCTTCTGATTCTTTGTGAATGATAAAACAAACAAAAAAACTGGCTAAGTACATGACATAGGTATGGTGAAGCACAGCCATATTTTGAAAGTATGTACCTTTTTACTTAACAAGAGATAATTGTGTCAATATAATGCTAGTAAATATATTCCTAGATCTTCAGTACTAATTAGTGTATTTCTTTATAAAGTTAATTACAATATATATCATTGACTAAAATCAATAAGGTCATAAAATAAATTATGAGCTGGTAAACAGGATTTGGCTGTCAATATATTTAGACTTTTACATGCAGTTCAGGTTTAAGTGGTGTATATTTCTCACATTGAAAACTCTTCAAACACAATGTTGTTAATCTCAATTACAATTTATTTATTACACCATCATCCAATCATTGGTTTTTAGGCACGACAATGTACAATAGTGTACAATAATGTTTTTACAATTATATTTATATTATATTCTCAATTCCTTCCAAGGCTCAAATAAATAATTGCATAATTAAATTAAAACATCAACATCACAAAACAATTTTTAAAGAATTAATATTTTTACAAAAACCAGAAGCAAAAATTGTTTTCTAATACTATCAATCACTTTGACATTTAAAATGCCATTATTTTAAGAGGCAAAAATCATCAATAATGCTGGTTATAAATGCTAGTTATTACATATAGAGTATAGCTCAAACAATTTTTGATTAAATCTTTTAAACGTGGACATGTTTTGAGAAAGTGTTTATTTATAGTAGTATTAAAAGTGCCTTTAAAAACATGTCTCATAAATCTCAATAACAATTTAAGTCAAGTATTATTTTAAGAAAATACATGCTTGATTCGAGTGTCACTCAAGTAAAGAACAGAAAACATCCTTCTTGAGCAAAAAATTGATCAAAATATTTGCTTTATAAAATAATTCCCTTAACAGCAACAATAACAAAATCCTTATTGATTACAGGTACATTATTTTCAAAGTTATGGCCTTATATAAGGGTCAGTTAACAAGCAAAGGCCAGAAGAAACAACATCCTCATGATAGAAGACAGAAAAACATTTATTCCAGAAGATGGAAAAAGATAACACATATATTGTTACCGATGAAAAACTGGTGAGTGAAACACTGTTAAATATTAATTCCACTTGTTTGTTTTAGTGACATCTATCTCTAATGTCATAAAAGACAATTTCATAATTTTCACTCAATTCATATGGCAGTGTTTTTTTTATTTTATTTTAGGGATTTAATATGGCTTCAAACACTAAGAGGACATACATTGGGGTGATAGTGACACTAGTGGCTATTGTACTGGGACTCACAGCAGGTTGTGTATACCTGGGACTTCAACATCAGATATATCAACATCATATTTCAAAGGTAACATTGACAGTCAAATTGTTCTTTCTCTAATGCTCTGCATGTATTGCATATACAATGTATTCAGTTTTGTCATCAAAGGATGGCACCCTTTGCAATACCAATGATGCATATGAATGTTGTATTGTATAATGGACTTCAAAAAATCTTGCAGTGGATCATCTTTTGAACCATGGTAATACACCAACAATAATGTTTGACAGAGGAAAAGTATTCCTCAATACAGATATGGTGCAGAGACATCTGTGCATTAACTTAGATATTTCAACATGTATTACATATCTTGTCTTCAAACCTTCAGAGTTGATTGATGATTAAATATCATTTATCATCGGCAAAAAATCAAAGAGATTGGTCTATAAAAAGCACCCGTGCAAAAAAGTGTCTATTACTTGATCACCCCTTGTATAGATTAATGGTACTGCTATCAGTATTTTTCTTTTGTTTTTTTTCTGACATGTGGTACTTATTTTAAAAGTGTTTCCTCACAGGGCATACAAAGCTATAAAGTGAATGTTCACAATCCTGATGGGACAACAGTTCGAGAAGTCATTGACGAAGACAGAGAGAATGGTTTTGAAATTCACCATGTGTCCAACCAGGCTATTCTTACTCATCACAAATTGGTGAGTGCTAAACCAGGCTATTTTTACTCATCACAAATTGGTGAGTGTTAAACCAGGCTATTTTTACTCATCATAAATGGTGAGTGCTAAACCAGGCTATTCTTACTCATCAAATATTGGTGAGTGCTAAACCAGGCTATTTTTACTCATCATAAATTGGTGAGAGCTAAACCAGGCTATTCTTACTCATCACAAATTGGTGAGTGCTAAACCAGGCTATTCTTACTCATCATAAATTGGTGAGTGCTAAACCAGGCTATTCTTACTCATCACAAATTGGCGAGTGCTAAACCAGGCTATTCTTACTCATCACAAATTAGTGAGTGCTAAACCAGGCTATTCTTACTCATCACAAATTGGTGAGTGCTAAACCAGGCTATTTTTACTCATCACAAATTGGTGAGTGCTAAACCAGGCTATTCTAACACATCACAAATTGGTGAGTGCTAAACCAGGCTATTCTTACTCATCACAAATTAGTGAGTGCTAAACCAGGCTATTTTTACTCATTACAAATTGGTGAGAGCTAAACCAGGCTATTTTTACTCATCACAAATTAGTGAGTGCTAAACCAGGCTATTTTTACTCATTACAAATTGGTGAAAGCTAAACCAGGCTATTTTTACTCATCACAAATTGGTGAGTGCTAAACCAGGCTATTTTCACTCATCACAAATTGGTGAGTGCTAAACCAGGCTATTCTAACTCATCACAAATTGGTGAGTGTTAACAAAGAGCATTTATGATAAAGAGTACCATAAAGGTTAATACATCAATCCAAATAATATGATTTAATCCCCAGGGCAAAATCTGTTGAGTTAGCTAAAGTAACATCAACTTCCCAGAGTGGTACTGAATAAAATATGTTTTCTCAAATCATTTCATATTTTGAAAATTTCATGCTAGAACTAACTAGCCAATATTGGTAATGTCAAACAAGGTTCAACAAAATGTCACAACCTACAGATGCCAAAGACTGACCACTGGAGCCAAATGCAAATTACAAATGGTGGCTACATGTCATTACTTCTTCAGCACTAGTTCTGATGAAGAGCAGTTTTATTTGTAACAAATTGTTGATAGATAGTGATGGATAATATGAGCTAATAAAATGAGATTAATTGTATCAGTTGTATCTATTACTAACTGAAAATTCTTACAAATGTACTTTCAGGGTATCAATGTGATGAGACTAACAGTGGAGAAGATGTGCTTCATTAGAGAGTTGATTGATGAAAAAAATAAGAAAAGGAGAGACAGAGAAGACAAAGACAATGAAGTAATTTACAAAATATTTTTATTGGTTTAGTTTACTACTCAATTTAAATGATATTGTTGATGCAAATGTATACTCTTTCACTACCCCCCATATATGGCTCCTTGGGGTCAGGTTAAAATGTGGAATAATTGTGAAAAGAAACATGTGAATATCACACCCGGTGATCGTGAATATGGGACGGAGGGGGGGAGCAGGCAATTTCTGCTAGGAAATTCAACAAATCTGGAAGATTTATTTTTTCAAGAAAAAGTTTACTATTGAATTGCTAAATGGATAGGCACACGGTATGGTAGAATATGTTAGGTTTTCTGGGATTTTTTCTGAAACGATACGCATCTAAGGTATGAGATCTATTAAAAAAGGCGCAAGGCCATCAACAGGCACAAATCAACGTTTTTGCTATAAATCAAGCAACAATGGTCTGGACGACCTGTAATAAATACTTGTAAGTGAAGTTATCATAACTAAATTAATGTCATTGCTGAATTTATAAAATAAGTTTCCATATGTGAAATAAAAAATAATCGAAAATAATGAATTTGGGACGGAGGGGGGGAGGGGACGGAGGGGGGAGCAATATGTATATAAGACATGATTAGAGATGTTTCGCGACTTTAAGTCCTCTTACTCCAAATGTCCCAATTTTTCAGTCTCCAGGGGTATATCATCCAGTTTCTTACTAAGTTAATGAGTTAATTTTTCAAATACAAGAATTGGTGTGAAGTTGTTTCACTTTATAGAATTATTACTCCCCCCCTCCGTCCCCTCCCCCCCTCCGTCCCATTTTAATTATTTTCGATTATTTTTTATTTTACGTATGGAAACTTATTTTATAAATTCAGCAATGACATTAATTTAGTTATGATAACATCACTTACAAGTATTTATTACAGGTCGTGTAGTCCATTGTTGCCTGATTTATAGCAAAAACTTTGACTTTTGCACGTTGGTTGCGTTGCGCCTTTTTTAATAGATCTTATATCTTAAAAGAGTATCGGTTGAAAAATAATCCTAGAATACCTAACATATTTTATCATACCGTGTGTTTATTCAATTTGCAATTCAATCGTAAACTCTGTCTTGAAAAAATAATTTTACCAGATTTGTTGAATTTTCTAGCGGAAATTGCCTGCTCCCCCCCTCCGTCCCATTTTCACGATCACCGGGTGTGAATATACTACTAAAGTTTCAAACAATAATATTTATTACTTTGGTTTAAAATGAAAACTTAAGGTTTTCGTGAAAAATTCCCCTTATTTTTAGAGGCGGCCATCTTGAAAAAAGGTTGTGTAAAACTAGTCACCAATATACATCTTTCAACCAAATATGAATAAAATCTGTCTACTAGTATTTGAGATATCTTCAAGACAGATGGACGGATGGACTGACAGACAGAGGGCTTCACTATATCCCTACAGAACTTCCTTGGGATAATAAGCATCCATGTACATGTATATGAATATATGCTTCATTTTAGGGGGTCATTGATGTGACTGTAGATGAAGTAAGAGAATATAACTATGTAAAATCAGATCGACCAGTGAACATGGCTGCCCTGGGTGATGCGATAGGAGAGTTCTGCAAGGGCACTGAGATATCTTGGGTTGAGAGAACCAATGAAGGTGACGAACAAGCACAAGAGATTCCTCCAGGTATTGCTCATGAATTTCTGTCAGAAAGATGAAGAGACAAAATTTCATTCAGATGATGGCAAAAGAGAAACTGCCTTATCAGCATAATATTAATTTTTCTTACAAAAAGGAAATGAGGTACACTGTATTTGTTTTCCTTTTTGGTACAAATGTTTTCACAGATTTATCCATGCTAGTGGATAAGTGGGCGTGTGGGAGTATTGCACCTGACATTAATGTTGCACTGTAAGAAGTCCTACTTTTTGTCCAAAGTCTATGAGTAAATGTTGTTATTATATATTGTTGTTATATTTATTATCTGTTTCAAAATGTATGGAGAATCAATATTTTTCCAAAATTTTCTTTCCAATTATTTTTCAACTTTTTTTCAATATTTTCTTTCCAATTATTTTCTAAAATTTTTTTAAATTTTTTTTTAAATAACCAAAAATCAGGATACAGGATATATCTTACCAACTTATTTCCCTAAAACTCTAGTGGGCATAGGATAAAGCTGAATCTTTCGTTTCTACCTTCTACAGTTGTCAATAATCAACAAGAAGAATGATGCCTATCAATTGTTAAGAAGTTTAAGTACATATTGCACATTGCTTCTATGTAAGAATGTTCAGTCCTATGACTACTGAATACCTGTCAATGAAACTTTTCTAATTGAGCACCTGTTCGGTGGAACACACGTTGCAGTTCCGAGGGTGTTCTACATAAAAAGGTTTTACTGCTTGCTAATATTTCCAGGTCTAGCTCATTCTCGAGAAAAGCGGCAGAGATCACCAAGCTATACAAAGACTTGCTGGATGGAAGATGAAGAGTACTGTGCAAGAAAAGGATGGCTTTTCAGAGCAGGGAAGTGTCTTGACTGGTCAAGTCATTGGGTTGAAAAATGTGAAACGGTTTATTCGTAACAATACCAAAATGATAGAGTGCATTAAAAACCAATAAGCTTTAATCATGAAGTGCTGTAAATACATTTTGAACCATATAGTAAAAGTGCTATTTAAATCTAATATAATGATAATACTTGTTATCAATTGACTCTAATGAGAGCAGGTATCAACTTCTTTATTAAACGACTGATGTATGTGATGATACAGTATTCATATACTGCATGATGGTTATGTTAAGGCATTGGATATGGAGTATATCCTGAGGGAAATATAGATATTCTACCAAGAAGACTAAGCAATGCATGATCAAAAATATTCTGAAAAAACTTGCCTTATATTGTATTGCTAGCCATAGGATGACACTGGCCGGAGAGAATGTAAAGCTGATGAAAAATGTTAAAACTATTTTTGTGTGTTTATATTAATTGTACATATTGTAAATAATTATCACTGGTTCTCTAAGAAGACCTTGAACTGAGCTACCCAAAATAAATATATTTTTTAAATCAAATCAAAAATGTGGAATTTGTGAAGGACTTTTGGATGAAAGGAGAAATATATACTCTATTATGTTACTTACCTTTTGGGGGTCTCAGAATTTTTCCATTTTCCTTGGACCATCCAACAGGATGGAGGCAGGGGCTGGAGATTGAACTCCAATATTCAGTCTGTTCAGCACAGTTATCCAATTGAACAAGTATCCGCCCACCATGTATATCTTTCACAGTCCCTACGTACATAACATCTGGGTGTTCTTTACTTGGGGCTTCTAGCTTCCTCCCTACTTTAAAGCTATGGTTTGACAGCACCTAGGTGTGAAACATCAATCTTGGTTAAATGGGATTTCATCACAAAAACATGTATGTAGGTTAAATTGGGGTTATACAAAACATTAACATATCACATTGAACTTTTTAGTTCATATGTTTGAGGGATGAGAACACTTACTTCAATCTCTAAATGTACAGGCCCGTAGCCAGGTGGGGTTCACAGGGTTCGGGCGAACCCCCCTGGCCAAAAATTCTTTCAAAATCATGCAGTTTTTCACCATTTTGAGCAGTTCTCAAGTGATTTTAGCCATATTTGGGCCAAAATTGTCAAATGTGAACCCCCCTTACCTGGAAATCTTTGAAAACTGAACCCCCCCTTGGCAAATCCTGGCTACGGGCCTGATGTACCTATAGACTATTTCTGACTCATAGGATTCCAAATGAAATGAAGGACCCACGGTCCTGTGCTCACACAGTTTGGAACCTTCAGAGGAATGTATATCCTGACTTTCAAACAAAAATATTGACTTGGATTTGTAGTCTCGAACTTTAAGAAACTTAGATAGCACAGTTGTGTGACCTAGTTTGATGACCTTTGACCTTGAAAATTTTACTTATTCAGAGCTCAGTAAGGTCTTTGTGATTAAACTGACCAAAATTTACATCTAAAAATCAATTTGAAAAATCAACTTTTTTGACCTTTCGAAGGTCACTGAAGGTCAACTAAAGGTCAAATCCTAAAACTAATGTCAGATTTGAACTCCTGGCAACTTGTAGGTGATTTTCCTCAAAAAAATTGGTCAAATTGAAGCAAGTTGAAAAATAACTTATTTTTACTGTTTTTTGACGTCAAATATCTCAAAAACTGTAAAAATTTGATGCTGACATATATTGAGCAATATGTAGGGATACTTATATCTAGTAATGATGTAATTCATTGCAAGAAATGATCAAGTATAAGGCAAACTTTGAGAAACTTGTCAATCACAAAACCTGCCATTGACTTTATACATGAGAAAGTTTCCTGAAAATGACCAAGTCCGACTTTTTGTCAAATTTTACAGAGTAAACACCAAAAACTGTAATTCCAAGAGCTTTGAAATCTTCAGAGGACATAAGTTGCATATACAGCAACTACTAAAAGTTATTTGAAAGTTCTACTTCAACAAAGTGTCTAGTATTTACAGAAAATTTGACTTTTTGACAATGGCGTTGATAGGTCAAATAGGCATTATGGATATGCATAAAATGAATGTGGATATGACTCAATCCGAATAGCAGTTTGGACGGATGGACGGACGGACCAACGGACGGACGCCTGGTCGATCCCATAGGCTCACTGTGTGAGCCAAAAAGTATGAAGAGAAACTTGATTTCTTATTTATGCTCTTCTCTATTCTCAAACACTGGTTGGAAAATAAACAACTGGTAATAACTCTAGTAATTTGTGGCAAGAAAATTAACAATGCAAGACTCAATGTTTATAGATGAGACTTGGAAGTATTACCTGTGTGTTGATACCGTTTTGAAAGAGGGATTCTGGTGCTGCTTCCATCTTTGTTTTCTTCAGGTACGATTGCCATGGAAACTCTCCAGAATACCCTGTAAATGCTACAATACATTATTGCCATGGAGACTCAACAGAATACCCTGTAAATGCTACAATACATTATTGCCATGGAGACTTACCAGAATACCCTCTAAATGCTACAATACATTATTGCCATGGAGACTTACCAGAATACCCTGTAAATGCTACAATACATTATTGCCATGGAAACTCTCCAGAATACCCTATAAATGCTACAATACATTATTGCCATGGAAACTCTCCAGAATACCCTGTAAATGCTACAATACATTATTGCAATGGAGACTCACCAGAATACCCTGTAAATGCTACAATACATTATTGCCATGGAGACTCACCAGAATACCCTGTAAATGCTACAATACATTATTGCCATGGAGACTCATCAGAATACCCTGTAAATGCTACAATACATTATTGCCATGGAAACTCTCCAGAATACCCTGTAAATGCTACAATACATTATTGCCATGGAGACTCACCAGAATACCCTATAAATGCTACAATACATTATTGCCATGGAAACTCTCCAGAATACCCTGTAAATGCTACAATACATTATTGCCATGGAAGCTCTCCAGAATACCCTGTAAATGCTAAAATACACTATTGCCATGGAGACTCGCCAGAATACCCTGTAAATGCTGCAATACATTATTGCCATGGAAACTCTCCAGAATACCCTGTAAATGCTACAATAAGTTGTTGCCATGGAAACTCTCCAGAATACCCTGTAAATGTTACAATAAATTATTGCCATGGAAACTCTCCAGAATACCCTGTAAATGTTACAATAAATTATTGCCATGGGAACTCTCCAGAATACCCTGTAAATGTTACAATAAATCATTACCATCTCTCCCAAATTCACTGTAAATATAAATATAACATTATATCATTGCCAGATTTCCCTGTAAATAAAACAGTAAATTATTCCTATGGAAACTCTTAATAAATACCCTGTAAAAATTACAATGAATTACTAAAACGGAAACAAATATTAATGTTATTTTTGATGTTAACAAAGAATGATTACATAATTTATAAGAAACTAATATTTTTATTTTTAAATGAAATTTATGATATATTTTACCTCATATAAAAAACATAGTCAAATCCATGTGAAAACACTCAGATACTAACAGAATGAGAGCCCTTTAACAAACTGTAGGCTAGTAGTTGTCACACAGGAGAAATAAAAGTAAATCACAAAATCAAAAGCATTACAAGCAAATTCAGATCTATAATGATGACATAGTCATTATCAAAAATGATGCCACTAAAAACTATGTCATGTTTGCTATCATAAACAATATGCCCTTTACCACTCCTAATAGCATAAGTTCTCATTTTATATTAAAATATACCAATAAGAATACATAATAGGTCTACATAATATCAAATTGCAAGCTTGTTCCTCTAATTAAAGGCACAAGAAGAGATAAAGTTGCGTTGAGAGTAAGTAAAAATTGTCACAATTTTACAATGTTTGCTCTCGCCATTCTATGTCAAGTCTATTTTCTAAAAAGTCCAACATTTCTGATTCTGATATTTAAGGTTATTCGAAACACAAAAGTAGGTTTTCATTACAGGGTGGCCCAGAGGTAAGATCAAAGACATTGCTTCTTCAATACTACTGATGCAATCATCATGAAACCTGGTACACAATGTATCCAAACATTACTCTGTTAATACCCTGAGATTAATGATTCAACCATTTAATTGGTCAATATCATGTATGCTATGGTAACCCATATGATGTTACGTCACCTGGAGCAAAACATTTGCTCTGGTGATTGTCACATCAATGTGATGTCACATTTCTAAAATCATATTTATATTTTCAACAATTCTTTGCTTTTTACAAGTCAAGTGATTTTCTAAGGTTTATAAATGATCTCATATTTCAGTTGAAGGCAACCAAGAAGTAAATCATGTTAAGTAAAAGAGCAATACAACAATTCTCAAGTCTTATGAATGCAAGAAAGGAATGGGTACAATATGTGGGGAAGACTGGAGGATAAAAAGGCAGGTTAATGCAACACCAAATCAGTCCTAGTGTAAAAGAAGTCACTCCTCAAACCTGAACTCAAATTCTACTCTTTTTTGTTCTTGATATCTTAAAAATCATTTCATTATTTTGGTACTCCATCACTATGTGTGTACTATAATAGGGAGGTTAAGATACGTGAATTGAGAGCAGGAAAGTAATCTCCGGGGGTTAAAATATTACACGCTCACATACAGGTTCCTTTAAAAATGTGTAACTTAACCTCCTTAATATGTAAATAAAATGTAAATAAAATGTAAATAAATGTACAATTGTTTCAAATGATTTTTTACTTTTTAATATAAAGCAAATGTCATCTAAAACATATATTGCAACAGATTTATAATATGCCTTATTTAAAGTGCCAATTCGGTAATGTCCATTTATTTTTCTTTGTACAAATAGATTCAATGGGTATTGGTTGGTAGAAATAGTATACCAACAGACTCACATCTTCATCCGATTGTCAATTAGTGCCAAAATAAGATTTCCCGAAAAAAAAACATGACGTCACAATCAGAACCGGTTATGGATTTTAATCGGCAATGCGTTATGCAACTCGAATGTAAATTCAGAAGTGTTCATGTTATACTGTGTTCTGATTGGCCAGAAAGGAGTAACGCTTCTCAAAATCACCTCATGGTTCAATGCCTTTTGGTTGTAAGATTTTAAACAGCATTGAGTTATGTAACAGGATCAACTCAACGTGTATAGTTCCTATACTGTATTCTGATTTGCCAGAACGTAATTCTACATGACTAGCTTTGTGAAAACGCACCACAGGGTCGGGAGCTCTAATTGAGGTATTATATTTTTCGCTCATCGGAGGAAAAATCATGGCTCCAAAGTAGTCAAAGTTGAATCATTTCTGCACTGCATTGAATGCAGTGGCAATCAATTACACTGACACTTTATAAGCACGTTCGGAGATCATTAACTCCAGCAACATGTTCAAAACCTGTTCTGATCGTGATGTCATGATTGGCACTTGACATTGAGTTCCCCGTTTTGAACATCAAATTTCACGTTTATAGAAAGATTTACAAAAACGGTACATGGTTTGATTTGTAAGTGGTGTTTACTTCATTTAAAACATGTATAAACTGAATTTTGACCCCATGAGCATCGAACAGACACTTTAAAGTAGAATTTAAGTTCAGGATTGGACACAAACATCACTCATCCCAAAGCAGCAAATATGTGGGTGTTTAATAACTTACCATTGTTTTAACTGTGAAATAAATAATTAAATTAATTAATAAGTTAGTAAATCAAATATATACTTCTAATGTGGATAGTTTATTTCTCATATATGTAAGTAAATACCTTTACCAGCGATGACATTGACTAACATTGTATGGAAAACATTAGCTATGATAGCTATTTATGTTATCCAATAAATAAAGTATTACAATATTTATGTAGGTGAGCCAAGTCCATGATGACTTGGTCCCAGTTTCACCCAGACTGATATGAGATTTGGACATGATTTCAAAGCTATAAATCAAAGCCACTCTTTACTTGAAAACTCAATGTTGTATCATATCCATTATATTCTGTCAATATCATATTTGGATTAATCCCCAACAACTATTAACAACAATGCATAAATCAGCACATACCATTTGGAGGCTGTAAGTGTTTGCCATTGCGTGCTGCCCATCCAGATGGAAATAGGTCCATTGAGTCCATTCTACACCAGACATCATAACTGTCACTATAGCTATCAAGAGTGAGTCGCATCCTACACCCTAGCACCTCAGCCACAGTTGCAACAGAATACAAGGGAGCTCTTCTTGGATCAGCCAACTCAAGTTTCATACCAACTTTGAAGCGGTTTTTAATCATTGGAAAATCCTAAAATTATAAAATACAATGAATTGAAACAAAGGTCTACACAAGAAAATTCACAAAACCACCAAAACTTTTAAAAGTTTCTGTAATAGAGTATAGCATTTTTCGGACACCTTGTACTCCTATAAGCTAGCATTCTACCAGTTCCATATTACCAAAGACTAAAAATGCTGCAGAACAAAAAATAATCTTCATAATGGTTTGGGTTCTGGATCACAAAATGAACATGGCAATTAAATATGTTGTGGTCAACTTCTTCATTCAATACAAACAAACAAACAAACAAACAAACAAACAATCAATCAATGCTCTACCTGTGTGAATAATCCAGTGGGGGCTGCAGTCAAATGATACCTTTCTAAATAGCTCTGCCAGGAAAACATTTCTGAAAAATAAAATTGAGAGCTTTTTATAAATCTGATATTAAAAAATCATGGCAAATTTTGAAAAATTTAAAGATTATATTAATTAAAAGACCATGTGTACTGATAGAAGAATTTGATATTCTAATATTCCAATCAATATAATATGTACCCATTATATTTTCCCCTTTAGACTTTTCCCTCGATGAATGTGTTTTTTCAGTACTGTCATAGAGGTTTTGTAGTTTACCACTCATGATTCTTTATTTTGTTGTTTACCACTCTGTCTGTAGGATGGGTTACATATCTTCATTAATCAACATGCTGAAAAAATAATTACATTTTATTTATTTTGGTATTAAATACAGATATAGAAAGATAGTTCTTATACATCATGTATATAGTGCTGAGTTTGTGAAGGCAACTTAATTTGGATATGATTCACATTACATCCCTCACCCCCTCTCGATTGTTTTCATAGATTTTGTTCATCTTCTGCTTCCAATGCCACACACTTTGGATGCAAATGCTGACTTATATCCTGTTACTGTGGGGTGTGTCAGCTAGGGATGGGAAGGTTACCTGAACGTTCTCAAACTCAAATTGAACAATTCCATGATTTGTTTATCTGGCAAAGCTTGCTAGGGGGTGAATCAAAAATGCAACAAAACAAACCTAAGGTTGAACAAGAAACGAGTTCATACTCCTTTCCATTGTTGATCATTACATATATTTATCTTAATTATCTAACAGAACCTTTCCTAGATTGTTCAACTGCTGGGTTTATGAGCCTTAGTTACCTTATCTATATATTAATAAGTCAATGTATAGCTTACATATTTTGAGCTACTCCCTACTTCACATAAAGGTGCAGGAATGGCTATATCGTCGTATAGCGATATATATCGTCTCTCAGACGATATATTCGTGAAACTATCTCTCCCCATCCTCAAATCGAAATATATCCGATATATATCTCCGGGGTAGGATATATATCGAATATATCGTGTATATCGTGTATATCGTCATCCATAAATATAAGAACTTTTTAACAAACCTCTGTATTGAAGATATATATCTAATATATATCTTGAAGACAGGATATATATCGATTATAGCGTACATATCGTGTATGTATCGCTCTATATCTAGGAAAGAGGATATATATCGTGTATATCGTTATCATGTGTATATCGCTCTATATCTTGGAAAGAGGATATATATCGAATATATCGTGTATATCGTCATCCATAAATATAAGAACTTTTTTTAACAAACCTCTGTATTGAAGATATATATCCGATATATATCTTGAAGACAGGATATATATTGATTTTAGCGTATATATCGCGTGTGTATCGCTCTATATCTAGGAAAGAGGATATATATCGAATATATCGTGTATATCGTGCTTGAAAAATAGGGTATTCGATATATATCCTGTCTTCAAGATATATATCGGATATATATTCCCAGTTTACAATTTTGTTAAATCAGTTCTTATATTTTTCAAACATGATATACATGATATATTCGATATATATCCTCTTTCCAAGATATAGAGCGATATACACACCATATATACCATACATTCGATATATATCCTCTTTTCAAGATATTCAGGATTAGAGGGATGATATCAGGGTATATTAAATTTTTTTTACATGTTTTCCAAAAAAAAATCATTTTCAATTTTTTTCAGTTTTTCACAAATTTTCATATTTTCAAAATTTTCATTTTATCCAAATTTTTCATTTTTTCCAAAAATCGTGTATATTTTGATATCAAGACAAATATCAAGTAGGTATCTTTTTTTCACAAATTAAATTTATTTCCCAAAATTTATTTTTTTCCAAAAATGAGTTTTTTTAATATTTTTTATTTTTTGATTAAAATTATCTTCACATTTTAATTTCTTTAAGTATTTTGTTCTTCTTGCCCTTAAACTTAATTTCTCAATGTACTTGGGAGTAGGTTATACCCTCCATAAGTTTTGCAACCCTAACCCCCTCATTGAACTACATATCAAAGGCTCTTTTTGTTTGAATTTTTATTAACATTACCTTTTGAAAAAATACTTATTGTATTGATGGAAATGTAACTTGACTTCATTTCCAATGCCCCCAAGGTTTCCCAATTTTTTCCTCAATCACAATAGGTCGAAAATTGATGATAAACTTTATGAATTTGTGAAAATCGTCATTCCTATGTAAACCAATGGAAAATGGTGGGTTCGGGGCAAATCTGATTTCAGGGTATCCAACCAGTAAAAGACTCACCTAAAATATTTTTATAATTATAGAAAATTGAATTGTCTACTTTTTGTACTCTAAGTGTTCAGAGTACTTTGAAGACCTATAACTTTTTAAAACTGAGGAAACATATCAAATTTTTATTAAACAAAGTAAGCAAATACAATTTTGGCCACCTAACTTGTATTTTTTGCAAGATCTCAGATGGATAAATATTCTGTCATATGACTTGCGGTAAACCTACCATTTCCCATTGGTTTACATGGGAATGTCGATTTTCCAAAATTCATCAGATTTATCATCAATTTTCAACCTATTGCAATTGAGGAAAAGAATTGGGAACATTTGGAGGCATTGGAAATGAATTAAGTTACATTCCCATCAATATTATAAGTATTTTCCTCGCAGGTAATGGAAATAGAAATTCAAACATAAAGAGGCTTTAACACGTAGTTCAATGAGGGAGCTAAGATTGCCAAACTTACGGAGGGGAGTGTATGTAACGTAAATATTTCTAAGATTCAATCCTTTTTTCTCTCATTCAACAGAAGATTTTGAGTAGATGTTGCTCTTGACCATGGTATAAGGTCGTTATTCACCTGTCGGGATGATATGGGTAATATCCCTCGGATGATATCGATATTTCCCTCGGATGATATCGATATTTCCCTCGGTCACTATAGCGTATGTATCGTTAGTATATCGCTCTATAGGATATATATCGAATATATAGAGGATGTTCTTTTTATTCCATAGTTAAAGTCATCATCAGAATCGCCGGAAATTCAGTTATTTAATTCGAGTTTTCCAAACGATCCTGCGATGTTGACACTTAGCGTCGTTTAGAGTCTGAAGTAGCAAAAATCCATAAACCATCGCATACGACGCCGTATGTCATGGCTAAAAAACTGTATGCTATGGTTAAGTAAAAATTTGTCAAAAATATCATATTTTACCACTGATTACAAAAATACCGTTTTTATTTTCACATGTTATCCTATGAATATCATGCTAACTATGGAATAAATCGTATATATCATGTGTATATCGGTCAATATCTTGAAAAGAGGATATGATCAAATATATCGTGTATATCATTAGTTTATCGCTCTATATCTTGAAAAGAAGATATATATCGAATATAGCGTATATATCGTGTGTATATCTATATCTTGAAAAGAGGATATATATCGAATATATCGTGCATATCGTGTATATCGTCATGGATAATTTTAAGAACTGATTCAACAAACCCTGTATTGGAGATATATATCCGATATATATCTAATACACAGGATATATATATCGAATATAGCGTATATATCGTGTATATCGAATATATCGTGTACATCGTGTATATCTTGTAAATCGTCGTGCATAATTTTAAGAACTGATTCAACAAACCCTTATTGGGGATATATATCCGATATATATCTAATACACAGGATATATATATCGAATATAGCGTATATATCTTGTATATATCGTTCTGTATCTTGAAAATAGGATATATATCGAATATATCGTGTATATCGTGTATATCGTCGTGTATAATTTTAAGAACTGATTCAACAAACCCTGTATTGGGGATATATACCCGATATATCTTTAAGACAGGATATATATCAAATATAGCGTATGTATCTTGTGTATATCGTTCTATATCTTGAAAATAGGATATATATCGAATATATCGTGTATATCGTGTATATCATCATGGCTAATTGTAAGAACCGACTCAACAATCTCTGTATTGGGGATATATATCCGATATATATCTTAAACACAGGATATATATATCGAATATAGGGTATATATCGTTCTATATCTTGAAAAGAGGATATATATCGAATATATCGTGTATATCGTCATGGACAATTGTAAGAATCGACTCAACAATCTCTGTATTGGGGATATATATCCGATATATATCTTAAACACAGGATATATATATCGAATATAGCGTATATATCTTGTGTATATCGTTCTATATCTTGAAAATAGGATATATATCGAATATATCGAATATATCGTGTATATCGCCATGAATAATTTTAAGAACTGATTCAACAAACCCTGTATTGGGGATATATATCCGATATATATCTTGGAGACAGGATATATATCGAATATAGCGTATATATCATGTGTATATCGTTCTATATCTTGAAAATAGGATATATATCGAATATATCGTGTATATCGTCATGGGTAAATGCCAGGAACATGATAAAATCTGGAGAAGTATATCTGGCCAGATTTTATATAGCCTTATATATCGACGATATATATCGAATATATCACATGTAAGTCAATGAGAGGCAGTATAGCGATATATATCGCTATACAACGATATAGCCATTCCTGCACCATTCTCCTACTTCACTAGATCTCAGAGCTTGATCCTATAAAGATTCTACTGGGCAGTAGGCACATCAAGACTCCAGGCGATCATATTATATTTAAAGGGGGTTACAATGACATGAATGGTATACTAAGTATGAAAACTTATCCACTTTCAGTTTGATTTGATCTGCATTTGACTATAGATTACCATTTTCACTTTAAATAATGCTGAGTACCGGTGTCAGTCTTATTTTGAAATTCAATTTAGTTCTGATGATGTTCCAAAGGCTAAAATACCATCCCATTCTATCCCGAAGTTTGTTCCTATGATCCCATTTGTATGTGTCACCCTGAATGTGAATATATTCACAGAATATTTGTCACACTATAAATGATAATTGTATGGCCCTTAATGAGGTTTCTATTGAAAGGAGCTATTGAATTGATGTTTGCATTGTGTAATCATAAGAGTATCATTAGCATTTTGTTTGATACTGAAATTGCAAAGGTGATAAAAATCAATTATTAAAAGAAACTTGTATGCATTATTTGTTTAAAACTAAAAATAAAAGCTCTCCTCATCAATTTGAGAAAAGATGAAAATCAAAACCAAAATCAACTTACCCTATGCAGCAAACATTTCTAAAGCATTAGGTAATACTGATTTTAATCCAATATATGTGTAAGGTTGGTGGTGTCATTTCACATTTATTTATTTAGATTTACTAAACAATCAATAAATAAGACTTCAAAGACTTTCAAGACAAAGCTACACACCATTCTCAGTTGGTGAGATACCTTTTTATCAAGCCAAAATATTCTTGTGAAATATATGGACCAGTATTTATCAATTATCATCTTTTAATCTCAAAGCCTAATGACAAAATTCATCCATACACATAACATTTCTTCAAACTTAAAATCTTTTTTTTCTTAGAGTCTAAAAATGATAAATCTTATGGCCAACCTCCAAAAGGAACATAAAGCATGGTACATACCACACAGAACAGACATGTGGGTGCAATATATAACACAGTCAACCTCAGAGTTACTTTAAATGTAAATGACCCATACATACAAAGCAGTTTTACTGCTTCCTCTCAATTTCAAATGCTTGATTCTTAAAATGAATAGTTGTAAATCAATTGGATGCACTACATTACAAACATATTAGTGATCATAACCATACCAAATGATTTAGTCACTCTTTACTTTAGTTTTCAAGAAGTGAAGATTTGAAGTATGAAACAGTTTTCTATGTGCAGGTTTAGTAAAGCTATAAAAGTGACACATTCCAGAAGTCCTACTACAGGTCATTTGTCAGTATTCCAGATAAGAACTTTGGTTCTTACAGATGTTATCAACACAATCTTATTAAAGGTCCAATGAGAATATATCACATTTGTCCTTGGCAACATTTTTGGAAAATCAGTCTTGGATGTTTTGACATTACTTTGACTTTATACATAAAGAAGATGAAGCAATTGAAACATTGAGAATTAAGATCATGTATATTTTAACACATTCTAAATTCTAAAAGCATTTTAAAAATAGAGATTCAACACCCTTTTCACAACAGTTAAATATTAATTGAAATGTTCATTTCAGTTATGTGTCCCAATGTCCCATGCACTTTCAATGAGAAACATACTTTTTTATCAACACTATAAAGAAAAATTGATTTGATGAGTTCTTTGTACAGGTATATGCATCTCAAAATAAGAGACTTGATTAATAGACAATCTGGTAAGTATTACCACCCTGAGTCACTAGATGGAACTTTAATGTGAAATGTGATATCTTAGAAGCCTTCAAAATGCACATATCTTTAAACAGCAGAGTAACATATGATACTTACAATTAATATTCTAGGTAGCAAATTGCTCTCATGAATGGATGTATCTAGCTTCAAAAATTCTAAATCAACATTAATTCACTTAACAATAAAATATTGTAAGTAATGTAGTAAGTTAAATACATGTAGTTTATTGAAATCTCACACACCAGTTTATATATCTTAAAGATTGTATGTATCAGTATGTCCCATTCCCAGAGGTACATTCCCACTCTTATACATGTATAAAAAAGGTTTTGATTTTCATGCTCATATACTTGACCAACCACATTATTTTATCTATCCTACCTTGACATGTATTGAATTTGGATTTAATGGCCGATGTAAATAAAATGTAAATAAGATAAGGTACCATAACATTTTGGCAGTTGTACATTTCAATGTGAGCAAAGATTGTAGAAAAACAAATTCATTTCTTATGGAGATATATTAAATACAATTTTAGCATTATTGTATTGTATCTTGCAACTGTAATTTGAAACACTTAAAATTTGATACCTGTATATTTTGCAATAAACCTAAATTTGTTAATTGTTACATTAAAATTTTAAATGTTTGTGAGTACTTTGAATTTAGAAAATAAGCAATCAATTGACCAAATTGAAACAGTTTATGTAAAAATAGAAACATTTATATTTATCCCAACTTTTGTATATTTTAGTTTGTTTTGTAGTTTGGCTATCATATCTGTGTCCTCTTATATTTTGATACTTCTCTGCCATGTTATTTTCGGAAAAATTAACATGGCTGAAACTTCCTAAATTACAAAAGGCCACAGCTTTGCTGCAGATTATACATTACTATCTGAAATATACAAAAGTTAGGATAAATATATATGTTTCTATTTTTACATATACTGTTTCAATTTGGTCATTTGATTGCTTATTTTTTAAATTCAAAGTACTCACAAACATTTATAATTTTACTGTAAAGCATCTAATCTTGAATATAGCAAAGGACTTTTAAATAATTCATTCTTTAATGTATTTTCTATGTATTAAACTATTATTAGTTTATATTTGAACCACTGCCAGGTATCATACTTCACTGTAAAGGTAATTATTTTCCTCCCTCTTGGATTCACTCCCTGATAACACTAATACTGGATTCTACAGTTTATCAATATTTGTATCAAAGATGCAGTTTCGATAGCCAGAGTCTGGGGACTGAGTACACTATCATTATGTCTCATTCTATCATTTCATTAAGTATTTAATAAGTGTAATACAAACTTTAGGGTTGTATTCAACAAACCTCGAAATACCCCCCCCCCCTTCCTGCATACACTATCAGCAATGGACTTTCTTGGCCTAGGGGTTTGTAAATCTACACATATATATCTATCAATTTGTGTTGTTATCATTAAAAAGTATTAAAAATATTACCTTGAATTTAGATTAGGGCTGCCATCATTAGTCGGAACGTCGACTTGTCAGTCAAAATGCAAGTTCGACAACGAAGTCGACAAAAATTCCCGTCATGTCGACAGCAAACGATATCAATACTTACTTGAAAATATCCAAATGGCCCCAATACATTTCAATACACATTTCAACGTGTTATGTGCGCGTATTCTGCGGAAATATTGTTCACATTCATTTCATTTTCCAAAAATAAATTCACCCGGAAGTTCCCTTCATGACTTCTCTTCTCTCTTGCGAGACGTTGTACGAGATTTCGCCCGAGCAGTCGAAATAAATCCCGGTCGAAACATTGCAGGTATTTGTCCCATTTTCGTCTATAATATTCTATTAACTTGGCATTTAGTAACAATATTAGGCAATTACATAACATTTGTATGATATTTGTGTTGAAAGATTTGGAAAAAACGAACCAACAACACAGAAATAATTTTTCTTTTTTTCCCGATGATTTTTTCTCCCTGGAAAGTTCGATTGTCGACAATATTTTCGACAGCAGAGTTCGACTGTCGACACTGACATTTGAGTTCGATGGCAGCCCTAATTTAGATACATCTAAGTTCAGGCAACGAATTTAAAATTGTTAATTAGCTTAGGCAACAAAAAATCATGATGATGATGATTCATCGAACATACAATTCTCCCTAAATACTGTAAAAACTCGATTAATCCGCTATAAATGAAGCTATAAACAATGATTATAATATAATCGACTTATTTATACATATATTATAGTATTCCATTGTCATTTACCATGCAAAAATCATAAAATAAATACATTTTTTACCTTTTTCAAATTTTCCACTCCCGCCATTGACCGAACAACACTTTTTTGGGGCACATTTGCGTAGAAGTTAAACCTCAAAATGAACTCATTAATAAGAAATTAACAAGTGTTTGAATTATCGAAAACCTTAATTGTATCCGTGACAATAAGATCTGTTCCAAGTTTTACCTTTAAAAAGTATTATTGTACGAGAAATCGAATCTAGTATGAAAACCGCGGATTAATTTACAATGTCTATATGTCGCAAATTGTCACCAGTCAGTCTTTGCGAGAACCGGGAAAACTAAAAAAAATTGACAAATTTGTCAACAATTCCTGTCTTATACGCTATTATGGAGCATAAATTAATCATATTAGCATGTCGAAATATATCAGGTAACTATTTCTTACGTTTGACGTGATTTTGTGGATAGAAAAGTGGGGAAAGAGGTGTTTATAACTGACATCAACAAGGCTACATTCACAGAATCAGTCCCTAACATTTTATATACAGTGGGGGACATAAAGAATTCATCATCATCATCATGTTTAGGAGGGTAAGGTTAGTCCTGTGTTGTCCTCCCTTCTGGTTTTATTATTTACATGGATTCTTATGGGCAGTTTTCAATTTCTTTGGTATTTTATTTCCCAAAGACGGTATTGTTTTAATTAAATGTGACGGTTGCACTAAAATTATGTTGAACATGGGCAAAAAACTAGTGTAGTGTGAACTGGTCATCCTGGGTCTCTGGTGATCTTCTACATGTCTGGGTAGTAGTAGGTATCGACCTTTACCTTGAAATCATCTAATGTTAAGGCTGTAACTACATTCTCTGGGAGGTTGTTCCAGTCGTCTATAGTACGCTGACTGAAGAACCCTCGTCTCAGGGCAAGGTTACATCTGGGTTTGTAGAATTTCTGGCAGTGGCCTCTTGTGTTGGTGTGACTTGGGGTAAAGAAGTGGGATGGCTCTATCTTGTCTATCTCATTCATGATTTTATATACTTGAATTAAGTCTCCTCTTTTCCTCCTGTATGTCATCGGAAATAGGTGAAGCTGCTTTAGTCGTTCTTCGTAGGGTAGGTCGGTCATGCCGGTGATGAGTTTGGTGGCTCTCCTTTGTATTTTCTCAATCTTATTAATGTCCAATTGATATCTGGGATTCCAGGCTACGGTGCAGTATTCCAGGTGGGGGCGGACTAGGGTTGTATATAGGGGGAGGAAAATATCTGCATCTTTGTTTGAGAATGTTCTTTTGATTGCACCCAAAATCTTATTTGCTTTGTTTACACAGTTGGAGACATGGTCATGGAACTTTAAATCCTGGTCAATGGTCACGCCAAGGTCACGTTCTTTGGTGACATCTTCCAGTGGTTGGTTATCTAGTGTGTATTTGTGGTTGTTGTTATTGTTCCCCAGATGAAGAACTTTACATTTGCTGGAGTTGAATTTGAGCAGCCATTTTTCGGACCACTTGACAAGTTCGTTAATGTCTTCTTGTAGTTTAGTGATGTCGTCTTGTCTGGGAATGGCATTGTACAGCTTCGTGTCATCAGCGAAGATTTTCAAAGTGCTTTTAACTTTCTCGGGAAGATCGTTTATGTAGATTATGAAGGCCAGTGGTCCGAGGCTCGAGCCTTGAGGGATACCACTGGTGACTTCAGTCCAGCTTGAGAGGCTACCATTGACTTTGACTCTCTGTCTTCGTTTAGTCAGGAATGCAGTCAGCCACTTTAGAAGGTTCCCCTTGAAGCCATAGCTGTTTAGTTTTTCAAGTAGTCTGCAGTGCGGTACGCTGTCAAACGCCCGGGAAAAGTCAAAATATATTACGTCTATTGGGTTGCCAGTATCGAGTAGACTTGTCCAATCCTCGAGTACTGTAAGCAACTGGGTGCTACATGAACGCCCGGGTACAAACCCGTGTTGGGCATCTGTTAATAAGCCCAGTGTCACCATGTGGTTTACCATTGCGTCCCTAATTATGGATTCCATGGTCTTACACAGGATACAAGTTAGCGATATTGGACGGTAGTTGCTGGGAGCTGTTCTTTTACCCTTTTTGTGGATGGGTGTTATCTCGCCATCTTTCCAGATTGATGGTAATGTTCCTGAATCTAGGGATTTGGTAAAAAGCAGACTGAGAGGGAGGGCTAGTTCATGTGAACATTCCAGTAGAAATCTTGCGGGAATATTGTCGGGGCCGGGGGATTTGCAGGCTTTGAGCTTTTTGAGTTTATGTAGGACTAGTTCCTCTGTAAATTCTATAGTTTCCAAGGTTTGGGTTGATCTGGGAGTTATTCTGGGGATGTTTGTGTCGTCTTCTACAGTAAACATGGTGGCGAACTATTGACTTAGGATGTTTGCCATTTCCGTATTCTCATCTGTTGTACTACCATCTGGCTTGTCTAGTGAGCTGATCTTGGGGCGCGTCCTGAGTTTAGAGTTGACGTATGCCCAGAAGGCCTTAGGATTAGTCTTTATTTGTTTGGCTATATCTTTCTCAAATTCTTTACATAGCTGTCTGCATAGTCTTCTGGTTTCATTGCTTGTTTTCTTTGCTTTCAGGTAGTCTTGATACGTCTTGGTTTCTCTGTAGTGTTTCCAGGCCTTGGCTTTTCTTCGCAGTTGCCTTAATTACAAAAGAATTACAAAAGCTATTGAAATTACATGCTGTCGCACATGTAATAAATTCTTACCTCAGTGTATTCAGTGCTCTATTTTCTCCGTCCTAGTAAGTCCAGATATAGTGGAATTCGTGTCCATAATGACAAATAAGAAGAACTTCAAAATTTGAAGTGGAATTCACATGTTAATGCCGACTCTTCAAATGTTGAGGTGATTTTGGAGCCCGATGGCGCCGCAATGTGGATTGGCTCCCAGAATGCAACATGACACCTGTCAGCTTTCAAAATGCCGTTCTGCCATTTTGAAGTCTGTCACATTAGGTTACCTGATGTTGCATTCTGGGAGTCAATCCTCCTTGTATCACAAACATGGTGATTCATGAAAACATTCATTTGATTTGGTAGAGATTTATCCATCATTTTAAGGTATGAAGCTTTGGATTCATTTATTGTGCTACTAAAGTGAATGGGAATTATTTTCTACTGCGGGAGAGTTTGAGACGCGAAACTTCAGAATTAAGCTCATTGTGACAACTTTTGAGGGTTGAGATTTATTTTTGTCCCCCACTTTAGATTGTCTGATATCTTTGCACGTAAATGCTATAGAATTAAATGAAAGCATACTATTAAATTTGTGTAAATATCATGGTTCAAGCATAGTTTATTGCTATTTTTGCAAAATTACATGTCAATATCAAGAATTCCAAATAATTAATTTAATTTGTAATTAATTCTTTGAAACAAATTCTTTTAGATGAAGAAAGAGCAGAATTGCTGTCTGTTTATGATGCTGGAAGGAGCTGCAGATCTTTTAACACAACAGTGCTCTCACCTGTACAGCAGGTAAACAATCTTATACAAGGGAACATAAACATAAACTTTGAAATAATTCCTAATATAAAGTCCGTTGTCAGTTTGTATATCTATTTACAAAGTTTCTGTTAGTGATCGGGCCATATAAAATTAACATGACAATTTGTTATTAATTTTTTTCAAGGATGCACTTCAGCCACCCAAATTTATTTAACACCGCTGCAAACCACAATGTTCTCTTTTTAAAATTGAAGTGTTGTTAAAGATTGAACAAATTTTCTAGAATAAAGTTTATTATAATACAATATAATATTATTTATAGCCTATACATATGTTTGCAGTCTCTATCACCTATGTAATATAATGGGCATTCAACATATCCCTTTTGTAAACATTTTAGGATTTGGAAGTGGATGTTAATTGTTGGCTGAAGACAAGACAGCAACTAGGTGATCGTCTAAATACATTGGACAGGAATATGGAATCAAGGTACACATGTACATGTAGCTCACTATCCTTCATATATACAGGGTGGGTCAATTTAAAAAAATGCATTAGAAAAAATAGATGACTCAATTTGTAAACAAGATGAAATACAAGTACATTGTAAGTCTATTATATATGTTATACAAAATTATTGTTCAAAATTCGAAAACTAGATTATTATTCAATGCTAAAAGGAAGGTAAAATAATTTATTAATTTATTATTCTACTCCATTCTACTTGAGTTACAAAGGTTTAAAACTTAAAATTTACAAATCGTATATTTTAGATAAAAACTAAGTTAGCTTGATTTTATTTCTAATGCAGTCATTTCCATTGCCTCACCTTGTACAGGAGAAGATAATAAGTTGAAATCTCCATTTGCATATAGCTAAACCCTATATAAACATGTATTTCACTTTATAGTAAAATCTGTTTATATTAAGTGGAACACCCTTCTAATTTTGTATCACTGCTTAGATTTCAGTTTAATCCATGTCATCTTCTATACAAGGGATAATGAATGCTATGGCGATTGTACTTTTAGTGAACAGACAGACCTTCTTGCTGACAATGTCCATAAAACTGTGGATTCTTTGCCAATTCAAGGTAAAGACAGCATTTAAATTAAACCATGAATGAAATAAAAAAAGAAATTGTGTTGAATTTTAATATTGAGCTACAAAACTTGTTTTGGTAGCTTTGTAAGTTGCAATTTTTTTTAATTTTTCGAGTTTCTCACCTACATAATGTATATTGATTGCTTCAAGTAGATTCTGACAGGTGTGGTGTAAATTGTGTAACTTTATGGATGAATGGAAATACAAAATGGTGATTGTTTAAGCCACCATCCTCAAAAATTGTTATTTCAAACAGGTAATCTGTCTTTAAATTTGAATTGGTTGGGAACACATCAGCTGTTTTAAATGTTTCAAACTTTGTATATGTTGTATATGTAACTTTGTGTTGTTATCTCTTCCAGGACAAATAGTTAATGTGCTATGGTTCTGTTCAGGCGATATTCCAATTAGGTATGTACATGTTGGTTACTGATTGGTAGATAGTCATTAGCAGTTTTGACGATTTCCAAAAATGAAATGTGTTACTGTCTATGACCTACATTATTAAAAAATTGAATACAATGCAAGTGAGCGTGTCTATACAGCTGCTTATAAATCTTAGTTTTCCATTTTCAGTAAGCATTTTGGTTTGTTTGGAGCATTAAAGCGACTTGTGGAATGGGAAAATGCAATGGTGTACCTTGTTCCTCCTCTCGAAGGGAGGTCCTCGAAACACAGATGGACCAAAAGTCCCAGTAGAATCAAAAGTCCCAGTAGGATCAAATCCCCTTGTAGGACTAAAAGTCCTGCTAAAGAAGCATCATTTACGCAGCAAGCCAAACCTTGGCTAGATGCGTTGAAGGCTGACATGCTTTATGGACTTGATAATAAACTACATGCAATTATTAACTGCACATGGAGAGGCTGTATGCTCATACCTGATAAAAAGGTAAGTACATTGAAACCTATCCATCTGAACCATTGGGACTGGCTAAAAGTGCTCAGATTGACAGGTTTTCACATTTTGAGAATAACCTGGGAAAAAATTCTCATTTTCACAAATCAGTTCAAAACATGATTTTATGTCACCATATTGTACTTCTACTTAATTTGGCGCTACTTATTTTGTACTAATTAATGGGGAATTTGACTTTAACAATTTGGAGGATCCGCCAAATTAAAACTGCCGCAAAATTAAGTAGAAGTACAGTAAACAAAATGTTAAAATTTTGTCATTGCAACCAGATGGTATCATTTTGTAATGTTAATGACTTGTTTGAATTTTCAAGTGCAAATGGATTTTTAAAAACTGAGTTCAGATTAGTGGTCGGAGGTAATACTGCATTACCGGCAACGGCACTAATTTGACCTAATGCCGGCATCAAAATCTTCTTACCGGCAATGGACGGCATTCAGCTGAATTAGATTCCCGGGTGGAATCAGTCAAATTCCTTCAACAGTATGATCTCTATAGTTTCTTTTCTCACTTATTAACTAAACTGTTATGTATAGAAACCGATTTGTGTACATAACTAAGAAAAATAAACAGAATTAAACTATTTTCCTGAAGTTGAAGTTTCACTTTACCTATTATCGCCCGATTTGAAGTTCAGAACGAGGCTGAAAATACAACGAACGAAAACTCATTTATTTTACGAGTTTATATCACATGAACCGTTAGAATCAGGATTGTTTAGTGGTTTAAAATGATTTTGAGTGGGTTCTACTGTTTCTACAGCTAAATTAAGTGGTATGTATGGCGTACTATGAGATTTTTGGCGAAATATACCCGGGGAAAACCTTTTTTTAGCTTTTTTCAAAATACTTGCTAAATAGTCGGTAAATATCGGTAATGACATACGGTAATACCGGCACCACTTTTCATTACCGGTCCGAGCACTATTTCAGATTACTGTAATGTTCAGATGCAATTCTACTTGCTTACTGATTCTTTGCACCTGTGCACTATGTATTATTACTATTAGTATTACATTTGACTTTTCAGAATATGAGTCAGATGGTGATACCTGGATTGAAACTGCAGCAAATCAATGATACAACAGAACAACAAAATGATTTGGTTAAAGATAGGGTAAAACAAACATTATTACTAAAGCTGACTTTATTGAGCTGTATGCTGATATTTAACATAATATCAGAATATAAGTTAAATGTTATAAAAATCTATAAAGAATCCCAGAATTATTTTTATTAAAATACATGAATATTTTTGCCTTATATTTGAGAGAGCTGTAATTCAGTTATCCTCTATCAGCATATAGGCTACAATCTTTTTGAAAAAATTATCAAGGAAAAGTGAAATGACCTACTGTTTATTTAGAATTTTTATTTTACTGCTTTATTTAAGACTGTTAACAACTTTTTACTTTCTATTTCAGCTAGCTGGTATGTGTATTTGGAGATATATGGAGTATATACATGAAATTGATATGTCAACTCTACCACTTTACCTCATTGCAGCACACAAATATCAACTGTATCCTTTTAAAAGTGCAAATAATTCAACCCTTATCTGGATTCCTACTTTTATCTTCTTGACTTCAGGGTAACTTAATGCCTTACAAATGAAATAGAGCAAACCTCTTCAAAATAATACCTCTAAAATGCCTGTATTAAACTAATGGAGGAATATCTCAGTACAATTTAAAATTCATTAAAGGTGTGTAAAGTTATAATTATGTATTAGATTTAAAATGAACCTAATATTGTTCCTTAATTCAGTTGATTTTCTAGATGTTTATCATCAACTAAATGTGACATGGAGAAAACCAAGGCTTTTGTGAGGCACTTCTCTGAGAATAGACATGTAAGTTTTAATCCAGATTTTTTAATTGACTTCTTGAAATTATCATCTGAATCTATTTTTCATATTAGAGAAACCATCACCTTCATTTTTGTGCTGAGCATTTTTCATTCTTGATCCATGTCTTACAAGTTAAGTACTTATGTACAAATCAGCTTCAGTATTTGATATTGAAAAACTAATGTCAAGTTGACAGTTTTTTTTATAGTCTATAGCACACATGCAGCGTATCATGTGTACATGTACATTTATTTCACATGTGTATGGCAGATTGGCTGCATAGTACGGCTCCAGTACAGTAAGGATGTGTTCATCCCTAAGAAGAATGGCAAAATAGGAGATGGTGAATACAATACAGTGGCTTGGTTGAAACAAATCGGAAAGAATGTCGGCAACATATCAGGTACATAGAATGGTATTTTTTCAACACATTTTTATAATGCTTTGTAATATTTCATAGTCTTGTGATTGTCCTTGTGCTACACATGCATCCAACTTTCACCCATTCTCTTCCTTTAGTACATACATTTAACACATTACATAAAAGCATGTTGTGTTGTTCTGTAAGCTTTACTCAACATTTGGGCTGTCATACTTTGACTCAGTAATATTTGGATATGTAAAGTAGTACAGTGAACTTATATTGTCAAAATAGAGTTCATTTTGGAGGATTAGAGTCAACACACTGCAGGTCAGGTGTTATTTCTCAATTTTGAAAGATATGGTTAAGTTTCAAGGCGAGTCAATTTCCATGCACATGTATGTTACTGCTTACTGTGCTTAGGGATAGACATTGAACGCTACTGCACCAGTATGAGGTTCTAAAGAATGATTATGTTTTTCAGTGGAGGTCAAAATGGAGACAGGAAAACAGATGTGCCATCTATTACTACATGCAGGAACTAACTCGGACTCAGGTGTATTACAAGCTTACATGCTTCATTCCCCAGACAGTATTAATGCAGGTTTTCTTAATGACGTTATCATGCAGGATTTGCGTCAACCATCTTCCAAACAATGCCAGTGTGCAAATATGAAAGAGCGTGACCTCTCAGAATCTCAAATTAAACTCAAGGAAGGAGACCAGTGTAACTGCCAGTGTTCAATAGGGAAGGACACTTCATTGAATGACAATATTGGTTCTTTACCATGTTTTGATGGAGATATTTTTGTTGCTATGGAGACAGAGATATATGATTTACAGAAGGAGGTTGTCAAGAAATGGATTGGTAAGTATTAGAGTTACTAAGTAATAGATTGATAAACAAACATATAGTATTGCGTCTGATAATACAGTCTGAATAGATTTTAAACAGATTAGCCTGACACTAAATTGCGAAAATAGAATCAAATGTCGTGGTATGATGCATATGGCATGAATTTTGTAATATTTCATTTACAGAATGTGCCTAGTTTCACCGCTACACTTTAGCCTATACATTATCATTTTTTATGAAATGAACAAAATCGTTTCAGATTGCCAAGGTGCTGGTAATGTTACCGAGGTAGATGCAGTAAACATAGCCAACAAAGTGAGGGAGTCTATTTACACAAGATATACAGAATCCCTACCTGGTACCCAGTTATCAGATCTTCCTCCTAGCATTAGGCCTATAAAAACAGGTAAACAAATACTTCACAGGTATAAATATATATACTATATCAAGTTATAAAGAGGATTATTTAGATCATTGAGACACAAAAATAGATAAAACGATAATCATAAAGCTTTGTTTATTTATGAATTGCTATCTTATTTATATGTAACATATTCAAAAATACATGTAGATACTTATATTGAATAAGACATTGGAACAGAAGATTCAAAAGTCATTTTGAGTTAATCATAGATGTTCTTACTCTTAGATAATACTGTTATAATATGTATAAAATCATTGATCTTTCAGAGTTATCTATTGACCAAAACCACAATATGGAGAGAAGAGCACTTGCTTTCTACGAACAACTGAATCGTAAGTTAGCCCGTACAAGGTCAGGAGACACCCTAGTTCCTCCAAGCCCACCTAAAGGTGACGCTGCTATCTACCTCGAGGCAAAGGACTTAGTACGAATGTTCAATAAAGATGGAGCTGCAGCACGTCGTTCTAAAAAAGAACCAGTTGCGGTAGGTATTGACTATTTTAAAACAGCCAAAGTAGAGTAAATATATTTGGTATTAATGTGGATGAATAGGCTAGGATCCCTATTTATTTCCCTTAACTCCTTAAAGTCAGAGAAAACGGATATATCAGTCACAGAAATTTCTCAATAAAATGAAACTTTGAATGAGTAATTTTTCTGTGTTCAGTTATTTTACCAAAATGAACATCAAAATTGTATACAAGTGGTTAATGTAAGAGGATCTTATTTATCATATTGGCTCAACTTGAAATATTGAACTCAGATGAAATATATTATTGTTTAATGTTTATTTTAGAGTCAGTCCAATGGTGCTCAATTCCCCAAAGTAGACAGTGCTGATGCTATAAGAAGTAACTGGCCCGACAGTAAAGACGCAAACTACCATGGCATATAGTATGTAAATTAAATTATTATTTGTTGACAGTATTTCTGTCATCATATATAATAAGGATAAAATACAGCTCCTACCCAATCTACATATTTATCTGCTAAAGCTGCAACCTGAAAACCAATACATACAATCATACATGTATATCTAATGTATTTACTGTAAATGTAATTGATTATATTTCTAAGACCCTGCTTTATGTTTATGAACACACTTTCTATCTATTACAAAGCAAGTTGCATAATATACCGTACGTGTATACACACTTTTTAGTTATTACAAAGGCAGTGAAACTGATGAAATCCAAAAACAAACTATTGAGTCTCGCTTCATCAGAGATGAGTTCTCCACAACGTGTAGCTACCTTCAGGTTAACTCCCCCGCAACTCTCGCTGCCTTGACCGGAACTGAGAATTTACGCAGGTCACCAAGGAAGAGTTTAACAAAGAAGGCTGTTGAGATCTCAAAGAACACCAGAAAAGGTGCATTAAAGTAAGTGGTACTTTAATACTTTATAGAAATGGAAGTTGGTTCACAGGAATGGTTGTTGTCAACATGGGAGGACTTCAGATCTATCATTTAAATGGAATTATGGACCACCTAAAATGCAAGTTATGGCAAAATTATTTCATTTATTGCAATCTGAGAGTCAAAAGTTTAGCGAGAGGAATCTCAGTACTGTATAAGTACATCACTGTTTGCTCATAAAAAAAGATTCCACCATTGTTGAGAAAGAATTTGCAAAAATGCAAAGGTTACATTTTTTGGGTCACCCTGCACAAATAAAACCTTATTGGTTGAGAATAAAAAACATGAATGGTTTTATGTCCCCACCACAAGTGATGAAATATTGTTATAGTCTCCAACTTTTTATGGATAGTGTTCGGTGGTTGGTATTTGGCATTTAATGTCTGGCGATGGTGACATTTTGGATGTCAATGCCTTGTATTGGATTGCAACATCACCTATCTGTTCTAGGTCACCTCCAAAGCTAGGAAAAAGTTCAAAATATGATAGGCGTATGTCCCCGAGAAAACCCAGAAAACACATCTCACCAAAATCTAAATCTCCCATGGTGACACAAAACAGAGGCAATGTAGAGGTGAAGAAAGGAGTTCCTGAAAAGGCTGAAAAGAATGTTAAAATAGATGAAGATCTCAGTATGAAGACAGAGAAGTCCACTACTGCACAACTTAAGTCGGCAAGAACATCAAGATCAGAAAGACATAAAAAGGTATAATGTAAAAACCTTGAAAAATATGGCACACACAAGTGTGATTTTAGTTGTACTTTCTTGATTTCAAAATCCATTATTTTTCCTGTAGTTTTTTACAAAAACAGCTTCTTATCCCATCGAACGAAGTTCGGAGGGATATAGGGAACGCCTCCGTCCGTCCATACATCCGTACATACGTCCGTCCGGGCAAAAACTCAAATACCGTTGGCCTGATTTTGGTCATATTTTGTATACATATACCCTATGGGGATAGAAGTTCTGCTCGAAAGGCAATTTTCAAAATGGCCACTCATTTAAAAATGGCGGCCATTTTAGTGCCGATTTTACAGTAATTTAGGTGCAATGGTCAAAAAATGTAGGACGTTAAAAAAGCTAGAAATGTAGATACGAAAGAAGCACATGGCAGCCATCTTGAAAAATGGCGGCCTTTACTCGTTATTTTTCGATATTTGCTATAACTCGAAAAGTAGTGGAGCGATTTTGTTCATATTTGATATGTGAATACTATAAGCATGGCACACTGTCTAATGGCACTTTTGGTTGAAGGCGGCCATTTCGAAAAATGGCCACCATTTTAACGTATTTTACTATAAGGCCATAAGAAGTGCATTCTCTGTTTTGCGTCTCCTTGCTTGCACGATTTTGAGTAAATCAGAAAAAACAAACACATCCAAATAGTAATTACAAGGGTTTGAAAGAACCATCGCATTTCATTCAATCAGAATCGGACGAAATTGCAGATCATTTGATGTGCGTCAAAATTGACAATGTTATTGATTACTATTGCATACATTGTGTATTTTCTTATTTTGTACCCTTGAATAATAGCTATGCTTAAATATATTGTATAGGATGTATAGATTTGTGTTTGTAATCACTGCAAATTGGCATGTCATCCCTTTATATGCCCATAAACAAGTTTGTGTTTTTTCTTGAGTTTGTGTTTGTTTTCCTTGTACCCTTGCATGATTTGGATTTTGCCATGACGCAAAACAAATAACCTACTTCTTATGGCCTAACTGGAAAAGTAGTGGAGCGATTTTGTTCATATTTGGTATGTGAATAATATAAGCATGGCACACTGTCTAATGACACTTTTGGTAGAAAGTGGCCATTTTGAAAAATACCAGCCATGGCTGTTCGATGGGATTTGCTACGCTTTAGCGTTGCTGTTGTCTAGTTGTGACTAGGAGATCTTTTATTCATGATATTTTCAAAGTTGCAGTTTTAATTTTAAGAAATGCTTTAAAACTCGTTAAGGAAACACTGAAAATTTATCTCCAGGAATTTTTCATTTTAGAATTTACAGAAAACTACAATTTTATTGAACCTTGGCGTAAAAATTGTAGGATGGTAGGTTTGGTTTTAGTTTGGCCATCATGGTACATGAATTGAATATTTAATATAACAAACAGCTTCAATTCTTTTAATAACAGTTATTTGATATTTTTTGTTGTAGAAATTATTGGAGATTGTTGAAGAAGTACTGAAGGAAAATGGTATTACTAAACAAGACAAACTGTTTGCTAGATGTTCCCAGAGGTTATACACTACAACAAAGATGTTTGTAAAGGTACGAATAACAAGAAATAGTATGTCAAGTGATCAGCAATTTCCTGGACTATTCCTGTAAACATACATCATGAAATATCATCTTAGATTGACCACTCCCAAAAAATAATTGCATTGAAATATTTAACACACAAAAAATGTTTTTATTAATTAAAACTACACTTATTTGTTTCAGGATCTGAAGACATCACATAACCTTTCAACTGAGATGAGGAAAATTGCAGAATCTCAAGTCCAGACTGTCCTAATGTTTGAACAGAGACATACCAAGAAATAAGGCTTCAGTTATCAATAACACAATAGTTCAAGAATATAAGGACTCTGGAAATGAATCAAATGATAATGTACTGTGATATAAAGAGATGGAAGAATACATGAATAAAAATTCATAAAAATTACAAATGATTGTGTATATAATTTTACAATTTTAAATTCCAAATGTGTTTAGTAGAGGAGTGAGGAATTTAACCAGCTGGGAATGTCTCTTTATTTTGATCCACTATGGTTTTTATGTCACTACCAAAAAGTGTTGACATATTGTTATTGTCTCCATTTTTTGTGACGGTGGTTGGTGATTGGCGTTTGTAACAAATTCTTAACTTCCAATAACTTAACAAATACTGTTCACACTGACTTAATTTTTTTTCAAAATCATCTACAAGTTTTCAGAAGTTCAAATCTGACTTAAGATTTAAGATTTGACCTTCAGTGACCTTTTAAAGGTCCAAATAAGGTTTATGAATGGCGAGTGGCGTCTGTAACAAATTCTAACAACTTCCAATATTAAACTTGACAAATACTGTTTAGACAGACTTCAATTTTTTCAAAGTCATCTATAAGTTCTCAGAAGTTCAAAGCTGATTTGACCTTCAATGACATTTAGAAGGTCAAAAAGGTCTTTTTTCAACTTGCCTCAAATTGATTAAATTTTTTTTTCAAAATCAAGTTCAAATCTGACTATAGATTTGAGATTTGACCTTCAATGACCTTCTCAAGGTCAAAAAATGTATTTTTCAACTTGCTTCAAATTGACCAAATTTTTTTTAAAATCATTTACAACTTCTAGGAAATTCAAATCTGACTTTAGATTTGAGATTTGACCTTCAACGACATTCTCAAGTCAAAAAAGGTCAAGAAGGTCTTTCGATTAAAAAAGGTGAAAGGTCTTTTTTCAACTTGCTTCAAATTGATTAAATTTTCTAGGTGGTGGTGACATTTTGTCATGTTAATGCCTTGTTATTTCATACTTTGATCTTGGCTTCTGTTTTTTGATTCTTGTAGTCCACCAGGTTTGTTGAAATGAAATCTCCCAACATGTTCTATCTTTAATTACACTGTAATTTTATCCCTCATTATATTACATGCACTTATGGAGAATACACAGTATGGATACTGTATTGAACAACTGCTCTCAGAGTATACTTACTTGCAGCTTATACTTGCTGATAATTTAAAGGCCTTGTAGAAAGTTTTTACCTCTGCACTGTGAAGCATTTGTAGTCCTCGCAATCAAGATCTGATGTATGAAACCATTTCTAAATTAAAATATAGATTGAATCGAGTTAATTGGTTTCATGTAAAAAGTGGATTGGATCAGGAATTTACAAAAAACATTACTAGTATTACTGTTTTTACCATTGATCCCTTCCCACAAGTTGAATATGGAGATATGATCTTTGTTTGCAGGCTACTTTTAGACCATTAGCATAAGATTTATTAATAATGTGCAACTCAAAATCAAAGTTAAAAGTTGTCTGTGATGTAACTATAAATGTGGCATTCAAATGTAGCCATTTGTTTTTTGTACAATTTTCTCAATTATGATGAAATCCTCATGAACTTTCGATTTCTTATACATTCACTGCATGAAACAGTTGTGTACTTACACAGTATCAATATACTTTTTAAATTATGGACACCACTATTTCATGCATCTTTCTGCAGAAAATTACATTGAATTCAGAAAGTTGTTCCAAAACTAGGGGGGGGTACCTTATTTATGTCACACGTGACATGGAGCTGGGTGCCAAACCAAAAAATCAGAAAGAAACTGAGCAACATTGCAGATTTTTTTTTCTTTTATTAAGTTATTCATTTGTACAAAGAATACTATACAATGTGTGTAGGTGACTGCTTTGAGCATTCTACCTCGTTACAGCATCAAGTATCACGTGAGATGGTATTGCGCATGTGCGGACATCTAGATCTTCAGTGTATTGCAGGACATGACTATGAGCGGACGTAGCTCTGAGTAAGCGTATGTACAATGTTTTATTTTCCTTGTGTGTGATCAATCAAACTTGTCACATACATATTGCATCAACAACTTGATGCAAGTTGTCTAAACATACACTTACTCCAGTTCTGCTTCTGTGATTTTATGCACAGATTCTAGAGGGAAATACAGTCAATAAGTTGATTTGCACTTCCCAACTCGAACGCCAAATAAGTTTGGTTTTCGTCAGACGGCAATATTTCCTCAGTAGGATATTATTGCTACATTTTGAATCAACAAGTTGATTTGAATCAAACAAAACGAACACCAAATAAGTTTGGTATTTGTTCAGTAATCGTTCCTCAATAGGATAGGATTGCTACATTCATTTGAATCGTGAAATTCATTTGAAGGTGACTATTTGTAATAGTTTATGCTTGAACGCCCTCAAACGCTACTGTAGTGTGCACTCACATTCAAACCCGGTAAGCCAGGTATTGAATATCGGTGGCGAATAGAATAAATTCACCACGCTTGAAGTGCGACATACTGTAGCAACGTGTAATTTTGATTCACTACAATTAGGAATATTATACGATGGCGTCTCAACAAATGTTGTACAAACCAGAGGGAGCATTATCACCAAGTGACGATGCACTTTTGGACGAACCAATGGATACTGATAAAGGTCCGTCTACTAGCTCAAATGCTTGTGAAACTGGTTCTAAGACCAAGGATAGGTCTAAATCTGGTGATATAGGATCAAAGAAATCCCGAAAATTGTCTTCAAAACAAGACTTTTCCGACAATAGCCTCCAGAGTTTGACTCAGGCTATAACAACCTCAATATCCAGTGGACTGGGTGCAATTCAAAGCACCTTGTCGGGTGTAATGACTTCGTCCATTAAAGACCTGCAAAAGTGCATACAGCATTCTCAATATGCTGAGGATGTAGATGACTTTGGATATAATGATGAGGAGGATGAAATTGACCAGGATCAATTCAATGATGATACCGATGGTTGTGAACCACCACCTAGAAAGAAACCTAAGGTTTCTGATCAGGAGGAGCAAACGGATGAACCAGCTAGGAAAGCCTCATCACTGATGCAAAGCCTCCAAGCAAAGGTGAAAACCCATGAAGAAATGGGCCCACCATTGAGTGATGGAGCGGCTGCTCTATTAAATGATCTCATACAGTCAAATATGAACGATGATGATGAAAAATTAAAATTTGACAAATATAAAACGCCTTCTAATACCCCCAATGTCAGCACGACCAAGGTCAATGAGCAAATTTGGTCACGTGTATCTGCTGATGTCCGGTCGAGTGACATCCGCTTACAGAAAACACAGGCTCCACTTATTAAAGCTACGATCGCTTCAATGCGTGCATTAGAAATGATCGACGAGTTAAAGCAGAATTTGGCCTCCGTCTCTGATGATTATGATGATACTTTGGGCAAAATTGCTGAACTCATGTACGATAGCATTGAACTTTCTTGCAGTGCTAACTACAAGTTTAACCTTCGACGCAGGGAATTATTCAAACCTGAAATCAGTCAAAACTTTAAGCATCTCTGCGCGAAGTCAGTCCCTATTACTACCTACCTGTTTGGCGACGACATCACGAAACAAGTTCGTGATATTGCCGAGATGAACAAAACTCAACTTAAGGGAGTTTTCCCCTCTAATGATAACAGGAGTGGATTTAGAGGACGCGGCAAGGGGCGCGGACGTGGTCGAGGTCGAGCTTCTTTTTTAGGCCAGCGCCAGCGGGGCAACCAATCCAAATGGAAAGAAAGCCAGGGAAAGGGGAAGAGATCAAGATCCAACCCAGACAAGAAAACCCAATCCCAATAGCCTCCATACAATCGTCCCCAGCCATGGAAGGTGATATTACAGAGGTAAGAAATTCTCTGAGAAATATGGTTAAAATGTTCAAAGGCGGTCGATTGAAACAATTCTATCAGGCATGGTGTTCAATAACGTCAGATGAATCTATTCTTAAAACTATTAGAGGCTATGATATTGAATTCATAGATGATGTACCTTACAGTGAGCATCAACGCGCATTAAAATTTTCAGAATCAGAATGTTTGGCGGTTGATGAGGAAATTGAAAAATTCCTAATGAAAGGCATAATCGAAATAGTTGATAGATCGAATATCGGTTATTTGTCATCAATTTTTCTGACCCCTAAGAAAGATGGGTCAAAAAGAACCATATTAAATCTTAAAAATCTGAATGAGCATGTTGAGTATCACCATTTTAAAATGGAAAATCTTCAAAATGCCATCAGTCTTGTAAGTAGGAATTGTTTCATGTCCACCGTCGACGTAAAGGACGCCTATTACAGCATTCCAATTTCAACAGATTCACAAAGGTTTCTTCAATTTGAATGGAAGGGTAAAATATACCAATATACATGTCTTCCACAGGGCCTTTCATCAGCCCCTCGAATTTTCACGAAAATCTTGAAACCTGTATATTCCATTCTACGCAACGAAGGCCATCTGTCGGTGGCTTACATTGACGATTCTTGTCTCTTTGCAGAAACATATGACGAATGCAAACGAAACATTCTTGCCACCATGCAAAAGCTTCAGAGTTTGGGCTTCATACTTCACCCAGAGAAGTGCGACCTGGAACCTAAACAGGTAGTTACATTCTTAGGTTTTCAATTAGATTCGATCAACATGAAAATTAGCCTTACGACTGAAAAAGCTATTTCTATAGTTTCCTTGTGTAGAAAGCTTATAAGTCAACGCAAAGTTGAGTGTTCAATAAGAGAATTGGCTCAATTAATTGGAAAACTGGTCGCATCTTTTCCCGGGGTGACATATGGCCCACTGCATTATCGTATCCTAGAGCATGAGAAAATAACAGCGTTGGCACGGAATCGTGGTAATTTTGATGCTAACATTGTTCTTTCTCGTGAAGCTATTAGTGAAATAAAATGGTGGATGGATAATGTGAAATCTGCATTCAAATGTTTATCTATTGCAGAACCTCGCCACCTGATAAGGACGGATGCCAGCATGATGGGCTGGGGTGCCTTTGACGTAACCCATAATGTTAAAACTGGTGGACGATGGACAAACGAAGAATCTGAAAATCACATCAATTATTTAGAACTTTTGTCTATCTATTTAGGTTTGAGGTCTTTATGCCGAGCATCTGATGGTCTCCACGTCAGGGTCGAAACTGATAATACCACTGCTCTCACATACATCAATAAAATGGGGGGTACGAAATCAGCTTCTTGCAATCAGCTTGCTAAAGAAATCTGGCAATGGTGTATTTTGCAAAATATTTGGCTATCATGTAGTCATATAGCTGGTGTTGATAACATTGAGGCTGATTCCGAATCTCGCCTATTTCATGACGATACAGAATGGATGATTCAAAA